GCATCTCATGTATGCTCGAGCATAGCCTCTATTGAAGCTGGCTTTGACAGGAACATCTACTAACTTGTCACCGCACTGTCCACAGACGCAGTGCTTCCTTTGGGTTAACCAACCAGACGTTCGCAGCTTTCGAAGGGCCAAGGACACTTCTTTCAAGCGGTAAACTGGCTGTTTTTTTAATTTGCCTTTGGTTTTCTGATGCTATCCGAGGCTGCATGCCTTTTCTTGCCTTCTGATTTCCTCTTCTTTTTTTCCAGAGCAGCGGACTTTCCTTGAGGGCCTTTTTGAAAGCCTCTTTTCCCAGAAGCTCTCTTCAGGGTGCGCTGACTCTTGGGAGGCAACTGGAACAACAACGGCTTGCCAGAATCTACATGTCGAGAAATCTGTTGCACACTGGACCTTTGTGTCACTGCTTTCAAGACTTTCTTCGCTAGAACCGGGCAACTCGTTCGATAGTGGCCACGCTCATGACAGTAGGCACAGAGAGGGGCAGATTTACTACCCCGGAGGATTTTTTTGGAAGTCTTGCTGACGTCCTTTCCTCGCTTCATTGAGCCGGTGCTCATGTTTGCGAGAAGTGCTTGCCGAGTGCAAAAAACATGGAATTCGTTAAACAGGACATTATGGCAAATTCTGCGTGAAATCATGCACATCTGCTTACAAACATATATCTAAACTCTGAGTGCTGCGATGGGAAACGACCTGCAGTACATGGGTCCACAACATTCGGTCTTTTTTCTCAGAGACGCAGGACAAGCTCAGTCCACGCGCCCGGCCCGCAACAGCCTGTTTTTCAGGGAGCCGGCAGCGTTACGCCAAAATCTAGGAAACGAATCCATGTCCGCTTGAGGTACATACTTCATATGCCAACACAACCTGCGGCCGTCATCGTGTTTTTTCCACCACTTGTTGCATATCCTGACAGGTATCATACACCAGATCACAGTCAAAGAGGGTTAGAAAAAAATCTCACATAAGCCAAGGTTTGTGGAATCTTAGAACATTTGACTTCCGTGCTTTGTGTGTCATCAACAACATCTTTCCACGAACGTAGTCTTCAAAGTTTTAACAATCAGAAAGTATGCCAAAACAGGCAAGGATCAGATGCGGCTGACCTGCTTTGGCACCACCTTGGAAAATATAAGGTGACATCGCACATTGGTGCACAGGACATCGGCCATATTTAAATTCTCGAGAGGACGATCCGGAAGAAGACTCAGCATTTGAAGAACGGACAGCACTTGAATTCATCCACGTATCTTCGTCTTCCACCACAGACGGTTCATCCAGCAAACTTCTGCAAAAAGCTTCCACCGCATCATCTTCTTCCCACAGCCACTGCTTCAAAGTCAAGGGTCGGGTAGGGTTAACTGTAAGGAGCCAATCTATGCACTCCTCCGTGGCGGCATCATTGTCACGCATCCATTCAGCCAGCGTCTGACAGGAACTCTCTAGGGACGAACAGACCGCCGAGTCAGCGGAGACACCCTGGTACAAAGACATTGCGAAAACTTGGCCAGCGACAGACGCCTTCAGAGATGCAGTGCGTGGACTGTCGTCCTCAGACAATGGTTCCGCTAAGATGTCTTCCACGCTGTCCGCATAGATATCGATCCAGTGTGACCAAGTCGTTAAAGCCACTCCTTCCGAGACATCCTGCAACAGGGCGTGGCACGACTTCAACACTCATTAGGTGGCGAAACATGTAGGAACCAACGTGAGCACAAATGACAGTCCTGAGGTAACTCCAAGCTTTCCAGAATCGAAATTCTACCAGTGGGCAGTGCGTCTGGATCTGGGTTGCGCGATCGGTCCAAAAGAGCGATACATTGAGAATCCCACCATGCAGGAGGCCATGGAAGAGGTGAGAAAAGATATGTCGACTTCGGCACACCCAAGCGGCGAAAAATCACACCCAAGGCGACCTTCATTTCCGGCGAAGGTGAAGGTGATGTGCGCTGCAATCTCTGCCAGGAATCTTTCAAGACCATGCGGGAGCGAAGCAATAGAGCAAAATCATACGTCGAATGCAAAGAAGGAGATGACAAAAGATCCTGCTGCAACCGCCAGGCGTCGGAAAGAAAACGGACCTGTGTTCAGAATCAACCTTTGACAACCAAATAAACTAGCATGGTCCTGGGTGTTTTGAAGAGCGACATCATGACCCGGCTTCACACTAAAAATGTAATGTAACTCATCGATTTCCAACACAGGTATCTCTGCACGCCATGGTCCCAGCAGTGGTGCCAAACTCACACGGGGAGCTTGACAAGTCTGTGCAATGCGCAAGAGTAGCAAAAGTGTCAGGGGTTCTATATACGAGTCGAACATGTTGACAGCCGGAACGGCTGCGATTCCAAAGTTTCTTGTGCAAACAAAGGTACTATTCTTACCCGTGCTTGTTTCCTGCATTTCACTGCTTCCTACGCAAGCATCGGATTCCACAAATGAATACAACTACAGCATCTGCACTAGCAACATCATATTGATTCTCCTGGCAATGATCCCCAAACAGAAACCAACACACCACACCGCCAATCACCAGCCAAGGCCCCTGTTCTGAGCGTCCCAACCTGGCGAGCGAAAGAACGACGGTAGAGTAACTGGCACTAACTCATGAAACCTGTGGGAAGAGAATGAAACCTACATGAATGCATGCGTTACAAAACACATTAGAAAAGCACGATCAGCCAAAGTAAACCAGCAACACAGACTGATACGTCTTAAGTCATCTACAAAAGAATCGAAACATCAGGTAGTTATGTGCAGACGAACCCATTACCGGTCCTACCCCACCCCAACCCACCCCATGCGTAGCGTAGCATCACATCATGTCTTGCAGTAGTCATATCTTCAAGTAGTCACGAATGCTATCCCACCCCACCCCACCCCATGCGTAGCGTAGCATCACATCATGTCTTGCAGTAGAGACGACTGCGTAGCGTAGCATCACATCATGTCTTGCAGTAGTCATATCTTCAAGTAGTCACGAATGCTATCACACCCCACCCCACCCCACCCCACCCCATGCGTAGCGTAGCATCACATCATGTCTTGCAGTAGAGACGACTGCGTAGCGTAGCATCACATCATGTCTTGCAGTAGTCATATCTTCAAGTAGTCACGAATGCTATCACACCCCACCCCCCCCCCCCCCACCCCATGTGCGTAGCGTATCATCAACATCATGTCCTTGCAGTAGAGACTACTTCCGGTAAAGCGTAGTCACGAATGCTATCACACCCCCACCCCAGCCCATGCGTAGCGTAGCATCACATCTGTCCTTGCAGTAGAACGACTGGCGTGGAAGCGTAGCATCACAAATCATGTCTTGCTTAAGTCATATCTTCAAAGTAGTCAACGAATGCTCTCACCACCCCAACCCCCCCCCACCCCATGCGTATCGAGTCATCACAATCAATGTCTTGCTGTAAAAAGCAGTAGAGACAACTGCGTAGCCCGTAGCACATCACCTCATGTCTTGCAGTAGTCCATATTTCAAAGTAGATCACGAATGCGATCACACCCACACCCAACCACACCCCACCCCACCACCACCCCACCCCATGCGTAGCGTCGCATCAATCAACATCATGTCTTGGCAAGAGAACGACTGCGTACGTAGCTCACATCATGTTCTTGCATGTAGTTCATATCTTCAAGTAGTCACGAATGCTATCACACCCCACCCCACCCCATGCGTAGCGTAGCATCACATCATGTCTTGCAGTAGAGACGACTGCGTAGCGTAGCATCACATCATGTCTTGCAGTAGTCATATCTTCAAGTAGTCACGAATGCTATCACACCCCACCCCACCCCATGCGTAGCGTAGCATCACATCATGTCTTGCAGTAGAGACGACTGCGTAGCGTAGCATCACATCATGTCTTGCAGTAGTCATATCTTCAAGTAGTCACGAATGCTATCCCACCCCACCCCACCCCATGCGTAGCGTAGCATCACATCATGTCTTGCAGTAGAGACGACTGCGTAGCGTAGCATCACATCATGTCTTGCAGTAGTCATATCTTCAAGTAGTCACGAATGCTATGCCACCCCACCCCACCCCATGCGTAGCGTAGCATCACATCATGTCTTGCAGTAGAGACGACTGCGTAGCGTAGCATCACATCATGTCTTGCAGTAGTCATATCTTCAAGTAGTCACGAATGCTATCACACCCCACACCCACCCCACCCCACCCCATGCGTAGCGTAGCATCACATCATGTCTTGCAGTAGAGACGACTGCATAGCGTAGCATCACATCATGTCTTGCAGTAGTCATATCTTCAAGTAGTCACGAATGCTATCACACCCCACCCCACCCCACCCCACCCCAATTTGTGGGCCGGTAAAAGGTCCGTCTGCAAAAACAAGACCAAAGGATTTCAGCCAAGCAGCACCGAGGAATACAGACAGTCATTGAAGTTGGAAGCAATCACATGGTTGTGTATGGCCTCGAAGTTCAAGTCGAAACATTGGCTTTCAGACCTCAAGATGGATCACTTCCAAAAATTCATTGACTACATCTTGGGAGATCGGGTGAACTCGATCAAGGCGCCTTTGGACAATCAACAAGTGGCAATCAAACCTAGTTGGGCATTGGTACTGCAATATGAGCATCGCTTGAGATACGAGGCCAACAAGCTGGTCAACAGAGGGTGAATGCACACTTGGTGAAGCTCATCAGAGTCACAAAGGATCCGGACCTAAAGGAGGCATACTTCACAACGCCATTGGCGCTGACGGCTTCTGAATCACCCACAAAGTTTCAGAAAACTTCCCATCAGAAAGGGAAGTACGAGTGGAATTCAAAACCCAAAGGAAAAGGGAAAGGGAAATTCCACCAGAACGAAGGCTTTGGAAAGGGCTTCAAAAGCAGTGGCAACAAAGGAAAACACGGAGATTTGAATTTAGTCACTCAAACTCCGGACGGCCGTGACATATGCTTTGCATTTAACTCGCAGGGATGTAACGGAAAGTGTGGACGAGTGCATGTGTGCAGAGTCCGTGGATGCTATGCTGACCACGCCGCCAGGGAGCATAGCAAGCACCAAAGCGACTTGAAAGACCACCCCAACACCCTCGACAGCTCAGGGTGTTGTACCTCTTCTGTGGTCGCCAAAGAAGAGCTGACATCAAACATTTCTTGAACTTGTTCGGCAGCAATCACAATTTTGAGTTTTACATGCGCGAGGTTGACATTGAGAGAAATGAGGCTGATGATCTCTTACAACAAAAGCTTTGGGAAGAAATTTGGGAGGAGCTTCGTCAGGGAAAGTATGATGTGGTGATCGTGACACCACCTTGCAATTCATTTTCACGTGCAAGGTGCAACGCTCCTGCAACACCGGGCCCAGTCCCTGTGCGAAACGTTTGCCATCCATGGGGTTTCCCATGGCTCACAGGGAACAACAAACAATTGGTCGTGGACCACAACTTTCTCCTGATTCAATGTTTCAATACTATGGATGTTTGCATTGAAGTTGGCTGTGATTTTCTTTTTGAGCACCCAGAAGATCTTGGGGTGACATCGACAGGGGAGCGCCCGGCAAGTGTCTGGCAGCTTGAACAAATGCGGAAGTTGGTTGAGGTCCACCAGGCCATTACGTTTGCAATTTACCAATGCCATTTTGGGGCAGATTCGCCCAAACCAACACGCTTTTTGACTTCCCTTCTACTTGCAAAGTCCTTCCCTTGCCAAGGGTGGCCACAGTTTGATGAATTCCGCAACTACTTGGGACCACTACCACAGTCATGCTCACACCGGTTCCATGTCAAAAAACTGATCGGCAAGGAAAAGGGGAAGTGGAAGACGGCTGACTCAGCAGCCTGCCCTCCACCACTTTGCAAGTGGCTGGCACAACTCATCGTCTCACGAGTCGGGGAACAACCCTCTGAGTTGTGCGTACAGACTCCAGCAGAAGAAGAACAAGCATCTGAAGTTGCCCAACCAACCACATCAGGGCAAGCACCTGAAACAGGGACAGAACCCTCGAGTGCAACCGATGTCACGGTGGCTGGCACAGGTACGAAAGATTTTCAACAAGCCACCGAGGCCAAAAGGTTTCAGTGGAGTGGGCTGGAAAGACGAGGGAGCGACACTTTGGGAGCCATCCTGCCGGGGTGCCCACTTAGGGCCAGAAGCACAAGAGCTGTGCACGGCACTTTTCCAGATGCTATCTTCTTTCATCGAGCAGAAGTTTGAGGATCCGCGCAGGGAAGCCATCAAACTGTGTCTTGGCCATATTTCGGCCTCACCTTTTACAGCAACAGAGCTTGAGTCTCTGAGACAACAGTGGGCCTCCTTATTGCCTTCAACAAAGATGGCTTTGACGGCGCCGGAGAGACAACCTTTCCTCTTGGGAATGATTGGACAATCCCTGGAAACGATGGGGGGTCCCGATTTTGCGATCTACATGGAAGGGGAAGACTCTTTCTGGACAGGTGCGGTCTTCCCGAAGAAAGAGAAGTCGCGTCCTCTGGATGATTCAGGGTTCAATAGCAATGCAAATAATTATAAATCAGTTCAAGCAATGGCAGAAGACTTGGAAAAGAAGTTCAGGGAGGAGGAGAAATTGGGAAGAATGCTTCCCACCACATTGGGCAATCTGAAGGTGGACTTCCCTGGAAGTACCCCACTTGTGGCTGCAATGGGGGCCATTCGCAAACCCAATGGGGATGTAAGGCCATTGCACGATGGCACCCACTTTGTGCAACTGAACAATCAGATTGTTTTCCAGGATCAGCTTCAGTACCCAGGTCCAGAGGACGCTGCACACATGGTGAGGTATGTCCAGGAGGAGCAAGAAGCTATGTTTGCACTGTCGGCGGACATTTCGTCGGCACACAGGCTGGTCAAGATCAGGAAACATGATTGGCCCCTTCTGGGCTGCAAGGCTCGTTCAGATGACAAGACTGTATGGGTAAACTGTGTTGGGACGTTTGGAATCTCATCAGCTTCATACTGGTGGAGTAGACTTTTCTCTGGGATAGGTCGATTGACGGCCTACATCATGCAGCAGCAGAAGTGGTGGCAGTTGGTTTATGTGGATGACCTACATTTGACCTGCCTTGGGGCGCGTAAGTTCGTCAACATGTGGATGGTCCTCTTGATTTATGAACTGCTTGGCACCCCCTTTTGCTACGGAACATTTTCTGGAGGTTTGACAGTTCAATTCGTTGGCTATCTGCTGGACTACAGAGAATGTTTGATGGGTATCGCCCAGCGTCGTGGCGAGTGGTTGGTTTCATTTGTGGAAGAGATGCAGCTAGCGAAAGGGGTCGTCTTGACGCGGCGATTCAACGAGTTTGTTGGAAGGATGGGTTTTGTTTCACGTGTTTTGGTGTGGCTGAAACCTTTCATGGCACTGTTATATTCTTGGGCGGCGGCACTGGGTCGCAGCTCTGTGGCCACGGCACCGCGCTTGGTGTCCCTAGTTTTGAGGTTCTTGAAGGAACAGTTGCAAGACTGCACTTATATGCATACATGCAGAAGACCAAAGACAACAGCGGGCGAGATTTTCAGAACTGACGCCAAGTGCGAGACGGGTCGTGTGGTGCTTGGGGGCGTCCATTTGGAGACAGGCTCATGGTTTTCTTTGGAGGTGCTTCCACCCCAGGCGCCGTTTCTTTTCAAAGACAACGGAGACTCCCAATGGGCGTCGACCACTGCAGAACTTCTTAAAGTCCTGGTAGCTTTGCATTTGTTCGGTTACGTGGACCCGAACAATCCTGTTGAAGCAACCCCGCTGCGAGTTGTGGCGGGAACAGATAACCTGGCCAATGAACACTTGATACGCAAAGGTCTCACAACAAAGTGGCCACTATGCTTGGTGTTCATGCAGTTGACGGAGACGTTGATGAAAGCTGGAGTGTTAATTCACTTGGCATGGCGCCCAAGAGATGAGAATGCTTTGGCTGATGCTTTGACAAATGGTGATTTTTCTGGTGTGACTTCGTCAAAACGTATTTCATGCAATTGGGATGAATTTGATTTCAACTTGTTGTGGAAGCTCTGGGATGAACGTGACGCCTACCTGGATCGAGAGGCGATCAAGGCCAACCCGAAGGTCGTGAAACTTGGCGAATTTGAAAAATCAAATTGGTAGGATCAAAAGATGTGGAGGAAGGTTGTGAACGGATCATTCAGCTTCAGTTTCAGTGTCAGAGTCGCAAGGGCTCGCTTCGTAGGGGAGGATCACTTCGCCTTTGCTGGATTGAGAGAGCCCAAATTTTTTTCAAACCTTTGGAGGCCAGCAATCGTTGGCATCTGGATAAGCCTCAGACTGAACCAATGCAGGAAAAAAAAGAAAGCACAGCCTTCCATCAGTTCACAATCCTCAATGTTTTTCTTTGGCATTTCACGGCAGTGATTTCGAGTGTTGTTTTTCCCAGGTTTTTCGTTTGGGTTTGATTGATGTTTAAGTTTCGGCATTAGGTGTTTTTCGCGTAGGTATTTTAGTTTCTGGTTTCCCAGGCTATGCCTGGCCGGCCCCTCCTTCGCGTTGTCGCGTTTTATTTCTACGGCACATGTGTTTGCGAGCAGGGTGCTTAGGTTTACCTAGGTGACTGTTTGCGGCACATGTTGCCTGGGCTGGTGGTGGGGTTTGTTGGTTGGCTCTCCTGGGCCTTTGGCCCGGTCTTCTCCCCCCGCGTTTCTTCTGTGTCCCTGTCTGGTTGTCGTCTGTTGGGTTCTTGTGTTGTGCTGTTTGTTCACGCGCTTTGCACCTGCGTTCTTCCCGCGCCTGGTCGGTCTCCGCGTTTGGTTCTGGCGTCTGCTTTTGGTTTTTTTGAGCTGGAAAGCTTTGATCCAGCCAATTGAGACCTGTACCCCAAAGCTTTGCTGAAAAAAAAATCGTTGTCCTGCGGCAGTCGTTGTTCGATTTCACGTTTCAATTTTTCGAGACACGGCGTTTACGTTTTCGGCAGGGTATCTAGATTTTATAATACTCCTGTCTGGGTATCTAGATTTTATAGATCCCTGTGCTATGTTGTTTGTGTGCACGGTTTGTTAAGCTGGAAATAAGTCCTGGGATCCAGCACAAGCTGCCTAACCCAGCCGCTGATGGCGAGTGACTGCTCCATCGTGCTAAAAAGAGTGAGTGTCCTCTCGTCATGCCATGAGTTGTGCGAAAGTGACTGCAATAAGGAGATGCATGTTCAACCAGGACATTCATGATGGGTTTGGGGCCCAATTTGCATGTTACTTGTATGCTACCTATATGAATGGAAAGAGACCAGACCTAGTGGATGTGAAGCAGATCATGACGAGTCATAGTAGTCATGTTGAACCCGTATCAAACCAGATGTATAGGAGTAGCAGGCGGCTTGATGCTCAGAGGTGATTTGATGTTGGTCGGCCAACCAACCATTGAACGTTTAGTACAGTAACACACGCAAAAACTAGTTCCAAACCGAAATGTTCCAGCAAACCCCACACATTGACTACGAATGTTTGAAACCCATTTTGAAACCATCCGCGTGAGGGGGAACCACTCGCAAGGCTGGATCTGTAATTTGTTGAACTGCGCCATTCAACAGCGCAGGCATGGTTTTGTCAAATTTTGTCCACCATGTTTTTCTTGCAAAATTTGCCCTGACCAGCATAAACATGGGGCGAGCTGGGATAGTCAGCCGCATGTGTGGAATTTGGCCCAAGGTTTGAACATGGCGTGGGGGGACTGGCACCAAGACACAAGCTGGCACCAGGGCAATCCATGGGGCTCATCGTCCTCCCAAAATTGTGGGACGACTTGGCACCAACAGGAAAATTGGACCAGAAAGGCTCGACAATCAAAGAAGTGCGCGCCTCAAAATCCCGTTTCAAATTTCATGTGCGCTGATCTGGCAAACTTATGTATTTTTCTTAATGCATTGTTGAAAGAATGGTTTGCAGCATTTGATCCACAAAACATGGTGAGTAGATAGGAAAGGCATTGTGTTTTTGAATTGTGACGTTTTCATACCACGTACTGTTGCAGTGTAAAACTAAAAACGACACTTTTCAAAAACATTGAGTCCACAACGTAGGTCAAAATGCAAGAGACATGTACCAGATGAACCCGACTTCCATTATTTGGACCGTTGCGGGTTGAAGGTGTTGGGTGGAGAAAAACAATGTACCGTTTGGTAAATGAAACACACAATTACCAAACATTGACACCACATTGGCAATTTCAACCATTGGTTGTGTTCTTTTTCATGAAAATAACGAAAATAACAGAATAACATTTTTGTTTTGAAATGAAATTGATTGCACAAAAAATCGATATGGTTCAACAAACAGTTGGATCAAAAACTCGATCCTGTTTTGTTTCACTTTCCAAAGGAACTGCATTGTCACTGATTTTCTTTGGCAGGACACGTTCATTGCCCAACGGGATGCTCATGAAGATTTGGTGCAAAATGAATATTGGGTAGACGCCCGTACAAGGGTTATGAACAATGTCATGGAGGTGCTGTGCCTGATGTTGAAGTCATTCTCAGAACATGATTGTGCGCAGAAATCCACTTCAACTTTTCCTGATATAGGTTCATTTTGTTGAGTCGCGGATGTGTGATGTGTGAAATTCATTTGATTGCAAACGCCTTCGCACAGCATCATTCAACCAGACCTTTCGTGTGTGGTGTGTAGTTATTGTAGATTTTTTTTATATATTATTTTATACCAGATGCTTGGGTCGGACCTTGCAAGACGAACTGATTTTTTTTTGATTAATGTTTTGGGACAGTTTGAATTTTCAAAATCCTTCTCATTTGCGTTTTTTTGCGAGTTTGGGAGGTGTGTTGGACAGCGTGCCCATCAGTCTTTGAAGTTGGGTCTGCGGCTAGAGGGACAGACTTGCCATACTCCGACATCGATGCTTGTCACAGCTTGTCTATTGGGAAAGGCTTTGATTCGGATTTCCGGGATCACAGCTGCAGCGGGGACCGTTAGGAGAATATCCGTGGACAAAAAAACTACTTATGGCTGACGATATAGTGAATTGACGCTGTTCAGAAGCGTTTGTCCTCGATAATGAGAGTTGAGGTTTCTTCCATGCTGGTAACGTGTGAGAAACATGTAGTCAAGTGGCTTTGTTGATGTTTTTGATCGCAGCGTATTTTGGTCATTTTTGGATTCCTTTTGGTCCCTGGTCTCAGGATTTGGTGTGCCTTTTTGATCAACATGATCGCAGAGGGAACTTGGCGCTATTTGCCGTTTGGCTGCATTCTGCAGTGCGTTCCATTTTAGTACATGCAATGGACGGCCACATCTGGTTTCCAAAACCAACTTCAAACAAGTACTGGAAGGTGCAATTATGAGTTTCTATCTCACAACTTTCTGCCGGACAACAGCCATGGAATCGAAACATTCAAGGGACAAAGGGTCTGGGCAGTCTCCTCCCAAGGTTGAAAAAGCTCTACGGAAGCTGTCAGATTCAATTGACAGGACACCTCCAGCCGTTATCCTGCCATCCAGTAGTCATCCTGCCTTTCACAACGGATCACTTTTTTCTTGGGAATTACTGTACTTTTTTTCCGTTTCGGGAATTTTTCTTGGATTCTGTTTCCCTGCTTCTTTGTTTTTCTGCTTTTCCCTGCTTCTTTGCTTCTCTGCTTTTCCCTGCTTCTTTGCTTCTTTGCTGCTGCTTCTCTGCTTCTCTGCTTTTCCCTTCTTGTTTGCTTCTCTGCTTTTCTGCATCTTTGCTGTTCTGCTTCTCCGCTTTTCTGCTTCTCTGCTTTCCCGGCTTTCCCTGCTTTTTTTTGCTTGTCAAGCCTAAACAATCCCTAAGATACACGATATCTCATGTAAATAAACCCTAAACCAACCCTAGACCCACCCTAAATAACCCCCAAACCAACTCCAACAAAAACAAAAACAACCCTAAGTAAACCCTAAACAAACCCTAAATATAGCGACACATATGAAAACTCAGCCCAAAGAAATCCTAAAGCAACCCTAAATAGATCTCAAGCCAAGCCTAAATAAACCCTGAACCAAACCTAAATAAACCAAACCTTAAATAGATCCTAAAGAAAACCTAAATAGACTTCAATCCAGGCCTACGGAAATCCTAAACCAACCCTACACCAACTCTAATACCAACCCGAAAGAAAACAAAACCAACCAAGAAAAACAAAACCAACCCGAAAACCAACCCCAAGCCAACCTAAAATAAACCAACCCTAAACCAACCCAAAATGAATGATAGTTGCAAACTATCATGCGACATGAGCAGTTCGGGGACCCAAAATGTTGCAAAATGCTGTTGAAATGGCAGCTTCCAGCTCCAAAATGCTGCAAATAGCAAGGGAAACGGACAGGACAGGAGATCCCCCAAAAATCCAAAACGGAAAAAACACATACTACCCAAAACAATTCCGGATCCTTTCACAGCTTCACCCACTCTGCTTCCTGACAGGAGGGACGACTACTTTGACGAAGATGAAGATGGCCTGTTTTCACGGATTGGCAAGAAATTGGATGGCATTTGGGTGGTACATGGCGAAGAACACGTGATTCGAGGCAGGGTGGGTCATATTATTGTTCGGTTTCATGTTCGATTGGGGTTCCTTTCACCTTCAACTTTATTGTTGGCTCAAAGTTTTAGTCCAATTCCTGTTGACTTGCTGGTACGCACTAGTTTTGTTGAGCAATTGCACGTCAAGATGCTATGTCCCTTAGCACCAGCTTGAAACATATCGGTGTCCTGATGGTGCACTGAGTTGCAGTGTGAAGCATCGGGTATGCGGGGCATGCTTCAGAATCAGAAGCTTTTACTTGCGTCTGTCATCCACACCATCATTCTTGATTTTGTTCTGAGAGGTTTGGATGTTTGATGAGAGTCTGGAGTTTCTTGTTTTTCTTGCGCTGTTTCCCGTGTTCAACTCTTCAGGAATATCAATGCTTACTTCTGTCAAACTCGTGGTTCCTATTCGTTGCTGAAGGGGAGACGGTGAAACAGTGTTCTCTATTTTCTCCGAGAGAAATATCGCCGTTTGAAAGCAGTCAATGCTATAGTTTCATCTTTGGATGTAGAGGGTATCTATGTTGGAAAAAGTGAGAGAGTGGCAGTATACCAATCAGAACAGCGATGACAGCACACTTCGAGATGACTCAAGAAAGAGTATCGTGCAGCATGACTTGGCCTGGAGAAAGCTTCAGACATGTTTGTTCAGTGCAGCAGTCTTGCCTTTAAAATTTATTGCTTGAACTTGTTCTGTATTCATGTTCAAACATGTATGTATGCACCCTGAGTGCCAAGATGGAATGTCTTTCAATGCATTTATGTGAAAGACTACTCTTCAGGCAGCAAATGCGACTTCAAAAGGTATGTTTTGACTGTGTTTGTACACTGCCGCTGCAACGCTTACCAACGCTTACCAGGCAATTGTATCTTCTGGAGCTCTGGCGAAGTGAGCCGATTTCAACGGAACACCAATGGTCCCAACGACACGATTTCTGTTTTGGATGGATCATACAGAAAAGTGGCACGAGTTCATGGACCTTCCTTGCGGTGGCCATCAGAGACGTGGGTGCTGAAAAGTGTTTGCAACCACATAGCCACCAAATGGCCAGATCCGCCTCCCAGACCCAAACTAGAGAAAGTAGCACGAGTTTCAGAGTTGCGCTATGCCTCCGACACTATCAGCAATCGGTTTTGGGATGGAAGGCCCTTGAAGGACTTGGTCCGCGACATCCAGCAGAAGAAGATCGACGTCCTACACCACGAAAATCTCATCCTCGATTGTGTTGCACTCCCTTTGCAAAAGGAACTTTATTGCTTGAACAATCGCAGGTTATGGTGCCTGAAGCAATGCTCTGGTTGCTCAGGCGACGCAGCTGGCCTATGTGTCAGAGTCAAAGTGTATGACTTTTCTGATTCTGCTGCCTTCTTCCAGAGCAGGATCACATCTGCCAATGGTGGCCTCAAAGTCTTCATCCGCAAGTCAAAGGATGGTGCTGATGGTTGCCTGCTGGAGGAGGACATGCCGGAAACTCTGCACATCTCGTCCAAACGAAAAGCCGAGTACATTCACTTGACCTGTGATGGATTCCAGGTGGATGTGCTCATCGGCTGCACTCCAAGCCTTTCCGGCAAGGGGCTTGCAAAAGCCATTTTGAAAGAAGACTTCGGCCAGCGGCACCGTTGGGCGGCAGTTTGTGCTGCAGCACACAGCAGACTGCCCCAACTCAGTTCGACGCAGTGCAAAGCTGTGAAGTTGGCCAAATTGTGGGCCTGTTTTGTGGCTTTCCCCTGCTGGGATGAAAAGCGAAGGCCCCGCAGCTTCTTGATTGAGCTGATTGTCAGACACATTTGTCTTTCAGCTGAGAGTATGTCTGCATGGGACATTTTTGTGGAATTCTTGAGGTTCTGTGCAGCGAAAAGGATACAGCCAATCATGTGGGATTGGAGTGACCTTGACAAAGACCCTCGCCTAAATTGGGGGAAAGGTCCTCGAATCATTGATCCTTTAAATCCTACAAACAATGTCGCAAAGCCCTTTCGCTTCTGGAGTTTTCTCCGCAAATATGCCCGCAAGTCTTTACAGAAGATGGGATACAGTGTTGGCACAGCTTCAACGAAGACCCGCTGGGAGGGGAGCGAGGATGATGAGGCAATTCCGAAGGTTCCTCCTCCTAACCTTGATGAAGTGCGAAAAGTCCTCCTGAAAATGGATCTCCCATTTGATGCAGTGGAAGGGTTGCTTGATTCTGGTTTCACATCCTTGGAAGTGCTGTGCCAGCTGGGGAAGGAATCAGATTTCCTGGAGGTTGGGATGAACAAGGCTCAGAGCAGGTTACTTTGGAAGGCCCTCCAAGACAGGGGATATATCTTCAAGAAGCTGGAATCTGCCGGTCGTGGAGCGGGAGACACCAGTCCTGTGAACCAAGCAGAGTCCAGCCATGATCCCGAGATGCGTCCTATCCCTTTGAACTGTTACCCCGCCCAGGGCGAAGAGGGATTTTCACGTTGCTTTCTGTTCGGCACCTTGGTCCCCGTGATGGGAGGAGCGAAGATTGCAGTGGAAGAGTTGCAAGAAGGCAGGGATGCCATTATCGGTCCTTCGGGTAGACCTTTACATGTTGCCGCAGTCAAACGACATGAATGGGATTGGAGATGGCTTGTGGAATTGACTTCGTAAGGAGCCAGTCTCACAGTTACAGAAACTCATCGAATGCAACGATGGGAGAAGGGAAAGTGGGTCGACGCAGAAGCTGGTGATCTACAGCAAGGAGATTTTGTCCTGTGCACCGAAGGAAAGTGCAGGCTGGATGCAGTCGAGCACCTGTACCAGCAGGCCAAGACCGTCCAGGTTGTGGTGAACCCGGATGAGGTCTTTCAAGCTTTTCATGCTCCATCTACTTCCTTTCTTTGCAAAGGACAGGCAGGGCAGGCAGGGCCTGACACCTCTTGCACTCCCAAGTAAGTAAGAAAAGAAGATCTTTGATACAAGGGAATTGGTGACAATTGCTGTCCAACCAATGCAACGCAATCAGCGATAACATACATGCAAAAAAGCGGGAAGCGGCTTGAAACACCACAAAGAAGCTTGCAGGAAGTCATTTTTGTCCAATTGACAGAGCTTGACATTTGTTTTTTCTTCATTTCAAACTCTTTATTACCCTCTTGATTACGTGGCTACTGTCTCACGATCTCATCAAGTCGTGAGCCGCAAGTCTTTCCAAAATTGGTGCTTGAAGAAAGTAGTCAGTTATCTCTCACTCTCTATGGATCCTATAGTACTAAGTTCCAACCGACCACAACTTTGTGTCCACAAGGCCGGGGAAGATGCACCGCGAACACCGGCAGCCAGTTCATCAGGGCACCATCTGCATCCTGCTGGGGTGGTAACGAGGCTCCGAAATTGCAAGAAGGTTGCCCCGAAATTGTCAGATGTTGTGATCTCGATTTTTCTGGAAAGCATGTTGCCTTGTGACCATCACTCATGAGATTGTTCTTATCTGTTGTCTGTCTTGTAGGTTGCTGTGGTACTCCTTGTCAACCTTCATCCTCATCCCAAGTTTCATGTTGTGAAACCTGGAAAATGTTCTCATGCATGGCATTTTCTACAAATGGCCCAAAGTTCAACATATCACATTCTACAAGATTGCAAGGAAGTGGCAAAACAGTCAGCCGGGAACGTTCGGGTCGGCGTGGGCAAATTGTGCTGATAGTTTCTGGCTGCTGTGTGGCTGTGTGGCTGCGTGGGATGGTTTCCAGGCGTAATCGACGTGGAGGGCAAAATCTTCGCGATGCGACTGCAGCTGTCAATCGTTGGACCAGGGCCAATCTCGATCAGACGGACCTTTACAGTCACGTGGACACGGGAATTTGGAGCCACTTGCCGTGATAAGTTTGGTTTGTTCATGTCGCAATAGGTTGCTGATTGGTGGTTGGTGTTGATAGAACCAGTGAATCTGGCCAGGGTCTTGGAATGCGCTTGGAGGACCAATAATATGGCTGACAAAGGGACCGTCCAAATTAGCGCTGAGTCCCAAGCACACAACGAGCAAACTTGCTTAGTTGAGTTTACTTAAATCACGAGTCGGATGCTTTGAAGATAAAGAAATCAACTTAGACTTCATTCTCAAAGGACTACCATTGATTATCACAATGATGTTCCTGTTGCCATTTGTTCATCCATCCTCTTCAGAGTCCTCTCCATAACAGGTGACTGGTGAGTGCCTGCGACACTATAATTTGAAAGTGCGTGAAGCGCTGCCAATGAAGGGCTATGAGAGACTGCAATGGAAAGTGCACATGATCAGGTCCTTCTTTAGTAGCCCCTGGATTTTTTGGCAGTTCATTTAGGTTGTAAAGTTGAACTCATCAGTTTTATCACAGAATAGTATCTCTTTTTTGTCAGGGTTGGCTGTGCCTTTTGTTTCGCAGCTTTTCCTTTGCAGCCTTCTTCCAAGACTTTTTGAGCCCGAACGATTTCGCAGACTTAGTTTTGGCATCAACAATCCCTCCGAAGCCTGAAGTGGCTCTTCTGAAAGAAATATGTGATTCTTTGTTCAATAGATGATGCTTGCCACAAGTATCACAAAGTATCATTATACTGTACTGTATGCTTTATTTCCAAGGTCCGTCGTTGATGCAAAACTAAGTGACCTGCCATTCCTGCTCCTGGAGAGCCAGCCACCAGCTTTCATATCATCATTCTTTTTGCATGTTTGTCATTGCCGTTGCACTATTTCTATCAGCTTTCAGGTCGCACAGAAGTTTCTTTTGCGTTAGCAGGAAAAGCGCAGTTTTGATCCAGGAGGCACCATCTGTTGCAAGAAGAGTGCCACAGTGGTCAGTTTGCTACGTGTTATGGCACTGGGGCATACACGGATCAAGTGGCAGTGAGCTTGTAGCCCATCTTGTATCCAAGGTGTGAAAAATCTTGGATTTTCAGGGTGCTTTGGAAGATTTCAAGCACTACAGCCCCTTGCTGGGAGACATTATTGTGGAACAACAGTGGATTTCCAAGATAGGCTTCAATCTTCAATCTTCAGTAAGGTTGTGTCCATTTTGGGCAAACAAACCGATGCATATAGGTGTAAACGAACTTGATCCATGTGCGCGTGCTCAACAAGTGCCGATCATGTGTTTTTTGGTTGACCTTTCAGAGTCAGTGAGAGCCAAAAGAACGGCGATGCTGGAAGAGAAAGGTCTCATTCTGTGAAGCAGAGAGTATCAAAGCATATCAAAGCATATCAAAGTGCATTGCCTTTGGGAATTGCACCTAAGTAAAGAAATTCATCATTCCTGCAGGGGTACTAGGCGACACTGCTATTACCCAGCCTTCCTTGGTGTGATTGTAAGAAGTGGCCGTGGTATCTCCTCAAGATCAGGCTGAGATTGCAGGATTCCTCTTTGTGGACGCTCGCAAAACACAATCGGGGGCCGAAAGACATGATTGAATTGCAATGCCGTTTTGTGATGAGTCGGCATGCTTTCTGGCTGTCTGTTTTTATTGTGCCAAATCTTCCGGCTCAAGCTATGCACTTTTGATAATCATGATAATATGCGGTATATGGACCGTGAGATGACGCTGGTTCCTTTCAAAGGCGGTTTGCCAACCAACACAAGGAAATACCGGTATGACATGCGGGGTTGAGCAGTCTTGTGGAGTTTCACTTGTGACAATCTTTTCATCCTTCCTGTCATTCTACCGTCAAACCATTTAATTAGTTAAGACCAACAGCTTCACACAACTCCACATTTTTCAATGCGTGAAGGGTGGCAGTCACACCGTCACACCATATGGCTTCCAAAAGAAGGCCGCGGCGCCTAAACTCACACCAATGTTAGCGGAGAACATTTCGCCCAGCCATGCTTCGTTGCCGAGCGAAGCCGAGCTCGGTGTTAGATTTAGATCCGGAAAGAGCCGGAGACAACAGACGCAGAAGTAGAAAGCATAGAAAGGAGAAAAAGGAAAAGAAGGAACGAAGAGACAAGGTGAAGAACAAGAAGAACAAGAAGGACAAGAAGGACGGAAAGGAGAGAAGCGGCGAGACTAGAGGGGCACCAGCAGAAAGGGCACCGGCAGGAGCACAAGGAGGGCCAGTGGCTCGGCTGTGGAGACCTTGGGGTAGCCGGCCTATTGGTGCTCTATTGAAACCTGCAGTCCTTCCACCTCCTCCGCCATCACCACCTGGAGGGTTGAAAGGGATTTCCCTGGAACACTTCTGTGCCTTGGCCAAAGTCGGCCAATCAGAATTGGCCAAAAAGCTTGAACACTTACTGACCGACTATGACTTAGGAGTGGCAAAAATGACCCCCTCCAAAAGTAATTGAACCCATGTCGTCATCTGAAAAAGGCATTTTTTGGGTAGATCATCAGTCTTCAGGCTGGAGAAGCGGCCGTTCAGGGCTCCAACGTTCATGGTCGTTGATGCTCATTGATGGTGATTATTTTTTTATCTAAATACCAAAGTCCAATGTGGGAGTTTTGCAAAAAACTGATCCTGTCGCAACCAAACGACATAGAAACCGATGTGTTCTTCAAAGAAATATGGAGAGGATTTCCTCAGTGATGTGCTCAACAAGTTCCATGTTGCCTAATTACCGACTATTGTTTTTTTGGTTCTCTGCCGCAGTCTGCCAGCAGGGCAAGGGACCCGACGGTGTAGGTAAGTCCCAGATCATATCGGTTCAACCGTGTTTTTCGGAGTAGTAGCGGCGTGGTTGCAAGCCACATGTTTGGAGCTTTCCACCGAAACCCTATGTATATATATATATATGTATATGTCATATTCCCATCTAAGCCCTCAGTCATCTGAGGCCAGTATAAATTTCAGCCATTCAACATTGGAGGTGGCGAAAGCTTGCTGAATCATTGGTTTTGGACTTGACACAAGCCCATTCCCAGTTGGAAGGATATATGTCCATTTTGAAGGGTTTGGGCCCAATTCAGCCCTGGCAGAACGCTAAGGCCGGCAATACATCCACAAGGGCGAGTGCGATTTTGGCAGGAAGTGCAAGTTCATCCACTCCACATTCTGCCGCAGGTACCTGCTGACAGGGAAGGAGTGCTTCTTGGCAGCAGTGGAGGCGTATTTGATGAGTCGGTGCTTTCATTCCACTTATCATAACTTATTTTCATTGTCATCAAAATTCAGATCCTATTGCGTCAATGACCCGTACAGATACAGATTGCGTGCAATGTATGCACATGTGTGTATTCTATCAGATTGGTATAGTTGAATACATATAAATACACACACATGTGCACACCCTGTCGTGAACCTGTGTCCAAATTGCATTAAGCCGACTTGCGTGGTATTTTGAGGTGACCAAATGTAAACATTGAGTTTTTGGTTCCCAGATCTTTGTTTGAAAATGGTTGCTTTCGTCCAGGGGGCCCAAGGGCCAAATGCAGATCCCGCATCCAAGGTGCATCCTGTGACTTCAGCCACTTTGACATTTGTGACCTTGGCTGAAGGAGTGGGTGGATGGGACTGCATCCATGGCTTTTGGGGCTTTGATTTTGCACAGATTGATTTAAGCCAGCAACATGTTGTCAAATCAGGGTTCGGTAACACATGCAGCTACCCGGTGGTACATCATGTACAATACGGGCCAGCTTCTCGATATACGCAGCTCACCGGGCTTGAGGCATCCGCATTTCATATCAGTTCATTGCTATCTCAGATTTAAGGTTTGAAAGCAAAGGGTGAGCAGCCAATGGAAATCGATATAAATTGATTCAACCTTTCATTCGCCAAGGCCCAGAATTCAAGGCAAGGCTACCATGCCCACGACGACAGCGATGCCCGTTTCTGCATGTCAGGGTTCCAGCGGAACTGTCGTCTGGAGTCCATGGAGTGCAGATGCCGAGCCAGTGGAGTACCCTGGTACGACTGTGAGTTTCGAGCGAGAATGACTGACCGATTCGTTTCAATGCTTTTTCGGAATGGCTTTGCAGATGTAGATGAAAAGATGTGATCCTAGAATCTAACGAGTCCAGCAACTATATCTTCATCTCCTTTAGATTTGAGATGGTTCGGTGGTTTCATGAATCAGAGGAGTGGAGATGAGCGTGTTCCCGTCAGCTCCTGGTTGCACCAGGTCCTGGTGCAGCTTCGGTTCTCAGTGCTCCACCTCTCCCAGTTCTCCCAGCTCTTTTAGCACTGCCAGCTCCACCTGCAGCGCTGGCAGCGCTGGCAGCGCCAACCGAAGAGGAAGACGCTTGGCATAGTGAGATTGTTTCACGATGACGCCGTCACCTTGGAGATGAAACATGTGCATGTCATTGTGTTATGATCTAGTTTTGATCATGGGTGAGGAGGTTAGTTTCATGATGCATCATTGTGGTTGCTTGAAGATTCCAAGCAGGCTTCATGTTATCCCATGGCTACACCCACTTTGAGGTCCACACAGCCAAACCTACCCATTGACAGCGCCCAGGCAAACTGGACAGCCCCGGCAGAGAGCCAGCTGACATCGGGCTTCGCGGAAAAGTACGGCTACGAGGATTGCGGTGCGGTGATATTCACTATCATATGTAGTTTAAATTAGCAGAGATGTTTCAATCAGTTCGCATCTATTTTGATCAATGTATTGAACAGCCGCCATAAAATGCAGTTGGAATCACATTCTACCTGTGGCAGACCTTCGTTCATTCCCTAGTTGATTTTCACATCTCTGCCGCTGGGGCCGGAAGTGTGCGAGATGACCTCTTATCATGACGAATCCGTTTGCGAATCTCACAGTACTTGCAGTGATTGAACTCAGAATTCTAGCAAACGAATCGCCAGGAGTGGGGAGATAGCGGAGTGGAAGAAGATACGGACGGCGAACATTCCAGCGACCAGAGCAGCGGCAGTGATCTTGAGGCCTGGTTTCAACAAAGATTCAGGATAGAGTGATAGAGAAACATGATTTCATGAGGCCTCCACACATCATGACATGCACGTGATCAAAGATGATTCCAGTCATCACGAAATCAAGTTGGGCTTCGCGGCCCTGGCACGAAATCAATTTTGTTGAAACATGTGCCTCGAGACCCTGGTTTCTTCATGGGCACTTTGCTCTGGCACGGAAAACCAATGAAATGATTGAACCACGATAAAACCAAGGATCAGCAAGACCGTGCTCAGCCACGTTGGGCAAAGTCCAGTGGCAGTGGGACAGCTGGTGGTGTGGTGGAGCCTGGCAAGTATGCGACTCGGCATCCCAAATGCCGTCGAAAGATGATTCTTTTTCACTGTGTAGTTTTCATTTTGAGTTGGGCCACTTTGTTCCTACACGAACTACAGTTTTTTGTTTGCAAACGCGTGGGTAGATGTGGGTGGCCAGTATTCCTTTGCCAGCCGTGAGGTTCACCGTTTAAATCCCTTCGTAAAGTTCAATCACATGGTGGATACCTCAACTCTATTGGTGTGCCAACCCACCTTTCACACTACATGTCCCATTGGCCTGGGACGTTTGAAGTCGGTTTGAAGTTTTGGTGTCATCAAGTGTTGAACATTTTTTAGACTTTAATCACTTTAATCGCTGATTTTGTTCTCCGCCCAGGTGCCGCGTAAGGCGCGGGCAAAAGGAGACCCAGCCGAAGATGATGGCCAAGGTGACCAGGGTGGCGCGGAGTGCAAGGTGGAGAAGGTGGAGAAGGTGGTGGAGGCCAAGATTGATCGCCGAGTCTTCCACAAATGGCGCGTCAGCTGTGCAAGGCGCGACATGGAGGGTGTTAGGTGGTTGGAGAGCTCAGTGGGGGTAGGGTGGCTTTACATTGTTTAGATGATTCATAATAACTGGAGTTGCTGTCCATCAGTTTCTGCCTTTGCAGCACCTTCTCCCCGCCTGTCACTCCAGTTCCGAAAAATTCAAACGTCGTGTCATCTCGGGATGGTAAGCCTGGCCAGGTGCCATCAAGATGTGATGAAGGTGGACAACCACCGGATATGTCATGTGGTGGCATGCGAAGGAGGGAAGAAGAAGAGCGTATGTGTGTGCTGTGCTTAGTTGTGCCTAGATGGCCATGCGCAGCCCATGACCAGCCATTCAAGGGGTCATACAAGTTTGAACCCCCAATATAGCCAGTGTTGCAGATTTGTTGAACAGGGCATGGCCAAAATCCGTCCCACAAGCCTCGAACAGATTCTGTGTGTCTGTTGTGAATTGTGATCATTTTTTGTTTTTTTCTGGCAAGCATCTGGGAACACAATTCCAGGAACCAAATTCCATCACGCGTCCGAACTTTCCATGATTGGTTGAAAACAAAATATATTCGATGCAACCCAACAAATGTGTGGAACATCAGTTAAATTTCTTAATCTGTTGAACTTGCTGTCAGACTCATATTGACAAAAGGCGAGAAACTCCATGTGGTCCCGCCGGTCCATCAGGTATCGAGCATTGAGAGGCCGGGTGGGAATGCCATACAGGGAGTGGCTGAAATTTGGAAGTCCCAGAGTTGGGAACTAGCATGAACTAGCCACGCTAGTCACAATAAATATTTCCATATTGCAGCAAGCGGTTTCAGGCTTCAGGGCTTTCCTTTCCTGAGATAAATTGAAACCTTGGTGATTTCCCGGGGAAGGTGTCCCTGCTCGTCATCCTGTATCAGTCATCTTAGTAGAATCTTCAGTATCAGTTCCCCACATGGTTGGGTACCATGATCGACCATGAGACATGAACATGGGGCCATGAGGGTACTGTAGAACCAGGTTTGAGTGTGCGGAAAAGACAGGAAATCAGGCATCTTGATACAACCATGTATGTACAACCCATGCATCCTGTATTCTGTTATGGCCGCTGCCCAGTATGAGATGGCAAGGCGCTTTGTCTGTGATTGTTTGACTTCAATTTTCAGACAATGGATAATTGGTAGCACCTGAAGGATAACATGCCACCAACACGAAACCATACCAAGCCATACCAGGCCATACTACACCACACTGAGCCATTGGTTAAGACATGCACCTTAAAAAGTGATGGTTGGTGCCACTTGGTGGTTTGGTTTTGATGCTTTTGTCTCACATACTTGGGATCGCGAGCTAGTGGTATTGGCATGGTCGGGAATCTGTTTTTGAGGGAGGGTTCCTCAACCGCCAAGCGAATTGTAGCCAAGATCAGACCCACAAACTGAGCCAAAGAGTGGAGTCTGAAGAGCAGCTTGTTTTTTGGGTGCCATCGAAGAATCGGTGGATGAGTGGATCGATTGTTCGGAGAATTGACAACAATCAGCCCCACCAATTCCTGAAGCTAACGGCCAGGCTTTTCTGTGAATTTTACACAAAAATCCCTTGGACCAACCCTGTGCAAAAAGCGAAAACCCAACGATCTCGCCTGCCTGGTAACCTGGTATTCAGACAAAACCCGGGTGATGATCCACTGCGGTAGGCACTTGGCTGAGTACCAAAGATGGTGGCCTCTTTGGTGGTGGTGGAAGAGGCGAGGAAGACCCTGTGGGTCTTATGGCAGTTGCTGGCGGCAAATCATATATCATGATGTCATATATGGACCTTTTCTGAGAAATGTATTTCAGATCGCATATATATATATGATAGGGTATGATACGACACGATATGATATTTGATATGTACTCGTAACATGCATATGTATGTGTATACATATATATATATGTATATATATACATAATATAATGTGTGTGTATATATATATTATATACATATTTGTAAGCTGGCATAGTTATTCAAATTACAATACAGGTAAATGATATAAACAGATGCTATTACCAGTACATCTTCTGCGATGTTTGTTTTTTTGAACAGTTACCTACTACTAAGATTCAATCCTTGTTTACATGTTTTTTGTTATTTTCATGATATTTACACCGAGGTAGGGTTTAAGCATGTCGCCTTGTCACCCAGAGATTTGAGTGACCTTGGGTCTGAAAATTTGCAGATTTAGCCAACTCCGAATGAAACGTGCAGCCTCATTGTGGTGACTTCCAAGGCCACAATCCCAGGTGCTAGTCTGCTAGTCCTACAAACTCTCCTTGCCCTCATGGAAACTCATAGGTTTGCTGGATGGGAATACACGGCTCCCGGCAGGCTCAATTTTTGTTGCTGCTCTTGGGGTGCCCATCCGGACCATTTTGCATCATAACCAAATGGATATCCCTGAGAATCCGGTCCATGGTCCTGAGCCGTGTCATGATCTTGATCCTGGTCATCAATCATCAAGTATAATACATCATCGATCATCCATCATCCAACACTACTTATCCATTTCCTATCATCGTGATGATCATGATAGGTGTTGACATCTCTGCCTTCAGTGCCCACTCCGGTAAATCAGAGTCTTTACATATCTTAGCCGTTGAAATGACAGGGTCAACGCCACGAGCGTCCACCCTTTTTTTTGGTTTTCATAGATCCATATAGCTGCTGAAAGAAAATCATATGGATCCATAATCTCATTTTTTTGGGATCCATCCAACATATCCATATTCGGGCATGGACTTGGTTGCCTTAGTTGCCTTGACTGGATTGTCGGGACTAAATTCGAAGATAGCTCCAAACATTGGCACCAGATGGTGCATGATGGTACCAGGTCCATGTCTGATGGGCCGTGATTCATACTATATATAGAGATTATGTGCTAGTAAATCGATTGTATGATATATCTATGTATAGACTATATTTTAATGATACACTGTATATTATATATTTATGCACTATATACGTTCATCCATTTATACACAAATATACATGTGTATATACGTATATATATATATACACATACACACATATATATATACACACACGCACGCACGTACATTCATTACCTACAGCCTGGTATTATATATTCTGTTGCACTAGTCTGTCAAGATGCCTGCATGCTGACCGTCCGGAAACCATTGTGGCAGACGATCGTTTTAGCAAAAAAATAGCCCTGAAACAAAATTCAAAAATTGGAGCTAGGTCTGTGGAAATCAGATTTCATCACTACCCCTTTTGCAGTCTCATCATATTGGATCATGCAACTGTGTGAGGGCATCCAGAGCTTCTTGTAATTCCGTAGGAAATGGCTCTTCTCCTTCACACATCAGACCTTGCGCATGCCTGGTATGAGCCTGTACCAACACTTTGCATAATTTGGCAGGGTAAATTTAGCCTTGGGGGAGTGTCAAGCTGCTGTCTTTCCCTTTGCTCCGATCTGGCCTGCAGGTGGCACTATGCGACCAAAAAAGGGCAAAAGCGGACGTGTCTGCCAGACGAGGCTGTCAAGTGCCTACAATGTGGCCAAAGCCAAAGACAGAAAGCGTGAACGAAGGAGCCTATGAGTTTGATCATGTTTGATTCCAATGTCGCAATGTTTCAAGATGGGTGACACATGGTGGATATGGCCACATGGTGGATATGGCCACATGGTGATACTTTGCCCGATTGCAATAGTGATTCCACAAAAAGACACGAGTATTTACCAACCTCAGGTCGAGTGAACGGATAGCTGCCGAACCTCTCTAAAGAATAACTGTCATACCTGTGGCCTTACATTCCATCTTCTTTGGTACATCCTGAACAAGTCATATCATTCCGGCAATTGACCACAAGCGAGCCATACTGGCAGCCCTCAAGGATTCTGAAAGGAAAATTGCTGAAGCGGAACTGGAAATACCACGACCTGGAAGAGTGCCGTGGCAGAGTAGTACTTTTGTGGTGAAGCATGGGGCCAGGTCTTGTGGCTGAGTGTTTGAGACTTGCGGGTTAACCGGGTTAACTGCTTGTTTGAAAGAGGTTTGTCAATGATTTTTCATGGCAATCTAATACAGTACATAATGACATCAGAGCAGAGTACATACAGCAACTTTCACGATCAAACCAGTAGGTGTGTACAGTAAAAGGGAAGTAAGTGAAGCAAGTATGTATTTGCCACTGGCACGTGGCGGCACTGTACCTGCAAGCTTCTCGGCTGTTTTACAGAAGCACCTGTTCACGTTTCAATTCGAGGTGCGATCCGAATGCTCCAGAAATGCGATTTGAGGAGCAAGTGCGCCCTTTGGCAATCAACAGGATATAAGAACAAGCAAGTTTGTGTATGAGTGGTGAGGTTTCATGATGATTTCTTGGGCTTTTGTTACTCCTCCCCATATTTCCCCACCAACTGGTGTGTCGTCAGGCCATTTGTGCACTTCAGGGGGATTGACAGGCTATTTGTGGTCGATGACAATGTTCTATGCAAAGGATAGTAGCTTACGGCAGCTTATGTTTCATCGAATTTGGATCTGCTTTGTTGCATCCATTACTACCATGGCCTAAATGCGTGACCCACCCATGTTGAGCAACCCTTGTGCCATGTGCATAATGATAGTATACACTTCGTATGCACTTAGTATACACTGTGCATACTATATACAAATACCCCTTCCGATGCACCGAAGGTTGATTAGACAGAGGGATGGAGTGGCAGGGCTCTGCTCCCGAGGATTGGAGCGGATCATCCAACTGCGTGGTGAAGAAATCAAGCGAGTCACTTGGGCTCCATGGCGGCTGGAAAGCCTCTACTTGGATTGGAGAATCAAGGTGAGAAGTGGATAATGACCATGAATGACCATGGTTAATGGTCTGTCCCCCAACTGGGTTAGTGATGAACCTTCAAGTAGAGGACGGGCAATGCCTGTAGATGCTTGTGGGTATTTTTGAATCTCTTGGCAGGAAGCATTGTGTCATTGCAGGACATGTGGGTATCTAACCGTGATTGGGAAAGGACATGTTGATTGAGGGGAAGCGTTCCTGTGATGGATTGTACTTGTTCGTGCATTGAATTTCAGTATCTTTAGGTTTGTCAATGAAGGACGCGCTTCCTGATGACAATCAATGACAATTTTTGATTGTCGAATCGTTTAAATGGACCTATTTGGAAAGATTCACTGCCTGAGATGGGCATGTGCCTTCCATCCTAGGACGAGGCTGACGAAGATGACAAACCTCTGTTGCAATTGATGGACAAAGCGACAGAGGCGAAAGAGGCGAAAGAGGCGAAAGAGGCGAAAGAGGCGAAAGACGAGGATGACGAGGATGACGAGGATGACGAGGATGACATGCCGCTTTCGTCCTGGCTGAAGAGCCAGGACGACGAGGCGAAGCGCAGACGCCAACATGACGCGAAGAAGCGCAAAACCGTGACGACCCGCCCTGCCCTAAAGGGGCCGCAGCTGACGCACGCCACGGGGGGTGCGCAAGGCGGATCAATGCGGCCAGACGGGTCAGTGAAAAAAATGGTGAGCGGCTGGGTTTATCGATTCCGCAATCCATTCAGCCCATCCAACATCCATACATTGTGAAAGTCAGGGGAAACTACCTGATATTGGATGAGTAATCTTTGGCGTTTGATTTCATTTCTGTTGTTTTTCGTGACTTGGAACTTCTGAATCTTGCAATCGTGAATCCACTGTAGAGCTGTCAAAACGAGGGAACGTTTTCTGCTTTTTAAATTTACAGACACTGCGCATAGTCCAAAGCTAGGGGATTGAGCAACTACTGTATGTTGTCTTTCTTGTAGTTTGCTGTGGTGCTTCTCGTCAACCTTCACCAACATACCAAATTTAATGTTGTGAAACCTGGAACATGTTCTGATGCATTTCTACAAATGGCCAAGTGTTCAACATATCGCACTCTACAACATTGCAAGGAAGTGGCAAAACAGCGGGGAACGTTGGGGTCGGCATGAGCAAATTGGAGCAAATTGTGATGATATATTTCTTGCTGCCCATGCGTGGCATGATTTCTAGGTGTAATCGACGTGGAGAGCAAAATCTTTGTGATGCGACTGCAGCTGCCAATGGTTGGACTAGGGCCGATCTCGATCAGACGGACCTCTGCAGTCAAGTGGACACGGCAATTTGGAACCACTTGCCGTGACAAGTTTGATTTGTCTATTTCGCAGTAGGTTTGATTGGTGGTTGATGTTGATAGAATAGCCACTGAAGAGTCTTGGGATGCGTGTTTTGTCCTGGAGATGTCTGACAAAGGGGGATGCTTTGAAGATAAAGAAATCAACTTTCACTTCATGCATCAAAGGACTACCATTGATTATCGCAATCATGTCTCTGTGCCATTCGTTCATCCATCCCTTTCAGAGTCCTCTCCATAACAGGTGACTGGCAGTGACCGGTGAATCTTTGTGACACTATAACTTAAAAGTGGGTGAAGAGCTGTCGATGGCGGGCTACGATTCGTTTCGCAGAATCTGGTCCATAGTCCTGTATTGAGGGTGGAAACAAGAAGAGGACGGGTTCAAATGACATGAACAGTTCATGCACGCCGAAAGACATGATTGAATTGCAATGCCGTTTTGTGATGAATCGGCATGCTTTCTGGCTGTCTGTTTTTATTGTGCCAAATCTTCCGGCTCAAGCTATGCGCTTTTGATAATCATGATAACATCCGGTATGGACCGTGAGATGACGCTGGTTCCTTTCAAACGCGTTTTGCGAACCAACACAAGGAAATACCGGTATGACATGTGGGGCTGAGCAGTATTGTGGAGTTTCACTTGTGACAACCTTTTCATCCTTCCTGTCATTCTACTGTCAAACCACACGTTTTTCAACCCGTGAAGGGTGGTAGTCACACCGTCACACCATATGGCTCCCAAAAAGAAGGCCGCGGCGGAGCCCAAAGGCCTGAAGATCTCCGGTTGCAACAAATTGGGTTACTCTCAGCTCGATCACTCAATGGCACACCATCCCACACGACATGGTCAAGTGAACACTTGTAGTACAGTGCTTTATCAGTTCATCACGACTCACGACTGGCGGATCTTGGAAGGCTCTCCCCTAAAGAAAGCGAAGAAAAATGCGAGTTGGGAGTGGAAGGAGGGCGGGGCTGCTGAGGCAGACGGGGACAGGCATTCTCACTTCAGGTCGTACTATGTCTTACTGACTCAACTATGTGTTTGGCCCTGTTTGGCTGTTTCTTTCTGTACATGTGATCTTTGTACCGGAAACTTCATTTGATGGTGCTTTGGTTTTCATGAGTTTTGATACCAGAACAATCGTTGTCAATTCTTCGTAGCGTTCGTAGCAATATATGCAAACAAGTGTTCACGGTGAAGAGGAACATGTCCCTTTTCGAACTAATTTTCTTCACATCAGAGATGATCCATGGCCATGGCAATGGGTGCAAGGACGGGACCTCGTGGAAGGCTTATGCCGAGGAGGAGAGCACAAAGCGAACAGAGCCAGTTGTGCCATGTGGCGCCAAGATGTGAGCAGAGAGGACATTGCAATCGGACATAAACATAACTATCATTATGAGGTTATTATCAAGATTGATCAATCATGAGTCATGATGAGTATTCAGTTTATAACTGTAGCATTGTCTAACTAGTTATGATACTTAATGATAATGAATGATAACTATGTTGTTCAGCCGGATGGAAGGAGCAATTTATATCAACTTATTATGCATATTGCACTGTGTATCACATCAGCCTCTCATGCTGGTTGTCAAAGAGGTATCTCAGACCTGGAGTCTTAAATGTAGAGACACACAATTTTTACTTGTACATATATACAGGTATATAGAGATGATGTACATCTGTAGCATGTATACGCCTAAAAAACATGTATGGATTGGATATAATCCAAGTAGTCTTGTGCAATGCAACGGAATGCAAAGGGATTCGTCAAACTACAATGCAATGTGATGTAAGTAAGCTATTTAGCAAATGGCACACGTATCTGTATGGTTATTGGATTCTTTCCCATTTGACATGTGCTGTTCCTGTGAGCGGGGAGAGATTTCAAAGTTGTCACTTGGCACCCGTGCGAGGATTCTCAGCTGTGAAAAGCTCAGACTTCGAAATAGCCCACTGTGAGTTTGCCGGCTTCTTCGTTTGTGGTCAAAAAAGACTGCTGGGTGTCCCACATTGTTGGAAAGCACACTTCGCTTGAGATGGTTTGACTCTAGCACTCTTCCAAAGAGCAGCGGAGCAATTCAAGTGTAATCACAGCTGTTTGTTTGAACGCACAGTATGCTTTCTTGGCGGTAGATGTATCAGCAGACTGCCAAAATTGATGCTACTTTTGAGAAATACATTGACCTACCTTGATGCAGTTGGTGCAGTTTTTTTTGCCCTGCCTGTTTGTGCGTTTGCTTGCTCCATGATATCCAGCGCGGTATCTCTGGTTTGCTTTCTGCACTAAGTCCACTTTCCTTATCTTACGAGGTTGGAACATCTCTATGCCACGGTCGGGGAGAAGGGCAAGGCCTGGGTATTTCAAGATATTTCGAGCGTGTTGAATCGGTGTGGAAGACTGTTGAGGTTTCGCAAGTGATGCCCACCCTGAGACAGCGGTTGGTTCAGATGCAGTCCATGCTGCTACACGTGCTTCTTTGGAGGGTCGGTCAGGATGAGGGCAGATCCAACATTTGCAGGTCATTACCACTGAGTTCTCTTTCAACCAGGACGGCTTCCGGTTTCAAGATGACTACAGAACAAACATACGATAGTTGATCCCCTGGAAGAAAGACATCCAAAGACGTGGATTCATTTTTGTGATCTCGGTAGTTGAGGAAATTGTGGCAGATTTGGCAGGAGCACCAGACCAAGTATGAGCTGAACTTTGCAAAAATGTCACAGCTGAGCCGGCACTATTGAAAGCGGGATTTGCTTTGCAGCAACCAAAAGTAGTTGACTATGTAATGCACTGTTTCAATATGTTAAAATGTGCTTTAATCCTAAAGTAAGATGAAGCACAACTACGTAACTACGTGTTCTGCATTAGTTGCTTTTCTGCCGTGCCAGAACGAATCTAGAGAGCAAGAAGTCCAGGACAATCCGACGGAAAGGTGCAGCTCATGGTGCATGTCGCTGCATTCAGGTCCTCAAGGCTGTCTTTTGATAGGAACCCTTCTAGATCTAGCTGATTCTAGCTGATTCTAGCTGATTCTAGCTGATTCTAGCTGATTCTAGCTGATGCTCCTGACATCTCCTGACCACTTCTTGGTTGAGGGGACATCTGGTGTCGTAGTGTCGTAGTGTCGTAGTCAGTATCATTTTTGTGAGGTGTGTCAGGCTGTGTCGGATGTGTCGGGTTTCATTTTGTCAACTTTTTGATCTCATCGGATCTGATCTGATTCGCTCTCATTTGGACGAGAGGTGACGCCGCCGCTGTGGTCAAGAAGGCAGCTCCTTGGCTCAAAGCTCTCTCCATCTCTGGGTCGCGCCAATTCCATGCAGTCTTTATGTAGTCTTTATGCAATTTTGTGGCTTTGCTCTTTGCAATTTCACGTTGGCGTTCCCACATTCTTCTCTTCATCTCCATGTGGAGCTGCGTGGCGGAAGTGTCCACAGCACCAATCAAGAAGGAGTGTTTGAACTGGCTGGAATGAATCCGACCCAACTTGAAATCAGGCAAACCGGATTGAGCGACATTGAACGTCTATATTTGAACGTAATTTAGTCCAAATTTAGCTTATTTGATCTGATTTGATCTGATTTGTATCTATTTGTTCCCAATTTGGTCGCTCATTTTAACTCCAAGGTGTGGGAGTGGTGGTCAGACAGCGACGAGTGGGAGCCCTTCAAAGATGTTTGAAACTCAGAAACTCGAAGTCAGCGGGTTTCTCGGAGGGCCTTCTGCTCTGGAAAGGAACACATGATAATCCACAACAGTAAGTGTCTTTTAGAGTATCCGAAAGCCAACAAGATACTCAATTCAATTAATTATAGAATGATAGGACGTACATTTTCGCATAATAATTCCGATAGTAATACATACATTTGAACCCCAAATTCCTAAGTGATGAACATATTCTCTGCTCACGTGATGAATAACAGCTCTCAATATGCTTCAGCAACCTACATCAAGCATATATGTATATGCTGCATGTGCATTATATGATATAATATGCAGATACATAGAATAGATGCTAGATGCACAAAGGGATCTTATGTACACGAGCTATACAAGTTATCCGTGTATATAATATTATATCATTTATATCTGCCAGATGCACGAAGATAACATGTATTTTAGGATTTTTAGGAGTGCATTCTACTGCATTTTGTACATGGTATGCCTAGTAGGTTACTGATATCCAGCAAACTTGATATCAACCAGTTTGAAAACATCGAAATATGTCATGATGTATATGTATATGTATATATACATACATATATACACATAATATCATACACATGTATATCAAACGATATCTACGTCGTTTCTGTGTCCGTCCAGGGCGACGTCTTTTGTGCATTTTGTGTACCTTTCCAGGTCGATGGGCAGCTCTTGGAGAAGGCGAAGCTCGATGGTGGCGGTTGCATCATGCGTAACCCGTCACCAACTGTAGTAACTGTAGTGTATAAAAAATGTGTGCTGATTTCAGTGCTGCAAGACTCAAGACTTCTGCCTTACAGCCAAGTTAGAATTTCAGTCAAAAGTAATTTTGAAATTAAGTTTGCTAAAAGACTTTTGCTACAATGCAGTCGTCTTTTTTTGAAATTATGAGAATTATGAAAGCCACATGAGTCATGTTTTATGATGTTTGAGCGATGTTTTATGAAGCAACGAGTAGCGTAGCGAGGCGTAGGCAGCAACTTTTTTTCCTTTCGTGCTGCCAAGCTCGTTGCCAGGCGTATGTGGCGGGAGAAACACCCTTCAGCACCAAAAAACTGAGTGTTTGGACGGCAGTTAATGCGGAGACTAGCACAGTTAGTTAGCACAGTTGACACAAAACAGGAGTGGACTTGTTTGACTTGTTGAGCAGTTTTGTACGCGCAAACATTGTTTAAAACATTGTTTAGATTTGTAGATTGATAGCGTCACTTTTTTACCCTGGGAATGGTCTGACGGTGTTGGGAACTTCCGACCTCAGGCTGGAATGAAGGATACGACAGCCTCTACATTTTCGACTTTACTGTGATGACACAGGCTGGATTCGGCTGGATCTTGCGGCAGTCGGACATTATTAGCACCGATCAGCACGTTGTATTACCGTTGTATGAGGAGATATGAGAAGTATCGTTGTTGTTTCCCAATCTGAATCATACACGTTTGCATGCCTTACCAGAAGCATCTGGAGCTGTCATGGTTCACTGTTCCGAAGGAGCTTCCATGAATACCTCCCAGGTACCAAGACTGGTTCGGACATAACCCTGACCTTCCAAGAATCACATGACCTGGGGTGAAACTTTCTCAAAGTACAGGTAGCAAATGGTAGCAGGTAGAACCATGGGCAACGATTTGAAGAAGAATGGCATGGTCAGCTTGTCCATCAGGTGAACTGCGATAGCAAGACGTCCAGAAAGATTCAGCAGGGGAGCCTTACAGATCTCAGAGTCGCTTTGATTCTTTCCAGCAAAGATCTTTCTTGCAAATGTCAAGTAGCAGATGCGGCAGATGTGTTCCAACACAGAACTTTAGAATACCCTTTATGAATACTTAGTGAATACTTTCGGACTTTTTTCGTTTTTTTTTTCAAACCGTTTTTCAGTCCTTTTTCCTGTTTCCCTGTTTTCCACCCGACAGAGGCGAACAGCAGCTGGTGGTTCCAAGCTCTTCGGCCACAAGGACGGCACAGAGCTCAGAGCTGGGAATTTCCGTTTTTTCCCTTTTCGAAATGTTCCAGATTTGTATCTTTTTGTTACACTTTTTATATCTTTTTTGTATCTTTTTTGTATCTTTTTGTCCATTGTTCTTTACTTCAGAGGTTTTGGGAATCTTTTCAAGTTCGGTCCATGACGTTATCCTCTCAATCCCTTCCGTAGAAATAACATCAAAGCAGCTCTCGTGCACTCAACGACTTTCTCACCATATTTTGTCATTTTCGTCCATTTCAGATATTTCAGATGAGAATTCCAAGGGACATTCCCGGTGACTTCCGGTGACCTTTCCAACAGGGGAAGTCAGGGCCCAATTGCACGATTGCACGACGCAGGTGAAGATGACGGCTATGCTGGTGCCGTGGGTTTCTTGTCCGAGAAAGTGGGCGACACCAAGGTCATGTTTGCTGGAAAGCCTGGCTCTCAGAGGTGGCAGCAAACCGTCATAACGACCAGAACGACCAGATGACCAGATATGATTTAATAATGATCCAATGTCATCCAATGTCATCCAGTGTGCATCGATATCGTCAATGGGATCCAATGTCCTGTTGCACCTGTGGAAAGGTTCGAACCTAGCTTGACACCTGCTCTGGTGGCTGAGCAGAAGAAGCTTGGCGCGCAGTCCCTACGGAAGCAGAAGAAGGCAGATGGCTGGGAGGTAGTATTTATTTCATCATGTGAAAATTGATAGCTAATGCTTCTGTGAGTCTGCCATGAGCGCTTCTGGCTACTTGAAAAGGACTATGGGCCCATTGTCTCCAAAGATGAGCATGGGAGGACAAGATGGGGCGGAGTTGAACCGGACATTGGTCATCGCTAAACCCGCTGAGTCGACAATGAAGAATGAGCCGAATGAGCCCGCTGTCGATGTTTTTTTTTCTAGCCGCGAGCTATGAAGTTCGGGCGCTGTTCTGGTTGTGCTGTCTTGAGCTATGTCAAGTTCAAGCTCTGAAGTCCTCGTTGTGACGTGTTTTTCATGTTTGGGGTGCTGCCTTCGGCTGGTGGTCTGTTATGTGCCCTGATTAAGGGCGAGTTTCGAATGCGCAACAATGTTCTCGGGTTTGCACTGGTGATAGCCGTTTTGGCAGAGTCTGTGGGACGGACCACTCCGGAAACGCTGGCAAATGCGTTGATTGATACTTTGCTACTGGCGTTTGTAACTGTTAGGTAGATCTTGTACGACAAAGACAAAAAGCGACTGTCACATTTTTTTCCAAGGTGCTTGGATCAGAAGCAAGTGGCGGGTTCTTTCTACCGGAAATCCATGCTGGTGTCTTTGAATTTGCCTGCTGGCAGTCAAACTCTAGGACTCTAGGTCCCTTTGCAGTCGACAAGTATTGAGCATCGGCACCTTCTGCCAAACAGCTTCACATTACTCCAGCCATTCTTAAGATTGAACTACACAGCTCCGCCCAGACAGAACAGATTGACTAACAGCTCACACCTTGGAGGAAATGCTTTGATGAGATGTTGAAAAACGAGAAGGAATTTTGCGGTGAATGGGTGGCTTGGAAGCCCAGCAAGCATGGGACCAACTGAGTCAGAAATGAGCCTGCTCCTTACTCATCTTACTCCTTCATGGCCTTAAACGGAACAGGCTAGACTCAGCTAGACAGAAAAAAATCCTGAAAACTGTCAAGGATACTGTTGCGGCATATTGTGGCAATTTTCTGACTCCACTAACTTTGCTTCAGGCTCCAGGGTCAAGTTTGTTGTGCATTATGGTTCCTAAAGCCACCGAGGTGTTTTACCACAGCTACTCCAGCGCACTGGGGAGACTCTGCAGGTTGGCAGGTGTCTTTATTCTTGTTGCATCTTGTTACCATTTTTCCAACAGATCCCAGACGTATCAAAACAAAAAGCACAACAATCTTCTGTGATCTTCTGTGCTTTTTGTTTTTGGGGTCTTCTCAAGCCACAAACATTGCCATGGACCATGGACTTCCTACATAATTGTTACACAATTGAACTGCTTGAAGTGTAGTGGTAGCCGTGGAGCATTGACATGACAGGGCATTTGCAACATGACACGTCTCGGTTTCTCGGTTCACTGCCAGTGCATTCAGTGCATTCAGTGCATTCAGTGCATGAGTTTTCGGCCTTGAGGCACTGCTGTACGAAGTCCAGGCAGCTGTTGCTTGGTCTCCCAGTCTGTGGGCTCGAAGCTTCGGGAGCTTCGGGAGCTTCGATCGAAGTTCAAAGTTCAGACTCTTCTGATCTCTTTTAGGGAATCAACATGAATCAACATGAATCAACATTGAGCACCTTTTCTTCGCATGTCTGTGTGTAGTGAGCCAAGGCTGAGGCGTCTGATTGTCACGATTAATCTCTCGTTCAAAATGGAAACTGAGTACTGTTGGATGTTAAAGTGGATGTTAAAGTCCAAGCACAAAATCTTCAAGTTCTGAAACATGTGATGAGTCGTGACGAGTCGTGACGAGTCGTGGCGAGTCGTGATGAGTGACATCCTCGCACATCCTTCCCCGAGGCCTCTGTCCTCTTCCGCTTCAAGGCGGAGTTCGCAGCTCTTCCACGGCTGCTGTGTGCAGAGCTGAGCAGATTTGAGTTGAATCTGATCAACAGAATCAACATCTGACATGCGCAGTCACTGCTGGAGACTTCTTCGAACCTTTGGCAAATTATCACTTTCAACATTGGCAGTTTCTCCACGTGGGAAAACACCAAAGCGCTTTCTTGCTCACCGCTGTGTTGATGAGGTGCCCCATTTCATCACATACCCACAGCAAAGCGCATGTTGGAGGAGTTCCCAAAGTGGAAGGATCAGGATCACAATCAGGCAATGGCTGATGGGTGAAGGCTAGTCAAGACTATTTCATGGGATAAAGTTTATAAAGTCACCATTTCCGTAGTATTTATTAGTTCAGTTCTATCCCCAAACTGTCGTCTCTCCATCTGAGTTATTTCAAGAAAGTGCCGTTTCCCTCATTTTGATGAGTCTCTCCGCTCAAGCGGAGATTCTCGACAGTATGCTCATAATTCATCCCTGTGTATAGATTTTCCGGAATATAGCTTGGACTAGTGCTAACCATGAGATGGCTCTTTTAGGGTGAGCTCACATGCAAGTGGCATTTTGACTTGGGCTTTCCATCACTTCACTGCACACTCGAAAGTTGCCGAGCTGCCGTAGGCCTTCAGACTGGTCGGACTTTGCCCAGCACTTAGGCAGCCTAGAAAATATATGAAAATATATCTTGATCTCGGAAGACGGAAGTAACTTCAATGACGAGAAGACCGGGTCAAAGACGAGTGCATGTAGTTGGAGACAACTGAGCGCTGCTGCATTAGTTGCATCAACTTAGGAAGAGCACATTCAAAGCAACTGCTCGCAACTGCACGCAACTGCCAGCAGGGATAGGCATTGTTGGCTGATACAAACATTGAACGAGGTGGTACTTCGTCTTTGTTGGCACACGACTCAGAAGCCCCAGCGAAGCCCGGGCTCCCAGTTTCACAAAGTTTGAACATACAAACTTTACAAACTAGTGCCGAAACAAGATCCCCCCAGAATTGAAAGCACGACATGAAAGCACGAACATAGACCAGGCAGGCCCTCTATGATGGTGGTTCTTTGATGCGTCCGCAAACAGACAACCAAAAAGTCTCCTACCCTCAAAGCCTCCAAGAGATACTCCAGTGCCTTTGATGCAGATTTTGGCGGACAAATCTCAGATCCGGATGTCGCCTGAGTCCTCTTTGTATTCTTTGTGATCCGCAAAGAGCATGACGAGCTCGTGATCTTCTCAGGTCTGTGTTCCTTGCGGGCTACAGTGTTGGTCCTCTGAAGGCTCGTTGATGCTTGTTGCATCTCTTTGTGATTTCCCCCTGTGGTTCCCGAAAGATAGGCATTCTCGGAACGAATCGGTTCTCAGTTCTCAGGGCTTTGGTGCGGTTGGTTCATGATGTTCATGTCAAGATAGGTTGAGCAGTCACTAGTGCCAGGCAATGCTATCTGACATCCACTGGCTCTCATGCCGTAGATGTCACTCAGATACAACTGCTATGTAGACTCTGTAGACACTTATACTCTTGATACTCAATGCAAAAAAACTTGGCGAGACCTGGGACCTGGATCATGAGAAATAAGAAAAGGCATACGCGAAAGGTACAGAGACAGCCTTCGGTGCCAGGGTGTTCTAGAGAAGTTGCTTGGAAGCTGTGGTGTCCCTGCTGGAAAGGTCAAGGCCTGGTGTGGCAGAGGTAGAGAGGTAGCAGGGGTAGAGAAATCATGCCTAGGGAGCTAGGGGAATTTTGTCATGGATTGTCATGGGGTTTTCCTTAGTCTGCAGTTGGAGCATGTTTAAGCCAGTGCCGTGCATCCGTGCTCCTGAACCTGGCCTGAAAACACAGTGTGACACAACGCCTGCCTTACACATCCTTTCACACTGGGGACTCATCAAAATGTGACCAAGAACACACACACACACACCTGTTGGGTTGAAAAAAAGTGTCTACAATAAATGTCATGTCTACAGGGAAGCTTGCTTCCTGTTTTTTTTGCCCCGCGTTTCGACTGCCTTTACTTTCACACATATGTCATATGTCATGCTACGCTGCTGGACATTCTCTTGCACAAGACTTCACGAAATTTTGGAAGTACTTGTATGCTGCAGTCTGGCGCAAAAGCGTGACAGGCAATGTCCTCCACAAACTCGGACAACTTTGTGCTTGAATAAAAAAAACGGAACTTTTCCACGCAGCACTCGGTATACAGAATTGCAGTTTCGTTGAGGTAAAACACTAGATTTTCCACTTTTGAGGCGACCCTTCCATGGAATTTGAGCCAAAAAGTACCACAGAAAAAATCAAAATTACTACAGTTTCGGCCACTTCAACATGTCATTCTCTGATGTCGTCACCGACACGGCCCCTTACAGACGTTGAAACCTTTCTCGTTTTTGACATGGGTAAGTTCTCAGAACTTCTCGCTTGTTTTGTCAGAGGCCCGAGTACATCGCTCACAAAGTTGGCCAATCCATCCAACAGCTCAAGGGCAAGTACAAGTTTGCCTGGGCTCTTCTCACTGAGCGTCCCTTCCTGTGCAAGCTGATCCAGACGTTGGACGTAGAGCTCATCGACTACGTCTGCGGCCAGCTGGGGGTGGAGAAAGTGAATCCAGAACAGGCTCTTGCTTCTCCGAAGCGTGCGGAGATCGTGCATGTCTTTACTGCAGTGCTGTACCCGTGGACAGATGACAGTGAGGAGCGCCTGATCGAGCTTGGCATGACCGGCCTACCTCTGGTTCCGGGGGCTCCGATTGGTCTAGGTCTCGATGCCGCCAACATGGCAGGGAACAGCCGTCCAAGGACCACTGGTTCTGCGACAGCCTGGTGATGGTGGTCTTCTGTGCTGAGCTGGACAAAGGAGGCAGTTGGGCACAGCAACCTTTGACAGAAGTTTGGCAACTTCCCGAACACACATGCAGGAATGCTACAAAGTCGAGATCCTCGATGAGATGCTGGCAGTAATCAGCCTCCTTTGTGCTTTCACTCTGGGGGACTTGCATGCAACGCGGCTGAAGCTGAAGAAGAACGGCTGGAGCAAACACAGGCAAGATAGCTCAGAATCAGCTGGCTACTGATGAAGCTCCAAAGTAGCTTTGTCTCGTCGAGACGCCCGCACAGCAATTCAATGCAAGTTGAAAAGTGAAAGCTTGCTTAGACTTAGACCTATAGTTGCACGAAGTAGCAGCCAAACAATCGGCCGAAGAAGCTGGAACTTCGAGCCACTGCTGCATCCCTTTGCTTAGTTCACACACACATATATATAGTTATATTATATATATCACCCCCTTAAAAGAAGATCGTATATTGGAAAATTGGCCCCAGTTTGAACTTGTCTCATCTTGCACCATGGGTCCGACAAAGAGATACAACGTGGCTTAGTGCAACGTAGTCCGTATACAGCCAGTGCAGTGTAGCTAAGGGGTGAACCGAAAGACACGTCCAGTAGGCACCTAGCTATGCTGAAGCAGTAGCAGTCTCCAGAGACAATGGAAAACACCCGAACGCAGTGAAGAGAACATCTCCAACTTTGCACCTTTTTGCACCGTTTGGCACCGAGACTCGGGGTGGCTCAGCTGCTCATCATGGTAGGCTCTTGCTGCTGACATCATCAAACTTGCTGTGAAGATCGGCTCTCAGCGAGTGAGTTCTTTTACTTGTTCCCCCATCTTTCTGATCTTTCTTCATAATTTCATGGCCTTCGCATGCTTTCACTATGGATCCTAGAACCTCGTCCGAGGTCAGGCCTTGATTGTTCTGGCATCCCTGGTGGAAAGAAATGCAAGTTCCGGATACCCAGTACATCCCAGCGCTGTGGCTGAACATGGTTTTGCAATGTTTTGCATGTGACTGATTCAATACGGGCTTGGGTCCCCTGTGTAGTCTCAATCTACAGAAACTTCTTCTTTGGAACGGAACTTGTTTTCAAGAGTCTTTCCCTGCCGCTAAACTCTCCTAAATACACTAATTCATGGATGGTGTTGTAATCCCATAATACACTACCTCGACCAATCATGTGGATATTTGATCTGGAATTGTGTCGGAGCTAGCAGCGTCATTGCTAGCAGCCACCCTTTAGTTTGGCTTTAAAGAATCGACTCAGGTCAGGACGTTCTGGCCACATGCTCCAAATTTTCTTGAGGCCATGTTGAACACTGCATGATCAGCTTGATCCAGGATACTTTCCAACGCATCGGCTTTCAAGGAAATTGAATAACTAGTCACTGTTCCGGCTTGCATTGCCAGTAACCTGTCTCCTGCTTGACTTTGTATATGCTAAGAGAGCATGCAGCCAACAGGCATAGCTGGCATAGCTTCGCTTCTCCAGAAATCTCCAACGTTGCAGGAGAGAGTTGTGTGACCAGTATGTGGGGATCTCAGAGCCAGTGGCTGCGTTGCTCGAGACTTAGCAGTGATGATTCGCATGAGGTCTGACATCTACAGGGATGCTTTGATAGGTTCTGTCTTTATAGGATCCACCAAATTCTATGAGAGTGCTTTGCAAAAGAGAGCCCGTTTCTTTTGTTATTCCTAGAATGCCCTTGCCTTACCAACCAAAATCTGTACCTGTTTGCTCAGGTTTATCCATCCTTTCCTTTTGGCATGCCAGACAAGAAGAGGGATAAGCCACTGAGCAAATACCTCACACAGGACCCAGTGTGGTGTAGAACTTTTCAGCGGTTCTAACTAAGCTTCCAAACTATTCCAAACTATTCCAAACTCTAAGAGGCTCTAGTGATCTCGTCTCGCTGCAAAAACTCTCTGACTTCTGACTGCTTCTGCACCGCCGTGAGGACGTGGCCATTGAGGGACAAGTGAGGATCACGTTAAATCCGGACGTCTTCTTGCGGGCAGGGAGCCACCGGTAGAGCTGTGTGTGCAGCCAGTGCAACCGCAACTGCGGATCTTTGTACCACATCTTTTCCATTCTTTTCCGTTTTGGAGAAGTTCTCTGCAAAAACAGGATCATTGAATCATTCCTGATCATTCCTGAATTTTGATCCAAAAACACCTAAGTGGACCTAACTGATCTGCCGCCAGGCCACCACTGCTCGCATGTTTACCTTTTCGGCGGACTGGGGCAGGGAAGAGTCCAGGGAAGAGTCCAGGCTGACGACTCCATCGCTAAATTATGACCTTTTTGTGCATTATTTGTGCGTAGATCATCAACTATGGATTCTAGACATACTCACCTTACTCCTCTGTTTACTTGATTTTATTTGCATATATTTCGTATGCTTGCATACATGCCTGTAATATGCCTGATTAATGTCACAATGAAAAGTCTGAGCGGCAGGATCCCACCTTCAATGAGCGGGAAGCCTCGGAAGAACTTTTGCGGATTCAAACTGGCCCTCTGTAGATTTCATTTGAATCCAAGCATGGAGTCTGAATGATTCCCAATAAGGCTTATGTCTCACTTGATCAATGTAGTGATGTATTGGATATTTGGGATGGTTTTTGGCAGTGGCTTGTTTGACAAAGATTTGCAAATTTAGTACAAGACCCGGTGACTTGGAATAAATGGATAATTAAATAAATGCATGAATCCCCCCCATCGCCCCCAAACCACCCCCCACCCCCCACCACATCCACGGGGGAGGGATACATACACATATGCATATACACATACATATACGTATACACATTTACAAATAAGCACACTACATATGTATACACATGCACATGCACATGTACACACACACACATATATATATATATGTATGTATGTATATATATATATTGTAGCTATATATGGTACCCCCGCAAGACCTATGTTTTCAGTGGATTTTGCGGTATCTGCACCCTTCCCACTCAAGTCTGGACTGGTCTGTCTCACTTTCTCAAGTCTGGACTTGTTTTTCTGAAGTCAGGCAAGTCCATCTTAGCGGATCCAAGATCCAAGATGTCGCGGGGGTCTTGGCCCAGGAATCTTGGATCCGGGCTTGCTGGATCCAAGATTACCCAAGAAGAGTCTCTGGGCATCTTGGATCTTGGATCTTGGATCCAAGAAAAGTTTTCTGGAGATCTTGGATCTTGGATCCAAACACTACCGCCCTGAGGTTTTCAAGCCTGAACGCCCAACTTAGAGTTGGAAGCCCCTTGTTCCTCTATGCCCACACAGAAGATATGTGAGGTGTACTGATGCCCACCCAAACCCAGTAGAAGGTGATGCGCCGACATGCTTTCTCAAAGCTTGCGCTTGTGCAAAGCAGATGCGCATGCCCAACCGTGACCTACCTCAGGCCCATGTGCCCACATGCCTTCTCAGGGCTTGCGCTTGTGCAAAACAGATGCGCATGCCCAACTATGGCAGGTCTGAGCATAGGATTTCCAGTCTGAAAGGGTAGGCCTTGGGGTGGTAGCATATATATATATGTATATATATATGTATATATATATGTATATATATATATATGTATATATATATATGTATATATATATATTATATATATACACACACTTCTTACACACACACACACATATATATATATATATACACAGGAGGCCCGCGCATGCGAAGCCTGATTCCAAGTGACTTTCTGGCCCTAAAAATGGAACCTCAAAGTGCACATGTGGTATGAACTGTCCCCGTTCTCTGGCTCCCATGTTGCCATTGCGATGCAGCACCACCCAGGCAACATTCACCAATCCTTCGCTACTCCGCGCTACTCCGCGCTACTCCGCTACTCCGCGCTATGTTTTTATGCAAACATCCAATGTAATTGGCACAGTATACAAACGATGACGGAGTAAAAAAACCTTCAAAACTCAACCTTTCCACGTCTTTTCCTAAGCAGATTCTTACTCCATCCCGTTTTAAACTCATACTATTAATTAATAACGGGATTGACTGAAAAGATCATGATTCATGCTCTTTCCGGGTTGAAAACTTCGGTAGGAGCCTAGAGGGGCAAGGGGGGCCAACAAAGGGGCAGTAACGTATTCAATACAATCATTCAAATGGAAGCCGGCCACCCGCGCGAAGACCCACAAACTCCGCAACAGCAAGAAACACCTCAAGCAATCACCTAACGCTGCAAAAGGCTGATGGGCTTTCTTTTGGCGGCAAACACTCAAGCCACCAGACGGAACGAAATAATAAGATGCTAACTTCAACTGGGTTCAAGCAGCAACGGATATGCAGCCCGCTTGCCCCAACAAGAAACAAAATCATCTACAAAACAGTTTGCTCCGACGGACCCAGGGTCCGGAAAACTTTCTCAAAACCGGTTTCGCTCAAAAAGGCCTCCCTAGTATATATATATATAACTTACACACACACACATATATATATATAGATAGGGACCACGAGACGCTGGGCCATATGTATATATATATATATACATGTTACATGTATACAAGATCTGATGTACAAAGTTTTTCATTTCGAGCCACTGTGTACCAGAAGGATCAGAAGGCCAATGTAAGGTCACCACTCTGCAGACTGAGGAACCGCCCAGATTTCCAAGAAGAGCTGAAGCTGGGGAGCACGGTGAAAACAGAGCGAAAAGCGAAGAGCCGTGCTTGGGTGAAACAAAAATGTGTTGTGAGATGCTGCGAGCCTTTAGAGTCTTAGCGCCAATGCATAACGAAGCTCAAAGGCAACGGGGGGAGGAAGAGGGAAAACATGGAATAAAACATGGGACAATGTCGGACACAAAAAGACCTCTTGGTTTGGACGAGTCGTCGCCTTGCAGTGCGTCGCAGGTCCAGACTGGAACCCATCTTGGGTTCCGAGGCTGTGCGCCGTAAGGCTGTGCTGAAGCCTAGCTGTGATGCGCGCCCGCGCGTTGGTGGGTGTGTGTGCGTGTGTGTGTGACACAGCCCTTCGTACGGCGTCCAAACGCTTCCATGATCCCTCTCTGGAAAGTCCTCGGCTATGTCCTTGTAGAATCAATTTCCTGATCTCTATCAAGATGACCTTGATCATCTTCATTTTCATCGTTCCGATCATCTCGATATGGTTCGGTTTGACTCAGTTTCTGCAATGCGGCAATGCGAGTCTCGGAAGAACTCGGAAGATTCTAAGGCCAAAGGCATCTTTGGAGGAGATCCTCCAGATTGGTGGTCAGCCGAGGACTGTAGAGGTAGGTGTTCACTGTGTTCAGCTGAGTATGACAATCTCATAGAATCTCTACAACTCTGAAGGAACGATCACCAGAGATATGTGATACTTTTTGCCCATCCTTGTTCAGTGCCTGCAACGATCTCATAGTGCACCACTCTTGAAGGCATTGCCATCGCACATCTCACATCTTGGAAAACATGATCAGCTAGACATGACGATGAAGAGAGCAAAACTTGGATGTGCGAACATTCCCCCTGAGATGAGTTTGGTTTGACAGGCGGGAAGCACAGGGAAGCATCAAACCCGGCCAAGCCGGAGCCCATCACTTTGCAGGACCAAAGTGACATGGCTAAGATGTCGAAGGGCCGCTACGCATCTTCATCACTTGACGAGTAGGTTGGCTGCGAGTCGCTGTGATTCGTGCAGCTTTTAGAAGTCCACACGACTCGTGCAGCTTTTAGAAGTCCACACGACGGATGTGTTTGCATAGCTTTCAAAATCTTTCAAATCGTTTCCTTAGAGTTTCATGGTGAAAGATGGCCAAATCGGTTTTCGGTTAGCGTGAGGAAGTCACGGACCGAACATGTCTCAAGGCTTGCCGTTTGCAAGTTGTGCATGGGTTTAGAGATGTTTAGAGGCTTTCGCGCTCTCAAAATTACTACTTCGTAGTACTAATGTAGTACTCATAGCGCATGTGATGTCAAGCCTTGAGCTTCGCTTGAGATGGAGAGCTTGCTTCCGGCAAAATCAGATGAGGACCTTCTATGAAGACTCACATTTGAAGCCGTCAATTCATTTGACGCTGATTGAAGCCTCACAAGTTTACCAAGAAATGCGTCCAAGTTGGTGTCGACTGTCGCGTGAAATTTTGTAGCCTTCACCTGACTGCGCCCTCTTATGGCATGGTTTTGCCTTTGGATTTGGGACTTGTGGCCTGTTTGCACCTACTTTTTGCACCTTTTCATTCAGATAGTGTGAGGTTTGTTGTGCACATGGTTTCAGTGCCGCGTGACTCGGATCAAGCAAGCCCTGCAGACATTTTTATGGCTGAGCCCTATTGCATCCTATTGCCCTCCAAAAATCATTGCCATCCAGAGCTTTGCCATCTGAAGTTAAAACATGGATAGATTTGGATGATTCTGGATGTGCATGGATTTGCATGTTACTCTTGGAACGTTTTGTTGGGAGCGCTAGCTTTTAAGTGCCATGCCGCCTCATTTGGAGTCTGATGATGTGGATGATATCAAGACAGGGACATATGTCTACTGGATGAAGGCAAACGAGGACTGCCGCTGGCACCCAAGGGGCCCGGATGGGTCTTACCGGGGACACGTTGGACACGTCACGGCAGTCACGGCAGTCACGGCAGTCATGGAAGTCACTGCAGTCAGCATTTGTCCATCTCTTTCAACATCGCATCGCATCGCTGTCAGGATGTGGCCGAAAGGGGTGAACTTGGTGAAGTGGTTCGGGTTGATGACAACGGCAGGAGGAAGGTAAGTTTCCCCAAGGTTGGGCCATGGTTTGATCATGTTAGAATCATGTTTCATATTGTCTCATTGGCTTGGATGAACCTTGGATGAGCTCGGCAAAAGGCCACAACTGCATGCAATTGCTCTGTTTCTTCCGGATTCTGAACTACATTGATTGCTGATATTGTCTTTCGGTATTGCGCAGTTTGAACAGTTCTCCTCTCAGGGCAACTTCAGCATAGAGGCTCGTCAGCTGAATGCTTCTTGGCGAACACAGGGACAAACTGAGGTCACAAAAAACCCAAGAGGTATAGACTCGGTATAGACTCGGTATAGATGCCGGAGATGCCGGAGAGCCTCAGAGGTCCCTTCCGGGTCACACATCGACGAACCGTCAAACCAATCCTTTCAGTTCCTTTGAGAGGCATGGCCACTGAGGTCTCCGACTTCCAGAAAGGAACATTTGTGCACATGACAGATGAAGACACCGATTTGATTGGTGAGATCAAGGAGTTGGACAATGGAAAGTTGCAGGTTGATTTTGAAGGCAAGCAAAAGATGCTTGGCATTGAGATGTCGTGCTTATTCGTGCTGGATGCTGCAGGACTGACTATTCGAATCTATTCGAACTACTCCCATCTGGTCTCCAAAGGATAGAAGAATAGAGTTGTCACTCCACAGTCCCTGTCAGAACCTTGCCATCTTAGGGTAGGGTAAAGCGGAGTATAGCTGAGTATAGCAGGGTAACACTCTGCGACGACCATGATGATCTACAATGCCCGGGCCCAAGGATTCTCCAGCCAAAGAAATTGATCCGCTGCGACTTTCAACCAGGCGGGGCGGCTTTGGAAGCTTTGGAAGCTATCCAATTTGTGTTTATATATACATATAAATGTATATATATTTATACATGAATATATTATATATATACATGAATATACATATATATATGAATGTATATATATGTATATATATATATTTGAATATATATATATGAATATATTTATATATATAAATATGTATATATATATATAGATAAATATATATTATATTTGCATCGCTTTCTCTCTGGCTTTGGGCTATGTTACGTTCGATATCTAGAGCTGCTTTAGCCCACCTCAGAATCTCTTAGAATGTTGCAAGCATGCTCCAATCCATGACGCAATCTGTGGGTTCGGCGTCAATGGGCAATGAAGACCCCTTGGCGACTCCGTGTCCTCTGAGTCGGCCGATGTGAGGCATGTTTGCCTTTTGGACGAGATCGGATGAAGATATCCCTCCTGGCCATATGGGAGACTTAGCATGATCTTGGCATGATCTTGTCATTCACAATCATTCACAAATTTTGTCACTAGCAGTCACTGGTCACTGGTCACTGTCATTCTTTTGCTTTTCAGCTTTTTGGTCCACCTCTTTGAAGGTCACGAAAATGTTTCGACACAATCTCACGATTCGACGTTGTCTCCCTTCACGAAGCGTATCCGAGTAAGACATATTAAAACGTTCTTAACGATTCTTAACGGCTTTTACCTACCGCATGCGCCGCATGCCATCATAGCAGCCATGGCATAGGCTATAATTTAGAGAATGTCATCAAGGCCAAAAGCTTCACGTTGAAGGTTTGATTGCCTTATTATCTTCAAAAGTCATTCCTGGGACAATTATTATGTTTTCTTTGTAGGATCGTGTCTATCACCAACACTGATGGTCTTCTCAGTCCAACCGCACTTGCAGATGACTAAGTCGCCGCATATATGTAATTTGTGTATATAATTTGAAGGCTTCCAATCGTGATCTGCTTGTGGCTTTGTGGAATTTTGTTTGTCAAACTTTGCCAAACTCACACTGTTGAAAACTGCAATTGAAACTCTTTGGTCATGGAGTTTGACCACTCCAAGGAGAAGTGCAAAAGGATTTGACCGACAAAGGTCGAGTGCGAGCACCTTTGCAGCAGGGACCTGGTGGGACCTGGTCCGACATCGGAGACCCCATGTATTAAAACATATTAAAACAATGTCAAACATTGTCAAGCCATGGACGCCAGGAACAGAAACGTGCATTTTTTCGATTTTTTTTTGCTGCGTGGCTGGGAGTTTTCAGATTCATCACGTGTTACTTTCGCGAGTCCTTTACGAGCTCGTTTTTCCCTGGCAGGTGAAATTCCCCAAGGGGAAGTGGAATTTCAAACCTTGCCAGATGGTTAGAGCACCCATTCAGTTGCGCTCTTTGGTGCTGTGGACACTTGGAAGCTCTAGACTGTGTCTCGGGTCTTCATGAATCAACGAGCTCGGATGTTACTGGACTGGTAGATCTGGTAGGTATGTGTAGGTATCGATATTATAGATGTTGATACCATTGGCTCAATTTTCACGAGTTCTTTGTCTCGATGAACTAGGTAACTAGGACGGTATCTTGTGGGGGTCTTTGGATTCTTTATGACTCTTTGGACCCCTCCCCCAGGTCTGAGTTGGTGGATCTTGGTGGAGTGACAACTGATTTCCAAGAGAATCGAGAAAGCTGGCTGCCCAACAGTCAAGCACTCTTCAAACTTATCAAACACACCCAAACACATCCAAACACACCCACAGAGCAGCAATCCGTTGATACTAAGCCTTCTTTAATGCCCTACAACATCTGGGTGTTGCTTGAACTTGCACTGACCCAGTGCTGCAAAGAAACTGCGACTTTGATTCAGCACTGATAGCAGTGCCATGGCCCCAAAAACTGGTGTAAAAGGGTTTGTGCTCGGACGCATCATACCTATTTTCGGGAAATCTATCAGCTCTACCTCCCATTCAATTGATTTGCATTACGTATTTGTCCATCTATCAGCACCTAGAGAAGCAGACAGCTCACTCCCGAAGGGTATGGCGAATGTCAACACCCCACCAATGTGTAGCCGATGGCATGGAACCCCGCCATTGAAAAGGTAGTAATGGTATGTAATGGTCCATTGGTCAGTAAGGGTGATCATCCGCTGACCAAACGGTGCTCACCGGGTGTTGCCCCTCTGAGTGGGTGCCCTTCTGAGCTGACCCGAGGACGGATTCTTCCGATGATATTGCCAAAGGCTTTGTGGGTTTGTCAAATTTGTCCGTCGAAAATGTTTGCGACACTGCGACACTGAGACTTCGTGGGAACCAACACACAAATACCTTGACTAAGTGACTAGAGCAATGGCAGCAGTGGTGTTGCTTTTGAGACGACATTTTCAGAGCCGAAAAAAGCATTCAGCGCAAAGACCAAGAGATTCTTGTCAGGCGATGCTTTTTTGTTCCTGTTTGAGACAAGTTTGCTGAAAGGATGTCCCAACTTCAAAATCTTCGCTTTGTCAGCAATGCTGTGACAGAAAAGCTCTTTTCCAAATAGTCATGAATTTCAGAGCAGAGCTTGAAGGGTGATTGCTTTGGGCGTTCCCTGTGACACGTTGCATGTATTTCACCACCTTGCATATCAAGGGGACGTTTCGTTTGACGCATTTTTGTGAAGTCTTACAGTCTTACTAAGTCTGCCAGGTGAAGTTGGACAGGTGGGACCTGGGTTGCCATGCATGACACATTTGCTAAGTGACCAATTTAATCTATACTGTAGACTGTACACGAAAGCCGACATCATGGTGTAGCAAAGCCGAACATGCGAGATTCCTTGGCTTTGAAGAGTGCTCCCATTCTGCTCTGCTGGCTGCAAAATTTCTGCTGAGAGGTGATTCAAGGTCCAAACGATGAAGGAAAAGTCGAAGCACCTCGGCAGAAGTAGAGCGGAACCGGCGGAACACTGCATTCAGCAAGTGAACTGAAGCCCCAGCCGCTGTTCAGCAAGAATCCAGATCAATTGCGACCATAGAAGCTTGTCCTGAAACCTGTCAAGCTGACCGTGTTCCTTTGGATCAATAAAGGTTTCTTTCTGAAGGAGCACCAAATCTTGTAGCTTGAAAGGGAATCCCAATCAAGATAATCAAGTCCAAAGCTTAAAGCTAGAATACTCTCTGACAATGGACATCCTTTTTTCGCTCCAGCTTTGTGCCAAATACATGGAGTCCTGTGTACTTTGATGGCCACACCCATAGCGTTCCGGACAAACTAAAAGGATCCTTGGGTGTGCAACAGTCAGCCGTGAATTTGATGCCTTTTCCCGAGGTACAATTTGCAAAGGGTGCTTGGAGGTTCAATCCCGAGGAGCACCCGGCCTCGAAACTCAATTCAAAATTTGAATACAATACTGTACAAATTTGAATGCAATAGATTGCCATACAATTGCCACCTTGATTTGGGATATTTGGGCAGAGGCAGAAGGGCCTTGATTTGGCCACTTCTGGGATGTCATGCGCATTGGAGACATCGTGGGAAACCTGGGAGAATTGAGGGAATGTCATGACACAAACGCGAACAGAAGGAGAGCAGCAATAGAAATGGAGATGGAACATCTGAACTTTGCTTGAAACCCACGCAACCCGGGCAAGCGATGATGTCACAATGAAAGTAGAAAACTTGAGTTCAAGCACGAGCGCCAATCGAAGATATCTGCAGGACTTGTACCAGATCGAAACGCAACTGCACTCGTTTGTCACCTGGGAGAAGCATGACGAGGACGAGAGTGAGCAGATCCGGCGGAATTGGCCGCGAAAGATCGAATTCTTGAAGCAATCTTGACCGATTCTTGCACACTTTTTGCATTTTGTCCCGAGAGCACCCACGCAGGGTTCCTTCCAAAGAGCGGCTGCCAATACATTTTGATCCCCCTCCTCCTCCTCCTCTTCATCATCATCATCATCATCATCCTCATCCTCATCCTCATCCCTCAACTTCAACAACGGCGCATCTACAAGACACCTACAGCTTTTTATCTCCAGGTGTGGAGTAAGTCTAGATCTTCTGGAAAACACCCATGTATCTACAGCTGTGTAAATGCAGGTGCGCAGAGGCAGGCGTATAGATGCAGGTGTATGGATGCAGGCGTATAGATCTTCTAGAAAACATACGCATATATATAAAGTCTTTTGAGCCTCCTGCTGTACCCATGCTCATGAAACGCACCCCTTGCGCACCACCAAATGCATGTTGTCCATCAAAAACCGGAGGAAAATTAGGATTCGGTTTGCTCTCGGTAGACGTTTCCCGCACGAAATGCGCGTCGATCGTCCAAAACTGGGGGAAAAGGGTTCTTGTGTGTAAAAGCTTTCCCTGCGCAAAAGCACCTGTGTGTGAAAGCTTTTGTGTGCAAAGGCGCGGGTGTGTGTAAAGTTTCTGGGTGTAAAAAAACATTTGTTTGTAAAGGCTTCTGAGCAAAAACATCTGTGTGAGAAGCTCTGCGTGTAAAGGGGTCTGTGGGTGAAGGTATCTGTGTGTAAAGCACCTGTGTGTAAAAGCTTCTGTGTGCAAGAGCTGTCTGTGTGTGAGAGCTTCTGTGCGTAAAAGCGCCTGTGTTTCAAAGTCTCTGTGTGCAAAAAATTCTTGCTGTAAAAGCTTCTGTGTGTAGCGCGGACGGCTTCTAAGTGGTGCGCGCACAGCGGCAGCAGTTCATCGCAGCACGAGGTTCATGTCCAACAGATTGCTTTGTACACATCCCAAAGGCCGATGGGAGAGTTTGCCCCCGCCAGGCTTCCATGGTATTCCACAAGCTGTGGGACTACGTCATATAGAACAACCCTAAGATGGCGTCAGCACAGGGATGTCGGGACCCTGGCTGAATGCTGAGTTGGATAGGCACGGCCCTGTCGCACATGCCCACCGGTCCATCAACTAACAATCAGTTCGCGCAACTGTAGTGGAGCGCACTAAAGAAGAAAGGAAAATCCAAATGGTGCAAGTCCGATTGACAGGACCAACCCACATAAAAACTGAGAGAAGCAATGCTGAGCACTGGTCTCCCAAAGTTGAGTAAAAAAAACACGAAAAGTGCGACCCACGGATTCTGAGCCGGCTCAAGCCACGTGCAATCACTGTCGACATGCTGCCCCGCTCGCTTGCTGCCTCAATCCGAAGGAAGCCGCTCCCCAAAGACATACCGGCCTTGTCGGACCTCAAACTACACAATCGACAGAATTGCAGCAAGCCACGTGCATCGGACATGCAGGCCACTCTGTCCCACAAGTGCTGTCGAGGTTGAAACCAAGACGGCCATTCAGGGTAGCATCCCTGCTGTTCCGGCTGAAGAGAGTCATCTGCCAGGTGCCAAACAAGCAAGCCAGTAATCAAGGCACTGAAATCGAGACAGGCAATGAGATGTGCGCGGACTACCTGTAGAGCAGCGCTGTTTGTGATCACATCCTTCACACGACTGGGAGTAGCCGTGATGCCCAAACCAGATAGCATCAGGGGATGCAGAATGACAGCCAATGCCTTTCTTATGAAGGAGCCACGCGAGGAGGAAACAAGCCATGGTGCAACGATCTCCCAAGCATCGGTTGTAAACAGCCCCACTAACTGGAAAGACTTGGGCCGAGGGCTAAAAGCTTCTGTGTGTAAAAAGTGTCTGTGTGTAAAGACTCCCTTTGTATGTAAAGGCATCTGTGTGTAAAAACACCTGTTGAAAAAAACCGTGCGTAAAGTCTTCTGTGTAAAACCATCTGCGCGCAAAACTTCTTTGCGTAAAACCTGTGTGATCCTGTGTGTAAATAGCTTCTGTTCAAAACACCTCCATGTAGAAGCATCCGTGTGTAAAGTTTCTTTGTAAAACCATCTGAGTGAGAAACGTCGTGTGTAAAGATTCCTGCGGGTAAAAACATCTGTGTGTAGATGCGCCTGCTTGAGACTTCTGTGTGTAAAAGCGTCTGTGTGAAAAAACATTTGTGTTTAACAGCTCTGTATGTAATGATATTGGTCTGTAAAGGCTTCTGTGTGGGAAGGGTTCTGCGCGTAAAATTTCCTGAGTGTAAAAACACTTGTTTGTAAAGGTTTCTGCGACAAACCATTGATTTGTATGAGAAATTTCTGTGTGTAAAACCTTCTGTCGGTAAAAACAGCTGTGTGTCAAAATTTGTGCGTAAAACTGTCTGTGTGTGCAAAATGGTGTAAAGACTTTCGTATAAACATTTGTTTATAAAATGCCTCTATGTTAAACCAGCTGTGTGAGAGGACTTTGTTTGTACTTTCTTCTGTGTTTAGAAACATGGGTGTGTAAAAGCGCCCGTGTGTAAAAACGTTTCTGCGCAAAAACACATGTGTGTAAAAGCTCTGTGCAGAAAACATTTGTGTGTAACAACATTGGTGTAAAGGCACCAGTGTGCAAGAACTTTTGTAGGTAAAAAATATCGTTGTGTTAAAACATCTTTGCATAAACAGTCTGTCTATGTGTATAGTGTATAGAAACATCTTTGTGTAAAACTGTTTGTTTGTGAGATCACCACCATCACCATCACCATCATGACCATCATGACCATCATGACCATCATGACCATCATGACCATCATGACCATCATGACCATCATGACCATCATGATCATCATCATCATCATCATCCTCCACAACGACAATTTCACAAAATCATGTTTCATGCAGGTCATCTTTTGGGAAGAGTCCTTTGCAGTTCTATTCGGACAAATATTTGATGTTTGTCTCTTGGTTTCCATTCGGGCCGTACTGCACAACCTCGAACCAGGTCACTCAAACCACAGGTCAAAACACAACGCAGTTTTGTCTTGGAACTGCCCGAGACTACTTATCAAAGTTTTCCTCCGTTTTCGGATTGGCAACCCAGAATGCTGCAAACATGCATGGAATCTTCAAAAACAACAACAGGAACAAGAGGAATGAAGAAGAACAACAACAACAATAACAATAACAAGAACAAGAACAAGAACAAGAACACGAACAAGAACAAGAACAAGAACAAAAAAAGAACAAGAACAAGAACAAGAACAAGAACAAGAACAAGAACAACAACAACAACAACAACAACAACAAGGTACAAACAAACACTGGGACCCCGTTCTCTCTATATCTCCCTTTTTGTTTCTACCCTTAAGGGTACAAACAAACACTGGGACCCCGTCGTTGTTATTTAGGCCCCCCCCAACAACAACAACAACAACAACAACAACAACAACAACAACAACAACAACAACAACAACAACAACAACAACAACAACAACAACACATACCTTTCATTTCTCCATGTGCTGGACCCCTTTTCCAGCCATGAGCGGCCGAGATCCTCCAAAAAGGGGGCCGCCGCCACATCAGTTCAGACCTTTACCTTTTTCCAGGCGCTTGACCCCTTATTGAGCCGTGAGCGGCCGAGATCCTCCAAAAAGGGCGCCGCAACCTGACATCAAACGTGCTGCCATTTGGTTCTTCTCAGTGCCTTTGCCACACATAGAGGCTCTACCACTGTCAGCTCTCTCGGTTCCTGTCCTCTGTGCTTGTCTGCTTGTCAGGGTTGCTTTCTTTTGGCAGATCCCTTTCCCGAAACACTGTTCGGAATGACCTTTGCCGAGCACACCTTTCACACCAGGTTGGCCTAGCTTAGTTGGTAGAGCAGATGGCTCTTAACCTAAAAGTCGAAGCTTCAACGCCGCCCCGGGTCATGTGCCTTTCTTACCTGCTGGCCTTTGCCTGCAAGGTAGTTCGTGTTCTTCTTCTTGAGGGAAAGTGCATTGCTTCTTTGCAAGAGGATCCCGCTGAAGATAGTTTATGCTTGGCCTGCTTCTATTGCGCCACTACAGTGCAAGGGCTTGAACTTGACCTCCGCTTCTGTGATGGGAAACTGGACTGCTTCTATTGCTGAACGGCTTCTCCTTATCTACCGCTGGACCCCTTTTCCAGCCATGAGCGGCTGAGATCCTTCAACAAGGGGGCCGCCGCCACATCAGCTCAGACCTTTACCTTTTTCCAGGCGCTTGACCCCTTATTGAGCCGTGAGCGGCCGAGATCCTCCAAAAAGGGGTTAAAGCTCCCCTCTGTGGAGGATCCCGGCCTCTCACGGCTCAAAAAGGGGTCCAGCGCCTGGAAAATGGTAAAGATCGGAGCTGATGTGGCGGTGGCCCCCTTTTCGGAGGATCTCGGCCGCTCACGGCTCAAAAAGGGGTCCAGTGCCTGGAAAAAGGTAAAGGTCTGAGCTGATGTGGCGGTGGGCCCCTTGTTGAAGGATCTCGCCCGCTCACGGCTCAAAAAGGGGTCCAGCGGTAGATAAGGAGAAGCCGTGCAGCAAAAGAAGCAGTCCAGCTTCCCATCACAGAAGCGGAGGTCAAGTTCAAGCCCTTGCACTGTAGTGGCGCAATAGAAGCAGGCCAAGCATAAACTATCTTCAGCGGGATCCTCTTGCAAAGAAGCAATGCACTTTCCCTCAAGAAGAAGAACACGAACTACCGTGCTGGCAAAGGCCAGCAGGTAAGAAAGGCACATGCCCCTAGGCGGGGTCGAACCTTCGACTTTTAGGTTAAGAGCCATCTGCTCTACCAACTGAGCTAGGCCAACCATGAAAGGTGTGCTCGGCAAAGGTCATTCCGAACAGTGTTTCGGGAAAGGGATCTGCCCAAAGAAAGCAACCCTGACAAGCCGACAAGCACAGAGGGCAGGAACCGAGAAAGCTGACGGTGGTACAGCCTCTATGTGTGGCAAAGGCATTGAGAAGAACCAAATGGCAGCACGTTTGACGTCAGGTTGCGGCGCCCCTCTTTCGAGGATCTCGGCCGCTCACGGCTGGAAAAGGGGTCCAGCGGTAGATAAGGAGAAGCCGATGAGCAAAAGAAGCAGTCCAGTTTCCCTTCACAGAAGCGGAGGTCAAGTTCAAGCCCTTGCATTGTAGTGGCGCAGCGGGATCCTCTTGCAAAGAAGCAATGCACTTTCCCTGCGCCAAAAACATAACAATTTGAAGCCGAAATGGGAGCTACATAAATGTCAAGTTGCGGCGCCCCTTTTTGGAGGATCTCGGCCGCTCACGGCTGGAAAAGGGGTCCAACAACAACAACAACAACAACATGATGCGTACCAAAAATCTCAAACGTGATAAGGGACAAACATTTTTTCCTTGTCTAGTTAAGGTAGGCTTAAACTCTGTGGTGCTCTGTCTCTCTTCCTTGTACATTTCTCCGTTTCCTGTTGCGTTGATTCACATATATATAAATGTTTATAATTTCGCATCGTTCCTGTGGTTCGTTCTTGCACGAGTCTGCTTCAAACTTTTGTTGAAGACCCTTCGTTTGTCGTGATTTTCATTGCGCTTCGAAACCAGCGAGTTTAGCCCACCCAGCTGTAGGATGTACTGAAGGGTGATGTGGGAGAAGTCAAAAAAGTCAAAGTGGATCGAGGACGTCTTAGCGTTCAATTCCCCAAAGGCGCGCAGGGAAATGAACTTGGATGATATACTGTACAGACCCAACAGTGAGATTGGACTTGCAGTGACATTGTGACGCAGCACATATCACGTCTGCCAGAGGAACTTGGAGCTTCAAAGTGAACGAGTTACAAATGTATCGCCTGCAACCGGGGCATCTGGTGCATTGGCAAAAGTGTGATGAAGACATTGAGAGAGGAGCACTGAGCACCGGTTGGAGAACTGGACTCCTCCTTTCGGGGAGTTCCTGACCCCTTCAAGAAATGTGCTTTGGGCATTTCCACACTCTTGGTTTCGACCTCAAAGGAGCTATGGGCTTCCCATGGCTTCGCTGTTCAGAGAATCAAAGGAATCAAGCGATGCTACATTTTTTTCATTCTTTTGGTTTACAGTGTGAAGGGGCTCAACTTCTACCGCTGCAGGAGATATTGGAGAAGTGGTGCGAAGAGCAGAGAAAGGCAATAGATTCAGTGTACAATGGCCTCAAGGACAGGTTGCCATAGCGCTTTTGCCGTAGCCTTGCACAGTCAAAGGGGAACTTCCTCAAGCTGTAACCTCCGCAATCATCCGTAACCATCCGTAACCTCCACTGTTCTCGTTCTAGCTTCAGTGGTTAGGAATGTGAGGAGTGTCATTGGAATGTCTGACGAAAAAAGGTGAAACAACTTGGAAAAAAACCTCAAGCCTTTGGAGGTCAGAATGCCATTTTTGGGGCATCGCGCTCGGATAAAAATATGAAAATCATTGAAGATCCTGAAGATCCTTGGGGACGGAGAAGAATTCTGTGAGATACGGACCCTCTCTGAGTCTTGTCTCTTGGGGCAAGCCACAACCCTACAGAGGTGTCTGTTTGTCTTTGGAAAATGCACCAAAAACCATGATTGACTCTTACGGTGTAGAAGCTCTGTGACAGTTTGTGCAGGACATTGGAACATGAAACCCATCGAATTGGAAAAAGTGGCGTTTCAGCGAGACGACCGCGTGCCTCGGCGGAAGCTCAGCGTGGCACACGTGGCAGTGCCGCAGTGCCGCAGTGCTGCAGTGCCGCTGTCGTGTCGCCATGCGTCGCCCAGGTGCAGTGGACAGGTGCTGATGATGACATTCCGAAGGGCCACATTGGACAGGTCATGGGTGTGAAGTACGTAGGTAAGGGCAACGACGCTTGGACTTGGCAACTCCGCAAAGGACCTGCATTCCCGAATGGGCATTCAGAATGCTGGCTAAAGTGGCTAAAGTGTTCTAAGATGTTTTAAGTGTTTTAGGTAATGGGAAGATTTCTACCTTGGTCCAAGACGAGCCTGCCATTGGAGCTCGAGTCTTCCTCCACCTTCACCATCCTTCCTCTTCGAATGAGAGCTTGAAGATGTGACGATTTCCTTGTTTCTCCTCTTTTTCATTGGACATTTTGGACAAATTGGGTGGAGTCTGCTCATGACTGAGGCTGGAAAGAGTCTGTATGTACGTTTTCCCAATGGATTCTGGAGCTTCAAACCACATCAGCTGAAGTACATAAACCTGGACAATGACGCCGTCAACGAGCTCAAGGCAAGTTGATCATGAAACGCACATCACATCATCCCATTATCCCAGGACCTACGTGACTTTCTTTTGCTTTCACGTTCTACACCGCAGCCCTGGCCCTTTTTGCAGCCATTCGCAGCTAGGCAACATTCAAGCGCTTTGACAAGAACGGAGATGGGAAGCTGTCACTGGAAGCAGCTGGGCTAACCGAATGGAGCTTCTTCATGTATGATTTGGATTGATTCGGCCATATTCGGTCCATGACTCAATGCCATCTGTGATTTGTGAGACTAGATTTTGATTATTTTTGGCTGCCTTGTTGGCAGGAAGGACCAAGATTTACAGGCAGCAGTTTCTGTGAGTGCCATCTGCTCTTAGGAAATGTCAGCAGTCTTAGGGAACCTCGGCGGTGGGTGTCTTTCCGACGACGAGTGCAAGCAGCTTCTGAGCTCCAAATTGGGTTCGAATAGCTGAAAATGGGTGGGCAGATGGGTGGGCAGATGGGCGGCATTGATAAAGCCAGATCTAACAGCATGAACGGACTGCAAACAGCTGCAAACAGTTTGACCGAAAGATGGATGGCCCAGTATATAAGCAAATAGATGCAAATTGATTTGTCCGTGTTTGTTTATGTTTGTATATAAAGTATTGTAAAGTTACCTGGCAGTTTTCACGGACATTGGTGATGAGACATATTGGGTAGTTGCCAAATGGATTTCTGGACTCACCTGGGCTTGGTGTCCTCGTACTTCGTATCACTTCGTATCCTCCTGTCCTGGACAAAGTGATCGACACTTTCCGATTCTACCAGTCCCAAGCCCTCCAAGCGTTCAACAGACATCAACAGACGCTGCCTGATTCAACTTCGCCTTTGTGGATCTTGGTTTGCCGAGGCTATTCGATGCCCTGGACAAAGATGGAGCCTCGCAGTAATTCCCAACATCTGAATACAATTGAATACACATGTTCTCTCTGCGGCCTGCGCCGCGCTGTCTTGTCAAGCTCTTATTGATGTCGGATAGTGAACAGGATGCTTTGTCACACTTTGTTCTTGCAAATCAGCATGCTCCCTGAAAGTGTTGGCCAATGAATTTGCAAGGAACTTTCGAGTTGGTTCCGTTACATTATGTTATATGACAGTCTTGTTAGTGTCATTAAAGTGATCATTGATGCGAGGGAACGGCAAGCTGACGGCAGACGAGTTCATTGATTATGTCTTTGGTACTGAAGTGAGTGGATCACAAAAGAAGCTTCTCAGAGACTTGGCTGAAAACGGAATCATCGAAACATCATACTCTGTGGTTCTGTTTCGCTTTTTGATCATTTTGTATCCGTTGAATTAAAATGGCAATCTTGGAAGTGTTGGAAGACGCCGCGCCGGAATGTATTCGTTTTGCCATATTTTGGTTGGGGTTTGTGGAAGGGATGGTAGAGATGCTCTATGCTGTGGAAAAAGGCCGTCACGGAGCATGAAACTCTTTGGTGGTGAAAAACCATTGATTGAACATTTTCAGAAAAAAGACCAAGTTCTTGCCCAAAAGTCAAAGCATGTCCAAAGATGACACTCTGTGGTCGGCAGCATGTCCTCTGTTTACTTAGGTGTTTCCTTTTGAAATGCATTGTGAATGCCTTGTGTTTGCCCATGTTTTCTGTTCTGTTTAGGGTAGCCCTTGCACTGGATGGTGAGGTGATGGCTTTGGATTGTCCGGAATGGCAGGTAGCTTGGCCTTGGAAGGACTTTTGAAAGCATCCAGAATACAATGACATGTGTGTATAATCATGTGTAATCTACATAACCGAAGGAAGTTTAGAAGTCAAACTTACGACTTATGGACAGATGCAGCAACAGGTGTAAGAACAGTCAGAGAAGAGAATAGAAAGAATCAGGGAAGAGAGGGTCAGAAGAAAGAAGATCAAAGCGCGCAAAAACTTAGAAACGTCGCGAAACACCTTGTTGTTTCCAACGTTTTGTGGCTCCGGAGGGTCGAAAAGTAGGCTCGCTAAAGCGGCGGGTGCGTAGCCATTTGGTCGGATAAGAGATCAAAAATTGCACGCCGTTGTGGCGTGAAGCACATTTGCAACTCAAGATGGCAAAAGCACCTCAGCGTCGGAGTGCTTTTGGAAGTTGAGATGTCGAAAAAGTGCACACGGCTGTGGCGCGAAGCACGTTTGGAAGTCAACCTCTTAAAATCACCACATGTTCGCGCCATGTTCAAGCATGATTTTTCGTGGCGTGCGCGATGGATTCTGCAGTTTTGCCAAGAGCGATCAAAGCATGACGGTTTTGTATCAGTTTCAAAAATTAGTAGCAGGCGTGGGAGCAGGATCTGCAAAGAGGCATTTCGCGTGGCAGGCGCAGAACAAGAGACATCCGCATCAGAGAAGTTAGGAAGTCAGGGCGCTGATTTCCTGAGAGGGGGTTGCATTTTGGAGCATCAGATGTTCACAGATGATTTTGCGTGACAGGTGCAGCACTTCGTATGACCCGGCGTCACTTTTTCATGGCAGGCGCAATGCTGTACAGATAGAGCGGAAAAATCGCAACACGCAATGGTACGAGGCCGTCAGCTCTGCACTCAACTTTCCATATTTGCGAGGAAGTCAAAAATCTAGGAAGCCTCGCAAAATTTCAAAGTTTGATTTTAGTTGTCAAATTTGAATTTTTGAGGAGTTCTCGCAGAATTTCTTCGGTTTGAACCTGTCAACCCCCACTTTTGCAGGAACTCTCGCAGAATTGCTTCCTTTCACATGGATGGATGGATGGATGGATGGGTGGATAAATAGATAGATAGATAGACAAGATAAGAGAAGACTAGATTAGGTTAGATTAGATAGATAGACAGATAGAGAGGATGGGTAGGTAGGTAGACAGATAGATGGATGGATAGATAGATGGATAGATGGATAGATAGATAAAAAGATAGAAAAATAGCAAGATAGATAGGTAGACAGACAGACAGACAGAGAGATAGGTAGATAGATGGATAGAAACATAGATAAATGCATAAATACACAAGGTTAGAAAACGAATATAGATGGATCGCCACACCAGAGCGACCTGAAGTTGGCAAAGATGAGTTGATGTACATATGTAGGAGGAGGACGGAGGGAGGAGAATGAAGAGGACGCGGTGCGACATAAAACAAGAACCCGAAACAGTGACGTGTGGATCACTTAATAAACAACATCCTTCAGCAAGTCCGGTGCGAACACAGTTTGTCCTCATCTTTCGGGTGGGAACAATTTGCGAACTTAAAAACCATGGATTTTTTTTTACTTTGCTCGTTCGACCTTTGAAAAATATACAAAATTTGTTCAGGGAACGTGCCCGTACAACCCGTGAAAGGTGGCTGATAAGACACCGTGTCGTTGTGTTTTGCTTGCTCCGTGGAAGGGGTGTCTCGGGCGGGTGCATGGGATTCCATGGAATGTTAAATTTGGCATAGCTTTGCTGTGTTCATCCGTTACCAGCACACGATGGAATTTATTTCATTTGAAAAAAATCTTGTTCAGAAGTTGCACTGCACAATAGGCTCTATCGAACTCTGGTGGCGCCGATTTGCGATGTGAGGCATCAATGACGATGAAAGCGAGGAAGACGACGACGATGATGATCCAAACAGTGGTGGAGGTGGAGGAAATCAGGCCTGGAGTGACGCATGCAAAATACCAATATTGAGTGCAATAAATCGCAAACATGCAACACAAATACCAAACAGTTTTTGAACATGATGCATGCATTTACGAATCCCATGTCATAGACAGAACCGTATATATTCAGCCTATTGCCAACAAAATGTACAAGGCTAACAATTCCAGCGAAATGCATCGATTGCAGATGTCGCTCTCTGTGTACCGTTTCTTATTTTTTCCAACACAGTGAGTGATGACCGAATGGAATTATGTTGTTGCTATGTCATTGTGTCAAAGTGAAACCGTGCTGTACAGGACCATGACCAGCTGAATTTCGATGTCACGTTTGATGCAGAGGACTCTATGTGGTAGACTTCTAGAAACCCACTCGTCCATCATTGTTCGTTCTTTCACAGATCGGATATTTTAAATGAGTGACCATTCAGAAATCAATTTTTGGATCTGCAACTATCTGAAGTGCTTGGCTCACCAATCTCGCCAATCTCACCAATCTCACCAGGACAAGGAAGGCATCGATGGAGACACCATGGTTACCAAGGTGCACGCAGAGGGAGTGCCGAGTAGGAACCAGCGAAGATGTGCCGAGTGAAGTGCAGACGCGGAGAGTTCTGCAATTCTGATTTGCAGTGGACGATGTGTTTGTGTCAGTATGTGTCAGTCGTTATTTTTGACTTCACAGTCTTCTCATTGTTTTCTCAGTGTTTTCTCTATATTTTGTTTGATGTTTGATGTTTTCTTTTTTTCCTGAAAATGCATCTGCCCAGAGCGGTTTGTCGATTTGTGCTGTGAGAGGCGGAATGGGCTTCTGCAATGCTGACCGTTGGCGTGTGTCGAGCTGCTGCAATCGAGAGCTTCGAAGGCTTTATGCCGGAAACAGTGACGTTAAAATTGGTGAAACGAAGAAAGCAAAAAAAACACACATCATTTTATATCATTTTATATCGCTTTATATGAACCAGTCTGAGAGTTGAGATAGATGACGAGACTAGGAGGACGAGACGAGAGCAACTTTTCACTTTCGACACATCGCAGGTGCTCTCGCGGACCTGGGAGAGGACCTTGAGAAATCGGGAACCACTTCCCCTCTTGGTACTGTATACCTCACCTTCGACATGCAAAAAAACACGAAGACGCCACAGTACACGTGCTAATTTATTTAACTTTAGCATTTTCGAAGAACCGGTCCCCAGGGATTCCAGACTTAGTGATCTTAGATGATCTTAGTGCAGGAGGGTGAGGAGGTGGCTGTGAAGTATTTGGCCATGGAAATTAATGGTACTGGTTCGGGAGGTGCCGCGCCTGTGTCTTGCTGGCCATGGCCACTGGCATCCGCTGGCAAACTTCAACTTCTGTGCCAGGCATCGAGGAGTTGCGCGGCGCAGTTGGACGTGTCAAGCACGGCAAGGCCGGCATGCAAGGACTGTATCTGGAAACATCCGGAAACATGAAGAAACATCCAGCATCTCTTGTTCAACACCTTGTTCAACACCTTGTTCAACACCTTGTTCAGATGTCGCAGTATCCAACGGATGCTAGGTACCTCCTGTGGAGCTTGAAACTCCTGCCGAAGAGGTTGAGTTCGAGGTCGAGCTGGCCAGGAAGACGGGCATAGACGGCTTGCTTCGACATCTCCAGGTGTCTCAAAATTCTCAAAGGGCTTCTGACAGATTTGACAGATTTGACACATGTCCAAGTTTGTCCAAGTTTGTCCAAGTTTGTCCAAGTTTGTCGTTTGTCCAAATTTGTTTTGGCCAAACCCAAGCGATCCACGTTGGTCCAAGGTGGCAAAGAAGAGTCCTGACGATGCCGTCGGCGAGCTTGCCGATGCAAAGCTGTCATCGCTTGAAGCGAAGGCATCTGGCACAGTATGCACACCACGATTTTAATGTTAAGCTCTGCTAAAATCCGAGTCCACAGCTGAGACTTTTGATTGTAGGACATTGTAGGATTGCAAGAGGTTTCACATGTTTCACCACATGTTGGAAGTTGGAACGCACACGTATTTCATCATTTCATCATTTCATCGCACGTTCACGAAATCCCAGGTCTTGGGCGACATGGGCGATGACTTGGTGGATGCGGTGAAGGAAGCGGCCAAGAATCCCAGCACGCTGAGTACTGCATCCTCCTACCAGCGCGCTCGAGAGAACTGCCGCAAGGAAGTCCAGGACAAAACGTGGCGGAACATGGTAAAACTGCATAAAACTGCATAGAAATGCATAAAAAAACGGCTAGAATCTGATTCAGACAAATTGAAAATAATGTGCACTTTCAAGTCCTGTGCCCTGCAAGTCCTATTCTGCTTTGAGCTTCAGGAGATCATCGATGGTTGCAAGAGCAACTTGTACTGGAGCCCCATCGGGGGCATGGCATCAGTCGGGTGGTGGAAACTGATGAAACTGGCTGAGACTGGCCCTTGGCGGCACTTGCACTGCAGGCAGTGGAGAGAAGTTTGTGGACACCACCTGGGACCCAAATGCGGATGAGAACTTTGTGCCTTGCAACGGAAGTATCAACAGTCTTTTCACGTGTTTTCTTTTCGTCCAAGGACGGATGGAGAGGATGTAGATTCCTTTTGATTTTGCAAGGGCTTGCAGTGGCCTGCAGGTACACGACTGTTTTCCTCTGCGGTCGGGCCAGGTGTTGGTTCCGCTTAAACGAGGGTTTGCATTCTTAAAGAGAAAGAGGCGTTGTCGCCGCTGCCTGCTAGAAACTGCAAAACCATTTTGATCTCTCAGGTGCTTTATGTGGACAAGGAGAAGCCGGGCTGGGATTGCACGGCCAGAAAACCAACGAATGGCTGGAAGCGAGCCAAAGAGGCCAACAACGACAACGACACGGAATGACACAGACAGGGACAACATGGGACAACTTGCACTGAGTAAACTTTGTTTCGCAACTGGGAAACACCTGGATACTGGATACCCAAAAGTCTCACATTCTTGGCACTTGGCGACAGCAAGTTCGTTCTTGTCTTCATGTCGTGTTTATCCGTTTGTCCTCAAAGCCTCAAGGTTTTTCGTTGTTGGTTGTGTGACACGCAGTTTTACACTTGCAGGTTGGTAATTTTCCATAGTAAGTTGCGACACTTGGGTTCAACTTGTGGACATAACATGGGTATGCGACGTATGCGAGTATCTTGATTTGCGTGCTGGAAGGTCTGGGAAGATGGGAAGCTGGTCATAGGGGATGCTGCTGCCAACGACATCGATTCTTGGTGTGAAATATTGCGACAATTGGAATCCCAAAGCGAAGGATAAGCTGCGTAGACTTTTACCCAACAGACCGAGCAATTTCACAGCAATACTTGACACGACACTACGTCACTACGTAGCCATCACAGTCCACAACATGGAACTGTGATGAACTGTGTAGTATCTTGAACATTCTTGAATGCTTACTGAACCACATGTAGCTTACTGATGCATCTGATGCTTATACTGATGCTTAGGATCAAGGTAAATGCGGAGATTGCTTTATGCTTGGGGCTCTTGGGGCAATAGCTGCCAACCGAAAGCGCTTCATTCGTCAAGTCTTTGTACACTACGATGAGGAGGTTGGGGTCCAGTGCTCAGACCGCTCAGACTGCTCAGACCGAACCAGATGCACCAAATTGCATTTTTGGAATTCGAACATTCTGTTTCACATTCTTTTTGACATTCTTTTTCACATTCGACCATCAATGCAATTTGGTGCGAGACTTGCAACCCTCCTGTTCTGCTCTGCATTCTAGCCTCAGGATTTGCATCACCCAATTCATGCCTGTGGGTGCACTGAGAAAAGTCGAACCTAGTTCCTTTTCTTCCATTTCTCTATTGCCATTGATCTATATCTGCTGTAGTTTCGGTGGTCATTCTATCTGTTGTTTTTCCCCACTATAGCCACGTGTTTGTGACCTGCAGGGAACATGGGCTGCCCTTTCCTCTTATCCGATCTTATGCGCTTCCCTTTGCTTGTCCTTTTTACAGAAAAACAGTCCGATAATCATAATTATAACTGATAATATTCATAGTTTGGAGGCATTCTAAGTGAGGGATTTGTGCAAAGGATCCTCCAAAAACAAAACACACTCAAAAAACAGGCGGTGAGGCATTCTAACTGAATGGATTTTTGCCGTGCACGTGCCGCATTCTAACTGAGGGGGAGACATATTTGGAAGTCGCGGCGGCATTCTAACTTTCACTTTAAGATAATAGATATAATAACATCAAAAAATGCAATTTGATTCTTGTCGCTGTGTCACCCCAGCACCAAATATGTGTGTAATATAATCTTACACAATCTTACACACACACACATTATATACATACACACATGTTGCTGCTTTCGTTTCCCCCACCGACTAGCTTTCAAGGTCTATGGTGTGCTGTTTTGCGTTGAGGGAAATTTCACCTATGAGATCATTGACGATTATCTCGGCGGCTGTGGCTGCAATTCTCTTCGCGATTTCGAGCCATCCCCAGGGGTTTCCGGGGTCCCCCGGGCCATCCCAGGTCCCGACTGAGGTATGAAATATAGCCACAGTGTCATGTATGGTGAAAGCATGACGAAGAATGAGATGTGGGTATCACTGGTGGAAAAGGCAAGGCATGGCCCATGACCGGCATGGCATGGTGCATGAAATTGCTGGTTTTTAATGGTGCTGACATCTGCAGATGACTCAGTCCTCAGTCATACTCGGTCAAATACATGAGAAGCATTGAGAAACCTGAATGATTTTGGCTGGTTGGGTGGTCTTCTGGGCCCCGTTTCAAAGTCACAGTTCATGACTCCTGGCGCCATGTGCACGATCTGGCACTCCGTCCCTGCAGGCTTATTTCAAACATCACACGTGCATCGAGATGTGCGATGGTGGTCACGGCACTGAAACGATGTTTAGCTTTCTGGGTGGTGTGACCGGGAAGTACGAGGTTGGCAGCAAATACTTCGACAAACCGGACGAATATTTCTCAATCATCGACAAGGCACGGAGTGGGAGGATGCACAGTGAAGGGTCTATCAAGCATGGGCGTTGGCAGGGATGGCGTTTAAAAGCATCGGCAACGTCGGTAGCGAAGATTATTTTCCAAGCGTGATCAACCAACACAGTACTTTGCACTGCTCAGTGGTTTACACGGTTTTACACTTGTGTTCAAAGTTCCTTTGCGACACTGGTCATTGCAAGGGAGTGCCTTGGAAACTCTTGGAATGACAGAATATGGATTGATATTGCTTAAGCTTACTGGATCATACTGGTACCTTGTGCTTGAACGGAATTGGTCATGAGAACTTGTGACGGATGTGCTGTGGAAAGTGTGCGTTGCCCTTTGCCAAAGTGAGATTGGGAGGGAAGGCACAATGCAGAACAGTTATGTCAGCCTGTAGGGTACTTTGTTGTACTCGTAACTGCTTTGTTGCTGCTCTGGTGTTGCTGTTGCTATTTATATAGATGACTGCTTTCTGATGCAAGAGTCGTTGCAAAACACGTGTGCAATGCCTTGTGCAAACTTTCCGCTGCAAATCTCCCTCCTGCCATTTTTACATCATTCTACTTGTCATTCTACCATATTCATCCTTATTCTGCCACCTGTCACTGCCTGTCACCTGTCACCTTTGAGCGAATCCGTTGATGGCAATCGTGGCAGGCTCTTAAGGCTGGTGAGTTGATGACCACGGGGTGGTATGCGCCCAGCAAGGGCAAATATGCCAACTTGGAGGGAGGTGAGGGAGGCCCATGTGGAGAGACTGGCCGCTTGGACCATTGGACCAGCTTGGACCAGCTTGGACTTCAGAGAGATTCAGAGAGTACGCTGCGTACGCTTGTTGATTTGACATTTCTTTTTGTGGAACCGGCTATCTCGGTTTCAAGATAGGTTAAGACAGAGATATCATGGATATCGCTTTGCATCAAGGTCTCCCATATGGACTCGTTGGCGGTCACTGCTACTCTGTGATCAGGACAAGCTTCCTTGTCCAACTGGTTTTTGCCGCAACCTTCACAGGTTTTCACAGTATGAATCAAGTTGTCTCGAGGACGGCGGAGCATGATGGAAAGAAGTTGATTTGCTGCCGCAATCCATGGGGCAAAGGCAACTGCGACCTTTTTGACAATTTGCACGGATGCCCTTCGGCGATCGTCCAATGAAATAAGAACACTGCAGAGAAGATTTGAGTGGGCCCAAGGATGACACCCACAAATCCAGAAGTGTAGCAACATTTAGCAGTTTGCACATCGACAAAGTGCTCCAGAAGTGCTTTCGAAATTCGTTTAACAAGTTCTTCCGTGGTTTGAACTTGTTAAACAATATGCTGCGGTTCATGCGAGTTGTCGCAGGCGAGTGGAAGGGCGCCTACAGCGATGCCTCTGAGGAAATGACGGACGAATTGAAGGAAGCACTGGACCACGCAAACAAGGCCTGCCACGGGCGCCACGTTCCATTGGGAAGGGACTTGGAAAGCCTGAAGGCTGGTGGGAGAGGAATGGAGAAACTCGGCCATCGAAATGGCTTGGAATGAAAATAATTGCCACGCTCGAAACCCAGCGCAAACTGCCTCTCTTCCACCACTTGAGCACTGCCCAGAAAGAAAACACATGCACAAACATGTTGCAAGCACTGATATGTGATTTTTAAGCCACTTATGAAGTGTTTTCCCATGTGTTGTCACGGGCCTTTGCATGCCGCTCCTTTCTCTTCAAAGCTGACTCTTGGAGGAATGCGGCTGTCATGTGTGCAGTTGTACATGACAGTTCTAACAACAGGTGGATATACTGATATACTGTATGCTACCTGGAGCGTTGGGAATCAAACGTGACACATGGGTGCACTCACAAATGCATGTGTATGTTTCTAGTATATTACAGTGATATAAACATGATATAAATGTGGGTTTTGACCTCCTGCCACAACTCTAATCCTTTTCCATGTCCTGGTTTCCTGGGCCCGGGTGAGCAAAGGTGGATGGTACGTTTTGGATGGCTCTCGAGGACACCAGACCTGGAGTCACAGATCAAACCGATCCTGTCCCGATGTCCCGGTACAGTCCTGGTGTAGCTGCTGTAGCTCAGTGGCGTTCGAAATGATCTGTGGAACCTGTGGAATGTGTGGCTTTCTGTGGCAGGACTTTGTACAGGTCTCCAAGAGGTGTGCATTCCTGAAACAATTTGGCCCAACTTGGCAGTGTTCAGTTCTACGAGGGCATTTCACAAACGACGTGGAGAAAGGACGCGCAAAGAAAGATTGCCAAACGACTCGGCTCAGCTTGCAGCTTGCTGCAGCTTGCGGGTTGACATTTGCATCACATTTGAAAGACCCATGGTCACTATGGTCGGTGTGAGGCTGCTGAAGATAATGAGATCAGCTTCAAGAAGGGCGACATGATCCTCGGCAAAGAGTGCTTCCAACCCGTCAATGCATAGATTTGGAAGCTTGCTAAGATTTCTAAGACTTCTAAGACTTCTAAGATCATGAGAGAGATTTCTTCAGATTCAGTTTGCAGCTTCAGGATCGAAGTCACAGAAATACAAGGATGCGTGTGCTGCAGCGCTGCACACCAGTATTTCTTAGTGAGTCAGCCATTGGGCCATTGTGTGTGTGTGTGGGTGTGTGTGTGTCTGTTTGCTTCAAACGACGCAGATACTGAAGTGACGCCATGATGCCTGAGTCTCTAGGACGATTTCTCTTTTTGTAGGCGATGCAGTCCTGATTGAAGACTCAAGTCATGGAATGATGCATCAAACTGGTAAGTCATTCAGCGAATATTTGTCTCACACTGATCACTGAGCGGGAACACATGAGTGATGGTACAAGGATATAACCATCTATTTGCACACACACACACACTCACATGCACGTACATACGTGTTGCATCTATACAAGACACAACATTTATGCAACACGTACACCAGGACAGCAAAACAGCAATCATTACAGGTATGGTTTTTGCACTCGTAGGCACATACATGATCAGCATGATCATGCATGCATATGTATATATATATATATATAGATATAAATAAATATATAGGTAATGTACATGCTATAAAATACCCACGAACACATTTCTACACACATATTCATATGCACTCAAAAAGCAATAACCTGCCTGTGCAGCAGATCTACTGCATCAATATTCTAGTGTCAGCTCGCAGATGCATGCAGGATACCTTGCCACATTTAGCCTGAGACTTCTCTTGGGGTATATGGTGTATGGATGTGTATGGTTTGCTTTAATTTTTTTCAGTTCTTTTCAGTTCGTTGCGCCTCTGTTTCGACAGGATATTGGTCCAAGGGCAAAAACTTGAAGAGTGGAGGAGATCCAGGCTACTACAGATCGAAGGATGTTGAGATCCAGATGAAGAACGTACTGAAGCCCCTTGGCTCAAGATTTCAAAGAGATCACTGCCCGACGAAGTCACCTCATTAAACATATTAAACCATGCGAGCGTTGGCCATTTCTTCCCATGGTCCGATTTCAGAGACCTTGATTTGCCAGCAGAATGCTTTTGAGCAAATCCTTGACTTTGCAGATGACTGCACTGTCAAGATCTGTCAAGTGTTTCAGGCACCTTGGAAGTTTCTGTGTTAATTCACCCCTTTTCTCCTCATTCAGTGAGCAGTTGCGAACAAGTCATGGAATCATGAAGCTTCAGTGAGCAGGTGATTGACTTTGAGTGACCCGAAACTCGATCCCCAAATCTGTTTGTCTTTCTTCCAAGTCCCTCGTTTGAAAGTGGTTGAGGCCTGTAGTCAAAGTTGCGTTGGCTCTTAAGGATCAGAGATAATGTGAAATCCAGACGTTTCTTCAACGCCAGCTTTGTCTGGATGAAGCATGGATGATGTTTGTGTATTCCCTTGCTGCGCGTTCGACACATCTAAGGATTACACTCGACGTGGAGGATATTCAGGAAGGTGAGCCATTGATTTTTGCCTTCATTGTGGAGAATCAACTGATGAGGCCGAAGTCACCCAAAGTCATTTGCAAATTGATTTGTGTTTTTTTTTCGAAAAAACCAAAGGATTACCTTGCGATCCGCCCAAAGGCGAGAATGGGCAAAGCGTAAGGCCGACGGTCTGAATTACAAGGACAAGCAGCAGCTGGGCATAATATTTGCAGATCACCAAGGTTTTCAAAGCCTGCTCCAGCGGTTGAATCGGCTGTACCATGCACATGATGCTTCTACCTAAGTGCAGAAATATGGATAACTCTGAATATGCATACATATATATTAGTTATATGGATAGAAATGCACAGAGGTATGTTTCCTTCTGATCTCCTCAAATCCAAATCCTGTCAGTGGGATAACATGAAACTTGGTCTCAGTACTCCCTCACATGCATTCAGAGACCCTGGGCGGACGCAATAGTTGCCAAAATTTGCCCCTACACAGTTCAATGTACCAAAAACAGTTGTGCATTTTGGAGCCATGATAGGTTGTGTCACACTTGCTCGCACATGTTCAAATTTTTGGTTAACTTTGTGAAGTCATTAAACAAAGGTACAGAGACTTGGCCGTTGTAGAATTTATTTCGCACGCCCTTTTCTCTTGCCGCTGACACTGCATATTATGCCGAAAGTTGCACATCCGTCTTGCGGGGCTATGGCCTATTCGAGAGACCCGAAAGCTATTGCAGATCCCCTTTCTATCCCTGCCGCATCGCTCCTCCAGTACTGAGTGGAGGTAGTACAACCTATTTGTGTTTTGCGACCATTATCTTCATGTCCGAAACGATATCGTATATTGATCCGTTTGACCTATGTTGAACCAAACGTTCACGAGGTGGAAAATTGATGGCATGTCCGGCATGTCCATGTTGGCAGCGCGCCGTTGAGCGGTACTTCAATCCGAGGCAGCCGTCCGGATTGATTTTCATGTTCGACAAGAACGGCAAGAAACACAAGGGGATGAAACTAAGGTATCGGCATGCTTCTTGCTTGCACAGAGCGGCTTTTGCATGTTCTATGCTGCCATATGCTGTCGCCCATGGCTTCGACGCGCCAAGTACTGGGAGTATTTGGACCCGGCCAAAGCGCCATGGACAATCTACATGGCCATTTGCAAAGGGAAGGGCATGCGATACAATGCTTACGGAAGCTGGGCTGACCAGAAACACATGGCATTCCTAGACAGAAACATATCAGAAACAATCAATTTACATCGAATTGCAGGTTTTATGTTGTAATCCACTATGCCGCTATGCCATGTTTGCTGCCTTTGCATGGCTGGTCCGTTTTGACATCTCAGGATATGCGCGCCACGGCAACGTTCATTTGAAATATCATCAGTCCCTTTGCAGCATGAGTTGTGAAAGTTGTGAAACTTGTGATGGATGAGTTGAGTAAGAGTCGACTTGGAAACGCCAAAATCAACTGCGATTTGCACCAAGTCGCACCAAGGATTTCATACTCTGACTTCTTGGATGAATATAATAGCTAGATATAGCATGCTATGGCTAGCAGCTAGGCAGCTAGGCCTTTTCGATTTCGTTTTCGCTTGCGAACTTACAGCGCCACGAAGCTCTCAGTGGCCGTTGCTTTTTCAAGCTCTTTGTTCGTCACCCTGCCGAACGCTGCACGGAACGCCACACGGAACGCTGCAGATCGCCAACACGGTCAATCGGCAGCAAATTCCGTGAAGTGCCACTTTTTGTCATACGGTAGTAATACATGTAATACATGTAATACTACCATACTATACCTTTGCGGCAAATGAGATGATCCCAGAATCATGATTTTCCAGATCTTCAGAATGCAGCCAACCGTAGACAGGTGCACATATAGTTACACGGAACATAAGTTGTAGTATAAAAACACAAATCTTTATGTGGACGCATTATTGTATGAATTGTATATACGGGTACACATAATTACACATAAATTACCTATACATGTAGAGATGTGTGTCTATGCACAAAAGGAAGAGGTGTTCTGATACCTTCTCGAAGCGGCCGATCAAAGTAGAGGCCGTTGTACTGAGTGGCTGCCTTAAGGGCACCCGGACTCACTGTATTGCTATCTTGCTCCATGCACAACACGACTGCTGGAAAACAGGAAATCACATCAAGCTATCCTAGGGTCAGTTCGGAGTTCTTACTTGTCTTACTGTAGTTGTTCTTACTTGCAGCTTAGTAAATGTTGTGCAGGTTGTGCATTTGCGTCTCTCTTGCGGAGCCATATTTGACCAATTGCGGGTTGAAAACCCAAAGAGCTGCAGCTTCATCGGAAAAGGGTGGGCGGAGGGCAAAGTTGTTTCATGAGAGTATATCTCGGACAGCTTCTGAGTGGTGCGCGCACAACGTGAGCAGTGTGGCGCAGCACAAACCCCAACCAACTGCCTTGTACAGACTCAAAGAGCGGGCGCATGAGTTTGCACGCGCCCGCCTTCCACAGTAGTCCACAGGCTTGAACCCTAGGCATCACCAGGCACAGCTTGTGTCAGACAAGTCTACCAACACATTCACCTACCAGCAGATAACACTACACTTATCCAGCAGGCCACCTGTGGCTCATGCAAACAAAAATTATTAGATTCGGTTGTAAGAATTGACGCAAGGAGAAAGTTGATGCTGTACAAAAATCTCTCTCAAGTGGGGCAAAAACAAGGAGTGTGCGACCCATGCGGTCAAAACACGATTGTGCAGTTATGTGGGGCCACGAGGTGTGAGCCACCGGGCCTTGTTAGGCGCCCCAATGACACTGCCCGTGCGCTCGTTCCATGCCAGGCTTATGCCACCATGTATGTGGGGCCAAATGCTACCCGAAGCATATCACAAGATAATCTGCTTCTCACACATGAAGGCCACAGCGCATGAGGAGCCTATGGCAGTTCCCTCTGTTTGAGCATGACAGGTTGCAAACGTATCACAGCCAAGCATTCATCGCATCCGCTGACACACATGGGACTCACCATTTCGGCCCAGAGTAGAAGTAGAGACCGCAAGCATCTCCAACTCACAAACCGGCGAATTACCACCTTTGTGCGGTGTGAATGATGTGTGCGCAAGCACCGCCAGCTCAAACATGTGACTCGCAACCTCTGCACAGTGATGAAGTAAGAAGCGCTTCACAATGTCTTGAACTTCAAAGTGTTGGAAACGGAAAGACCTGGGCCCGTGGCTTTTCATGAGAGTATAACAGTGTATCCATTCCGAACCTTACGAACCTTTGTTGCGAGCAACTATCAGCAAGACTCGAAGGGGTGATTTTCCGAAACCCAAAAGGTAGCAACATGGCCTGGACCCATGCAGCACAAAGCTTGCATGAAGTCAAAGGATCTTTGCCGTCGAAACGCAGCGTAGTTCTTAAGGTGCCCTTGGTATTCCTCATGCTGTTTGTCTTAGATTTCTCCTGGGATGATGAGCTGTCTTTCTGCGTTCTAGATGTAAACATGGAAAGTAAGCCGGCAAGAATGCCAAGATCCAGCCAGTGCATCCAGCGAGGATGGGTGAAATCAGTCCATGCTGGATCCACCACTCAACATATTTGTGTTTGTGTCCGCAGGACGGCTCTAAAATAATGAAACAATATAAGCAATCAATGTTCGATGCAGTGGCAGCGCGTAATTTGACCCACTGTGATCTTTTTGGATGATAAGAACGCAACACCAGTCAGCAATTTAGCAATGCCAACGTTCAAACAAAAAGATCACACAACAATTTTTTTTGCGACAGGAAATTTCATTTTTTTTTTTGCACTGCTATGTCCGCTGCCATCAGCCAGCCCATTGACATCGGCATCGCTGATGGAGAGGTGAGATGAATTTGTGGGCTTGCGATTGATACATAGCCTTGCAGGGTTGAACGGCCTTGTTACAGCCAATTTCAGATTTGTCTCTTTCATCCCTCTGTTTCCACATCATGCTATTTGTATTTTGGTTTGTACCTACCATGTCCAGAGGAATGCAAGGGTCCCAGATTTGCCACTCACTGCCAGGAAACTAGCTAGAACATGAAGATACTCCTGCCAGCAGACCAATTGAAATGGAAAAAACAGACTCTGCGACCAAACCTGTAAGTCTCTAGAATCTATAGTGGGGTGGCGTTTTTGCTGCAGCAAAACTCAATGCGTCAACAACGCTAGACTGACAAATTCTACCAGTTAAAATATGTTAAAATAGGGAGTGCATTCGTCTTTGACTCACACACACTCCGGGAAAAGCATTTTGCCGTGCCAGCATGCGCCCCTTTAGGGTATGACATGTACATTCGTGAAGCTTTGTGGCATGGGGCCTGTGACACCATGGGTCAGGTCAACCTGAAGCATTTGCTCTGGCAGCTGAGAGAGCAACAATCAGCCCTGAGTGACGTCACATTGCTTCGGCAGGAGGTCGACGCTCCGTGCCAGCTTTCCACAGCTCATTTAAGCTCATTTCGCTTCACATTTTCAAAGGATGAAATTGATGAACTTTTGGAGGAAGCTGAAATAAGCTGAAATAAGCTGAAGCTAAGCTGAAGCTAAGCTGAAGCTAAGCACCCACAAGATGGCTGGGTTTCGTGACGTGACCGCTGCACATCGATGTTGCACTGGAGGTGCTTTCCCTGAAGCTGTCGTGCAATGTGGCCAAGGTGTCGAAGTGATAGTCCACACCCGCCTGTTGTATGTCATTCTTGTTGCCTTTCGTATCCTTTTGTCGTTCTTAGAAAAGTGATAAGTTACGAATACGTGTTCTGTATGTCATGTGTGACGTGTGTTGATGTGTGTTGATGTTTGTTCACATGTACTGTCAGCTTCTTTCTGTGGAATTCAGAAGTGGCCAATGCCAGGCCGAGTTTCAGCCAGTGAGGGAAAGCATTGAAGCTATGCGGGAAGGGATGAAGAAGGACAGGTTTTCATCTGTGTGTCATGAATGGTTTGTCGCAAAGGAACACGATTCGCCAAGGATACCCCATATGACCCCCATGCGTTGCAAAGTAAAGAACATACAAAAACATGCAAAGACATCTGAAATCCATCCATCCATCCATCTATCTATTTATCTATAAATAAAGAACCAAATCAACAAATTCTCCAACATCGTCTCCAGCCTGTTTCCAACATGTTTCTTTTTGTGTCGCTGACGCCAGGAACGTGAGACCTCCTGTGAAGAGCTGCAGGAGGTCACCAGCCAGTTGCAAGAGCTCCGAGCACAGCAGGACTTCGTCACTTCGTCAATCTTCGTCATATGACTGTCATATTATGATTGCATATAGTTTCGATATGTTTTGATAGGTTGTGGAGAACGCATTGCTTCAAGGAATTAAAGATGGCCAGCAGTTGGTGCTCAGAATTAGGAGAATGTGGTGTTGCAGTCGGAGCGCCAGGACAGGACAGAAACCATCTGTATCCAGATGATTAGCGACTCGTCTGTAAGGACCCATAGGACCCACAATTTCTCCAAAAGGATGCCATTTTGGAACTCAGAGTGCAGAAGTGCAGAAATGCTGTCGCTGAAGCACACCCGGATTTTTTGAGCTGAGGCAACGGGAAGGACTTGCTGCAGCAGATTTCGGATTGTGACAGTCAATGCAGACAGCTTCAACATCGGATGGATGAAGGTCTGGAGGCGGGCGATTGCTGGTGATTGCTGGTGATGGCTGTCGATCGCCGTGGCTCCTGTCGGATGCTGTCGGATGCTGTTGGATGCTGTTGGATGCTGTCGGCAAACGAATCAAGCCTGTTGTGAACCTGATGTGATCAGGTGCATAAGGTCGTTTCATGATCTTCGTGTCCAATCTGTTGCCGTGTTCCGATTGCACAAACAGATCCTCTGTTTTCACAATATCGGAAGAACCATGGCAGGGTTTCATTTCAAAAGAGGAGCGGTCTCACACGGGTCCGAAGTGCCTTTTTCCCCCACAGCTGAACGAGACCCCAACTGCAGGGACTTTGTTGGAAGTCTGTACGGACTGCAACGCTTCCTGCCTCAATCTTGACTGTTGATCTTGCAAGTCGTTACCAGTCGTTGCCAGTTATGTGCGAGGCTTCAAAAAGACAGCAGATGGAGGCAAGTGCTGCACAGAAGGCCCACAGCTTTGCAGCACTGCCAACGGTACTTCAAAATATTTCAAACATCTTCAAACTCATTTTTGAAGTTTGACTGTCTGAGTCTGACCTGTTTGGTTTGAGTATCTTTTCATCTCTTTTCGAGATGTCGCATGTAGAAAAGATATCGCAAGATTTAGCCCGATTTTGCAACATGTAACACCTAATTATTTGATTTATTCCAATTCTATATCTATATCATTCTATATCTATCGCAAGATTTTGCAACATGTTATGTATTTGATGTTCTTGATTTCTATGATTTTCTATTTGTATTTGTATTGTTCTTGATTTTCTTCGAGGCGGCAGAGAGAGCAGAGGACTTGGTCCAGCAGCTGAAGGGGACAGCGGTGTCCTGGGAAGAACGACTGACGCAGCTGGAGAAAGATCTTCAGCACAGCAAGGAATCCGTCGGCACTTTACGTGAGATGGTTGAAACTGAGCCGCACTTGGCTTGCGAGAGCTTTTGCAATGGTTCAGTTCAGGGATCAATAGGACTTGGAGGTCTTACAGATTGGCCGCAGGCCAGTGATGGGTCGAGGCTGGTTTGAAAATATGATATTGGGCATGTGATTTCAAAGGATCATCACCTCATTGAGAATTCGCAAAGGGCGAATTCAAACAAAAACAGACTTGAGCAGCACTGTACCATCAACACGTCAGTCGCATTTCAAGAACAAATCAATTTTTGCACTGGCAGAGATCACAGTCGATTCGGATGATTCGGTAGCCTGATCGAAGCGATGGACAGCGGCCGAGGAGCAGGAATCTTCCCAACGTGGACACATCGAAGGGCAAGTGCTCAAAGACATGCAGTCAATGCACCGAGATCTCTCGGAGCTCAAGCAACATCGAGGCACCATCATACCCAAGTAATCACAATGCAAACATAATGTAAGCATAATGTTATCAAAATGCAACAAGCATTGCATGCAATGCATGCTACTCCAGTATTGCAAAATAGGAATTGCGCAGGTCTTGACTTTTCTGGGCATGAATGGACAAGAAACGGGCCCTTCGAAGTGATTCAAAAACCAAACATGGGGGTGAACAGAAGAGGAATGTCTGCTTTCTGTAGAGCTGACAGCTCCTGAGATTATATTCTTGGAAGGTGACAGAGCTTGGTGTCGTCTTCCTTTTCTTCTTTTCTTGGTTCCTTCAAGTTCCTTCAAATTACTTTTGTTCTTTTCAAATTCTGATTCTGAAATGCCCGGACGATGTCGTAGGCGTCAGCGATGAGCGAATGAAGGAGCTGCATGAGAAGTTCTATAGCCTCAGTGCTCAAGTTCTCGACGATTGCAAGGCAAGAAGTTTGGTTTAAGAAATTTTAAGAATATGATAGAACTCGGCTCGACAAACGGCGCCGGGGCTGAACGCCTCGCGGCTTGATGCAGGTCCTTGTCCTTTCATAAAAAAATTGTGCCAGGAACTTGCAAGTGTTCAAGGCCGCCTTGGCGTTTGCGAGAAACAAGGCCCTGTCACGGGATCCCACACTCTCCATGGTTCAGATATGTTCAGATTGGAAAAGCCATGAAATGCTCATTTGCTTTGAAATTCTCTTTGATTGGTTCTGTGTCATTATGTACATATACATATAAATTACATATATGTATTTGGTTAGATTTTTGCTCTGAGGGCACATAAGGTTTTCTTGTGATTATGCTGGTTCAATCTGGTTCATGAATTTTGCTCTAGCAACCTCATCGGGCCAAGCCAGGTGTCTCGTTGACAGAACTGCAACAGAACTTGCAGCAGCTGCAAAGTGAGCAAGTTCTTCACTCCGAACGGCTGGAGCGGTGCCGGGTAGTGCCGGGTAGTGGAGAGTGTCTGCTTGTTTCGCTTGTTTCTGATACACAAGGCTCACGAGGCTGTGCTTGTTTGTTTCATCCTGATGGTGTGGCTCTTGTGCTCATAGCGACTGCGTCACGTGTTTTTTGTTTTATTGGCACCGTTCATCTGTGTCTTTAGTGACTTTAGAGTTCCACGCTGCCATTGGTGTACCTTTCTCTTACACCCTCTAGCTGTTTCCGATGCAGTAACTTCAGACAGAAGGTAACTCTCGCAGTTGGTGAAACATCAGGGCGCTCTTTTTTCGTTCTGCTACGTGGTTATTTGATCTCTTGGTTCCCGCAGCAAACTTTGGAGCAAGAACGGCAGCCAGATGCCATGAATTGCTGGGATGCCTTGGCAGGAGCACTGCCAACAACTCTTTGATCACGAGATGCACTTGCACAGGTCGCAGGAGATGGGAGTTGGGGAATGTCGAACTGTAGTGCAGTAATAAGCAAGCTAGAATTTGAATAAACCCTGGCTGATTAAAGAGAGGGGCTACCCCAAAAAAAGTCAGCGTTAGCTGAAATGGACCTAAAATCTTCAATTCTTGGTTAACCCAGGGTTCACATTACTCATGTTCCAGAGCATCCCCCTTTCTGGAAACAAAGTGGAACAGGACATCTTCTGAGTGGTTCTGCAACTTCTGCCACGACCTTGCAGGAGCACTCAGCTTTATCGGAGGAATTGAAGGCCGAAGCTGAATCCGCTGGAGTGCAGTCACGCTGAGACCAACGCGTAGTATTTGGCATAGCCTAACATATATATATATAACATGATAAAACATCAAGAAATCCTCCGATGATTGTGATATTTGATATAGTTGAAAGTGGGATTGATATGCCGATGCTGAGGGATGTGCATGATCTTCATGACTTATTAAGGGTCTTTTTTGATAGCCACCAGTTGAACTCTGGTTCAGGATTTGCAGCACCACCGTGAGAGGGATGCAGAACTGCTGCAACAGGCACGGCAACGGCAGATTTTCTGATTTGACCTTCTAATTCCTATCAGATTTCATCATTTTCATCATTTATTGCATCTTAGATTATTCACTTTTATTATCACTTCAACTTTTTTGAACTGATCTCGCTATCAAACCACAGCCGACATACAGAGGCCCTCAGCTTTGGTACTGCCTTGAAGACTGCAGAGGTGCTGAAGTTGGTCAAGGATCCATGTTTCCAGATGCTATTATATATTAATCTGTTTGATGGATGTTTCGAGCTCAAGACAGTTGCGATGTTGACAGTGGCATGGACAGAGGCTAGGTATAGGCTAGGTTAGAAAAACATGAATGATCCAGACGCCCCTTTTTATATTGAAGCATTTTCACAACAGATTGTCTGTATCATTGTTTATGCCAGGTTAGATTTTATTTTGTCTGTTCCTTGCTGTTTTTTGCAGCGTCTATGATATTTGTCGGATATGCTGTGTACGGTCCAGGCCTTGCCGAGTGGGTGCGACCAGAGGTCATATGATGTGCAATGGAATGCCACATAACGCCAGGTCCGTTGGGAGAACCTGCTACAAGAGAGCTGTGGAAAGCTTCAAGTTGGAGCCTGAAAGACACAATATCCGCAGTCTTGAAACGATCGGAAAAGCATGTAAAAGCAGTAGATGAAAGCAGCTGACATGGTATATCATGGTATGAAGATGTACAAGGTACAGGTATGTAGAGGTAGAGGTTTGTGTACAAAGCTCTACAGGTTCAAAGCTCCCGGAGAATGCGTAGATCGTATTGGGACAAAGTAGACACTGCAACGCAGTCTGAGGCCCGGCAAGCAGCAGCAGAAGTGCAACTTCGCGAGGCAAATGTCTCGCATAACAGCTTTTGCTGGATTTGTTTCGCGTTGTTTTGCATGTTTTTGCCAGCGGACCGAAAACTGTGCTCATAAAATCACTGTAGCGTCCTTGCCCCAAGAAACTCCATGTACGTTCTTGATGCTAATGGTACTCACATCTTCGACAACTACCACCTGCGTTCTTGATGCTAGGTTACTAACGTCTCTGACAACTTCCACGTACGTTCTTGCTGCTAGCGTTACTAACTTCTCTAACAACTTCCACGTACGTTCTTGATGCTAGCGTTACTCACTTCTCTAACAACTTCTAAGTACGTTTTTGATGCTAGCGTTACTAGCTTCTGTATTGCTTCTGTAACAACTTTCACGTACGTTCTTGATGCAAGTGTTAGTCACATCTCCGACAACTACCACGTGCGTTCTGGATGCTAGGTTACCAACGTCTCTGACAACTTCCACGTACGTTCTTGATGCTAGCGGCTGCTAGCGTTACTAATGTCTCTAACAACTTCCAAGTACGTTCTTGATGCTAGCGTTACTCACGTCTCTGACAACTTCCACGTGCGTTCTTGATGCTGGCGTTACTAACTTCTCTAACAACTTCTAAGTAGTTTTTGATGCTACGTTACTGAATGGGCTCTAGAGCATGGTTTCGGTCCCAACTTGCAAAAGAAAACCACAACAAATTGAAGCGCACCTTCTGAGAAAAGTCGCTTTGGCAGTGCAGATGAATGATCAGATGAAAATGAGCTGTCACTGTGGCAATGGAATCCATTTTTTCGAGGATTTTGAGATCAGAAATTCCCATTTTGCCACAGTGCCACACTCATTTAAGAAATGTGTTTTTACGAGCACGGTTTCCAGTCCGCGGGGATGTTTTTGTCAGTTTGGTCAACCATTTATCACCTTGATCCATCGACTCGCTGGATCAGGTTATCGAAAGCACTGGAAACCTGACGAAGCATAGCTCCAAGTTGGAGGCATCGAAGAATTTCGGAGTTCAAAATATTCGACATGAATTTAAGTTCAAGGGTCATCCAAGTCTGAGGGTCACTGGAGATCATCTTGGGCTATTCCACCATGGTGAAATCGTCCTTTACTTGTGTCTTTACTTCAAGATTGATAAGATTGCCATTGAAATATGACATGTCCGGACATGTCACATTTGAGTCACATCCAAGACTTGCTCCCAGGAATCTGAAATCCCACCGTTCCAAATTCCAGGAGAGGACTAATTTGCTCCACGACGAGTGCCAAAAGCTGCAGCAGCATACCCAAAATTTCACGACCTATTGGCCCAACACACGTCTTTCATTTCATGAAATACCTGGATGCTGAGGACGGATGAGCAGGTCAACAGGGCAGATCTCCACAACAGGATGAAGGACCGCAGTATGGCCAGAATCACCAGAATCCCTCCAAAAAAGTCTCATATTTGGCATACCCAGAAACTCGGAAACTCTAGACTCTAGAGGTTTATCACGGTTTATCCACTAGAAAGAGTGTCCCCAGGAGCATTTCAGATAAACGGCATTTCACAACGGGGGCAATGGGATTCCAGTCCAAGCCTCCGACGAACTTATCATCTTAGTACCAAGTCACAGGGATTTAGACCACAAGTCCACTAAAACAACTGAAATACAGCAGGAGCTGGCCACTGGCAGCCATTCATTGAATTTGGAGCTTGAGAGGTGCAGCGGCGCAGTGTGTTTTGAACTTTTGAACACGCGTGATTTGAGCATTGTGCAAAACCTGTCCACTCGTAGTGATTGGCTTCGCAGGCAGAAGAATATTTTACCTGCAATGAGTCAGCAACTGCAGCAGCTCTCCGCTGAATCCAAGAAGATGGACGCCCAGATCGAGGCAAAGTCAGACGATGCCAGGTGTTACATGATTTACTACATGGTTTATATAGAACATAGTCAACAAAGGTCAACCATATGTCAACATACCATAGTTTACTATGTTTACCACATAGTTCACGACATAGTCTACTGCTGCTATCTGCTGCTACTTGCGTCCCAGCTGTGTCGAGCACTGTCATGACATGGTTTCGCACAGGGTCAGCTCCAGACTGCAGCACAGCAGGCACTTTCTGACAGTCTCTGGCTAATTTGTTGTTTTTCGGATGCTAATGGGTCATGATGACAACGAGAGCGGCAATGCCACTGCAAGATGTGGATAGACCAGATTTTCAGTCGTGGCAGAGGTTGGTGGTGTCGCTCTGCGAGGCTTCAGCGTTGGGCAGGGCCTCCGAAGAGATTGGAAAGCTGCAGAAGAGGAGCAGACACAAGCCACATGCTGGGGAACGGTAGGTCCTTCAGAAGCCAAGATCAAGTGACATCAAGAGTTTTCTGAGCCCGTTGTGCAGCTAAGCTAAGATTGTAAGAATGTCAAGGAGCCAGAGTTTTGGATGAAGCCCAGAATGGTTTATTGGGCCCTACGAAGCCCATATTTCAATTTCTTGCCATTGTGAGTTGATTCTGATGCAGTCATTGATTGGTGATCCCCAGCAATTAGCTATTGTATAGGTTGCCTTGAACTGCATTGCCGGGCTGACTGAGCAAGGACTGAAGAACAAATGAAGGAGTGCGTTCGTTTGTCGTGCCTTGACAGCAATTCCCAGTCAAACACACGCTGGTGTGGCTGTCCCCCGACTGTAGGATCTGCTGTCCCTGCAAGTAAACTTATCACAGAGCTGTTATAACCTTATTGCTATGGATTCCGACACAACACCACCCTACACTTAGCACTTAACGCACAAGAATATACACAAGATACAATCCAGATACTACGTAGACATAACCTTATGTGAGGCACAATATGACCTAAGTGAGTGGCCTGAAGGGCCGCACAGGGTCGCACCCAGCTTGGCAGGGCAGAGCAGTCTGCAGCATCACAGAAGCAAAGCTCTTTTGAGGTGCAGACTGCAGACATGATATGACATATGAAAGCATTATGATACTGCTATGGCACTTTTTTAAACATGTATTGTTACAATCTGCTATATTATTATATATATATATTATATTGTCACATTTTGTCAGAACTTCCTAGAGTGTTGCACGAAACTTCGCAAGTTGCGCATCGAAGTTCTCGATGCAACTTCGTCCAGGCCTGGAGCAAGACCGCGGAGTTCAAGGTGCTGCGAGAAAGTAAACACTTTTTTTTCACATCTTTTCAAACTTTTCATAAACTTTCGCACTTGTTCATTCTCACCCGCAGAACTGACTCCTGTAGGTGGCGCAGCTTTCTGACCAACTCACTGACGTCCATTCGCAAGTTTTACGCTGCGAGGCATTTCTGTGTCCTGCCGTTCTTGTTATTATTCATTACATTTCATTACTATATATTATTGCCAACTGCAATTGGCAATGGCAATGTCTTCGCTCAACAAAAGCAATTTGCTTGCGGATTCAGTTTGACAGGGATATCTACTGAATCTATTGTGAGATCAAAGTGGCCTAGATCCACTTAGCTCTTAGCTTTCAGCTTTCAGCTTTTTTCGAAGGCCTTGCAGCCTGAGCTAAATCGTTTGGAGAAATCGATGGGTTCGGCCCCCTCAGTAGCTCAGCATAGCTCAGCTGAACACTCGGAACACTCGGAACACTCGGAACACTCGGAACACTCGGAACACTCTGAATGAAATCTGTTCAAAACATAGTGGGTCAATAGTGGGTGGCAGTTTGAATCATTTTGAATCAGTTTGAGTTTTAAGCACTGGAATTCCTAGGCATCCAATTTGCAATACACTGAGGTGACCAAGCTCGTCGCAACGAAACGGCCCAAAGCCAGGCACGTGACACATGATACACATGCACTGTTCATACTGTTGCAAGCCACATAAACTACATGCTGTATGGCAGAACCATACAGAACACCATCAGATTCATGTCCTGGGTAGTACTGAAGTTGGCCAAGTGTTTCTGCCAAGGAAACATGTGAAAACTTGCCTCTTCACCTGACTCCACCTCGTCTCTTTCACAGTGTCCAATCGGAGGTCAAGGAGTTAATCTATTCATCGCAACGAGATTTGAAAGTGCTGATCGGAGAGGTCAAGGAGGAGCTGAAAGAGGACTGATGAAAATCAAAACACTTCACTCATGCTGCGTTGCTGAGTTTTTTTTCAGTGATTTCTTGATTTTCTTGCATTCTGCTACTTACGACTACTTATTCAGTTGAAGTTCAGCTTTCAAGTAAGTTTTCATATTATGCTTCTGTCTAGCAGCTTGCGCTCTAGGACATCGCCTCGCAATCGCAACAGCTCTTGCAGCTTTCACAACAAGAGGCCTCGATCCAGGCGCAACTTACTCTGCCAGGACCTTGCAAAACCTTGCAGGACCTCGCAAGCGGAACATAGCTGAACATAGCTGAAGAAGAAGTGCAAGTGACAGAGACGACAAAAAAGTAGGATGATGTAGGTCATGTTCAGGTGATGGAGATGAGCCACACTTTCTAGAACAAAAAGTTTGTCAAATTTCAATTTGATAATATCATCTGAATCATCTATTGATATCTATTGATCATGGATGATCTGTGAGGTGCCAAAGTGAAAACTGGTACTTGCAGTCAAAATCGGTCGATCAAGTGGTTTCCATCAGGCTGAAGCTGCCATTACGAGATCAGAGCAGGTCACTCCGCGCGGTGAGTACTTGATGGAAATCTGATGCGTATAGCTAGGAAGACCTAACAGGCCTAACCGGCCACGCACCAACTTCATGAATGCCACAACAGTTCAGTTTCAGTGTCAGGACAACATTCGGACAACATTCTTGTTGTCCACAATGCACGAGAAAATCAATCTTAGATACCTTACATATCTTAGAGTCTCGGAAGAGGTTTTGCCTTTTTGCATGCTTTTTGCATATGCTTTGTGCACTTTTTCATGCGCTTTTGATGTGCGAGGTCCAGTTGGAGAAAGGCTTTGCAAATTGCGTTGAACGCATGGCTCGTGCGACCCTGACCTCTCGGCCTGAGAAATCATGAGACATGTGAGATCATGTGTGTTCAACGTAACTTCAATGTGAAATAGTCCAAAATGAGATCATATGATTTTCATAACTCTTCATATATTTTCATAATTTTTCATATTAAGTTGTCATCCAAAAGCATTTTCAGTGCACGGACATGTCTAAACCCAAGCGGATCCAAGCGGTGCATGAGGATCTTTTCACATGAATCTCCGATCATCTTTTCCAGAAAAACTTTCTGCGTCAACCTATGAGTCACCCGTCTCCACGTGGCTGCATTGTGAGTTTATGCTCTAGGCGGCTCTAGGCAAACTCACTGGCTGTGCGTCTCGTTCTAGACTCTTCTTGCCGAACTGAACTAAACTTGCACTGGTCCCAGCAACACCCTTATCTTTACTACTTGTCCGACCCGCAGCAACGTCGCCCTTCGCTGACACCCTGACAAACACAAGCAGCCTGAAGCTCCAAGAAACTGTAACGTGAGTGTTGACAGGTATTAAGATGTGTTGACCCGGTGCTGTTTTTCCTCGGATCTCAGTCTAGGTGTGGAGACTGTGTCTTCCAGCGTCGCTTCTGCAATGGAGAAGGCCGAGGTGCAGAATTGATAAGAAAAGATGCACGAAGGGTAAGATGGGTAAGACCGGGTGCGAGGATAAGAAGATCTTCCGCAAGCTTCCGTATGTATATATATATAATTATAACTATATATATATACATACATCGAAGTCTGTTCTCAAGAGGTTCAGCAAGCACGGAAGCACTCTGTCGCTGCACATGACATGGCCAGGCATCAGATTCCATGAATTCCAACAACCATTTCAGGTCCACAACCCTATTCATACTACTTCATCCCAGAGTTTGCAAAGGGCTTCCTGTTCGTTCAGCGCAAGACGGCATATGAGAGGCCCAGTTGGAGAAAGGCCTTGCAAATTGCGTTGAACGCATGGCCCGTCAGGGGCTTAGTGCTTAGAGCCTAGTGCCAAAGTTGCTGAATCTGGGCAATTGCATTCCTTTCATCGGACAATCAAACATATTCGGGTTCTGACACACTTCCCTGACTTGTTTGACCTAGTCTGTCGTATGACGGGTAGTCCAGTAAAAAGAGTCTGGGAACGGACTCTGATCAATGATGACAGATGTTGAAGCCTGTCGTGTTCAAGCTTTTATTTACCAGGTCTTGTTTTGTTTTACAAATCAAGAGACACCAAGATTTACCAAGGTGTAGAAGGGCAAGAATCTGCCCACGCTGCAAGTCTGGACCAAACGAAGGCGAGAAAGCGGAGAGAAGATGATAGAAGTATGAGAGAAATTAGAGACACCCGGTGCGTTTGAGTTGTTTTTTGTGAATATTTGTGAATAGATGAATAGACGGTTAAAGCCGACAAGTTATATTTGTTAGTGTGGCATGTTGGCCTATCTTGTGGTGATGCATACTTGGCACAAGCTTTGAAGCAGCAGTCAAGTACCGGTCAACAAAATTCAACAAACAATTTCCAGGTTTTCAGTTTGAGTCACACCGCTAGTTTCGAATACTTTCCAACGTTCCTCCCTGATACCCTGGGCCGTCAGATTAGGCCCAAATTGCTGAGATGAACAACCAGATGAAGCAGGAACAAGAGCAGCTCGCGGGCAAAATTGAGGAGACAAAGACAGAGCAGGCTCTCCTCCTTGCACTTCTGGTGATGTAAATAGATTCCACATATATTTTGAGTAAACCGAAGGCTAAGATGTTTCATTGCTTGTCACAGGATTTTGATCTCTCTCTCTCTCTCTATGTATATACATTCATATATAATGTACATACACACACCTAAAATATTTTGACACCGACTTCCTACTATCGTGCCTTTCGTTCCTCCATTCCTTTTGAAGACTTGAGGCCGAGAGCCAGGAACGACTGGCAGAACGTTTGGGAGACCGTCTCACATCAGTGGAGCAGCTGTCTTCCCGCTGCTCAGCTAAAGTCGTGAAATGTCGCGAAGTCATGTCACCAGACACACAACATTCTTCTGAGGGCAGGGGTATTTTGAGCATCCAGCAGCTTTCTGTTCCTTTTTTTGCAGAACATTATTATTTTTTGATTTCTGTGATTTCTCCATACTTCTCATTTAATTCGTTTTGATTTATTGTGCAAGGTCTTCAAGCTTTGCAGGAAGCCGATTCCAAGCTGCAGACGCAGCAGCGCGAGGCGTGGAAGCTCTGTGGCCCATCCTGACGAATGCGTAGCGAAGCACAGTGCACCCATGGCAGAGCTATGCTGCTCAGATGGCCCAGATCTAGAATTTCCATGAATTTCCCAGACCTCATTGCAGTGTTTGTGATTGTGCAATGTTTTTGCAGTACCTTTACCATCCTTTACCAATGGTTTGCCAATGGTTTGTCGATGAGGCTTTGACTCTTGTCAGGACTTCAAGCAGGAGCTCAAGCAAATTCATCAGCTTCATCAGCAGCATGGCGAGTCGGAAGCCCTGCAACAAAGGACGGACCGCACGTCGAAGACAGCAGTCTTTGTAGGATCCGGGAATATCCGGGATGTTTTTCAGGATGTGTCGTTTTTTTTCGAAGTTTTTTGATGCATGAGTATGAGTTCAGAAGTGTTGAGGATGTTGAGGGAGATCACTGAGCTCTCCGACAAGCTAAGTGCACAAAGAGAAGCGCTCGAAGTAAAGCTGGCTGAAGACAAGCAAAGTGTAGACGTCGTAGACGAGAAGTTGCAGACACTGCCAACAGCCCAGCCAAATTTAGCCGTTGCTGGGGTGGTCCCAACTTGACTGGTGTCGCTGTCAGAAAGAATTGTGCGAGCGCAGGATCATATCCAATACAGAAGAAGAAGACACACATGGCATATGTATATATATATATTGTATATATAATTGTATATTTATATATGTATGTAAGTATATATACACGTGTATACAGAATCATACATGTATACATATAGAGAGACGATCGAAAGGTCTCAGACATATGTTGCACAAAAAGTCGTCTGAGGCAAGCAGCAGTAGATGACGCCAGGATGGAAGATCATCAAGCATTGCAAGAGTGTTTGCAGGCCAAGCCTGACATTGACATCATACTCAGTGAGATTGACATTGACTTGTAGACTTGATAGAATTGATAGACTTGTTGTGAGGTCCGGATTTTAAGCCATTGCCGATGATGTCACTATATCGCTCAAGAGTCAAGAAGAACTATGATCAAAAGGATTCGTTAGAATATGTGAACTCTGTGGTTGACACTTGACACCACAAGATTTCACCAATCAGGTACTTGATGGACACGTAGGGGAACTTCAGGAGCAACTAAGGCTGGACAGCCGGCATGTGAACACGGCGGAAACTCTCCGAAGTGAACCTCTACTTGCAGCTTTGCTCTTGAGCACGCCTTTACTTTGAACATTAAATGTTGAGTGTCTTTTTTACATTTGAAGATCTTGATGTTCACTTTATCGTTTCTCGGAGTTTCTGGAACTCCAAACAAGTCAGCCACAAATCCTAATTTACTAAGCCACATCTGATCACATCAGTTTCGTTCGACACTCTGTAGCTGTTTCCAGCTGTTCCAGTGCTGCCCACAGGAGTTCCAGCTTCGAACAAGCCCAGCTGACAAGCTCCGCCCGAGGCCTCAGAGGCCCAGGTTATCCCGTGATCCCGTTGCCATTTCGGCCGAATCGCCGCTTTTTCGCCCAGGTTCGTTCAGCGGAGAAAGGCACGTGCCACGTGCAGAATTCCCAAGGGCCATGACAATGACTGACAACTGATAGACAGTATGATAGACATGAAATTTCATGAAATTTCACTGCAATGCATGGGTTAAGAAAGAGGTGCAGTCGAGGTTACACAGGTTTCACCAAGAAACCTCAGGGTATGAAGACCCGCCCGACAGTAGAGAGAGGTGGTGAAAAGGTAGAAATCCTGTTTTGTCCCAGAGTTTTTTTTCCTCAGAATGCACTCTTTAGAGTGGCAACCATTTTCTCTCAAGATCTATGACAAACGTTCGTTCCGTTCACATCCGTTCACTATTTCCGATACTTTTGAGCTTCTGTCCTCGAGATGCCAGGCTTCAACACAGCCATGGACTCCTGGAAGCGAGGTGCGAGTTGAGGATTCCCTGCAGAAGTTTCTGCCAATTTTTTACAGCTGGAACATGGTATAGATATGCGACTGATATGTAATACATTGATATACATATTGCAAATATTGTACATGTAATATAGTAATATGATGTAATATGCGTTTACGGCAGCATCGTTGTTACCAATCCCAGTGTCCCTCTGAGAGCGAACAAAGCTGGGGAAATTTGGCACCGAAGGTCTTGATCGCCTGGAAGAACGTCTTCAGAGCAGCGATCTGCGATTGGCCCAGCAGCCAGGGCAGCTCAGTGAGGAAAAACATGCACCGCTGGCAGTGCCATTGTACTGTAAGATCTGCAATAATCTGCAATCATCTGCAATCTGCAATATTGTAATGATTTGTAATGTAGTTCAACACAGATTCAACACATCGCAGATTTCATGCACTGATCTCGAATATCACCCGACGCAGTCTCAGGTCCGAAAAGCTTGCGAAGCTGGAGACCACGGAGACCTTGAGAGAGACCTTGGCCGAGGACTGAAATGAAACTGATCCAATGGTCGCAATGGTCGCAATGGTCGCTGTATTGTTGCTATATGTTGCTATCCAAATAGAGAAAAGAAATGCATCACCACGACAAATCACACAAACATGGTGAATTTGGTGAAGGTTTGAATCTTATTGCAAGGAGCAAGACAAGCTCTCCAGCTTTCAAGCTGCGATTTCGCTCTGTGAGCATCAGAAGGTCCGGGGCTTGACGAAGGACTGTGCCGGTGGTTGAAGTTGGAAGGTGAACTTCGTATTTCTTCCTACAAAATAAAAACACAATCAAAGCAGATGGCAAGAGCTTAAGAGCATGCACAGAAGATGTCAATACGCGTTGATAATTAGTTGACACGCATTGTGCATTGCTTTTCCTGCCAAGTCGAAACCCCACCCTGAACAAGTGTAATTGTCCAGCCCGGCTCAGTTGAATTAATTTTATTTGTTTTCTCACCATTTTCTCAGCTTGGCCAAGGCTTTGCAAGCTGCTGATCAGGCATGAGTGCGGAATATCCAGAGATCTTTTGAAATACAGTGCAACGCTGCAACGCTCGCATTTCTTGTGTTTTAGACTTAAGCACTCAATAACTAATCTACTATTGGCAAATGTCTTAAGAAGGCCAACAGATAAAGTCGAGCTCTGGCATTGAGGCACAGCTTCAAAAGAGATTTGAGGATCTGCATGGAAAGACTCTGCCGCTGTTGGAAAGATATCAGGAGGTGCGCAATTTTGAGAGCTGTTGGGCTTGTAGAAGATGTAGATGTGATCCAAACTCTTGATTTGTCTGGCGTGCTTTGGAATTCTTGACGGCTAGCGGCCAGCAGCTAGCAATTACGAAGGTCAAACGCTGGCCTGAGTTGGCTTGCGAGACTTGACTGATTGATCTGAAGAAGACACCTAGGCACACGCCCTTGCCTCTACGAGATTCTGAAAGCTGGAACAATGAAGCAACCTGAAGCAACCTGAAATAGCCTGAGACAGGTGCAACTAGCTCACAGTGCCACGTTCGGATAGGAGATGTTTGAGTCCAAAGAGGCACTGAAAGCATTGCAGGCGTGGGCCGCCTTAACATGCCTTAACTGTCCTGTCCATTTGATGTCCATTTGAGATCCCGGGCACCAGGTAGAGCTCTCTGGTGTCAAAGTGCAACAGAAGGAGCTCAAGGACCAGTGTGGAGTGGTTCAGTTACTTCAGTTCATTGGCAATCAAGAAACATCAAGAAACATGGAAATTTCGGACTCAGAGTCGGACTCACCCAAAGGTTTGCAGAATCGCAGCAGGACGAAGCAGCTCTCAATGAGGCTACTGCCGGGCTGCGGCATTGACTTGAGCTCCGATTTTCCTGGCGATTTCAATCTCTTTTGACATTCTTTGACTTATGATGGCTTTGTTGGGCTGAAACCCTGCGTGTCCCTTGGCGTTTCAAACATAGAATGCCGTGTCGGGCTGTGCATATCTGTGCATATTGTGAGGCTACTGCCGGTGTTGAGTTCCAAGGAGTTCATGCCAGTGCAGAGCGGGCGCACGCAAGGCCAGCTACTTCAGATTGTTTTTTTCCCGGAACTCAAGAGCAGGAACTGTTGCGAAAGATTCAACACTCGTGCTGTAATGATTGGTTAAATTTGGTTTCATACGATTTGATTGCCTAAGAATTATGTCTATATAGTTTGCCACAACGAGGCCTTCCATTCTCCAAGAGAATCAACATTCGCAAAACAGGATCTTCCACTTACACGATTAATGTAAAAAAATCAGATTCAGATAGAATCTATTTCCAGACTCAGCCTTTGACTCCGAAAAATCGCGGAATTGGAATCCGAGGCTCGACGCTTTGGAATCGACAGGACGATTGGACTCCACGAGGCGTCAAGAGCAACGCCTCGAAGAGCTCCAGGACAGAACGCTGCGAAGCTGACTGGTATATTGTGGTAAAAAGTTACTACAACTTATAACAAGACTATATATGACGTATAATATATATATATATATGTATGTATAATAAATTATTTCTAATGCTATAAATGATCTACATTGTTACATATATATGTCATATACACAATTTATGCCATATTGTTTGCACAATGGGAAGGTATTGAACATACGGAATATACACATGTATACCCATACCAGGAAGTTCTAGGGGGCGTGTATTGGCATTACGAAAATTGAGATTCTTAAGGGGCGCTTATTAGACACCCTTTAAAGTTCATGGAGATGGCACAGAAAAAAATGACTTTTTCCCAGGAGTCTTTTGACAATGGTCCCGCAGGAAACAAGAGCTTTACCGAAAACATTTGTCGCATTTGCCCTTTGTTTTCTTACAGCATGCTTTTCTGAATCGTATGTCAAACTATGTCAAACTATGTCAAACTATGTCAAACTATGTCAAACTATGTCAAACTAAATAATATATATATATATAAACACATCATAGTCTCTGTGTTTCAGATATAGAGTGTGAGAGATGTGTATGTAAGACACATCCTTTTCCTTGCTGCATATCTTGAAAAGGGTTTCACGCCAGATGAAGCAACAAAAGCACGGGGCACGATCAGTAAAGACATATCTGATTCTTGTTACTTCATGAAATTTGGATCCCTTCCCACCTCCTTGTGGTTAAGGGGCAACTTGTCCCGTTGCTGTGAAGGCGGCTCAATGGAGCTGGTCAGCTGACAAGGCAAGGGAATTGCAGCAAGATGCAGCAGATGCAGCAAGTAGCTGTAGCTCGGATAATGCGCAATCGATACCCTTTGGATTCACGAATATCACTTGATTTTCTTAATAACTCATGCGTGGTTCCATTTGGGTGAGGTCCATATCAAGGAAATTCCAGGGTCCGCCTGACATTCACGTTATCTGTGTTAGATATGTTGTTATTAATTGTTTTTAATTGCTATTCATTGCTATTTAGTGTTATTTATTGTTATTTATTGTTATTGATTGTTATTGATTGTTATTGATTGTTATTGATTGTTATTGATTGTTATTGATTGTTATTGATTGTTATTGATTGCTATTTTGTTTTCAATATTCGTACCTTGTCTCCCCAAACCTCCTTTAAAACTTTTGTGCCGCGTTGTCCGTGTGCCAGGCGGCCTTGGAAAGTCAAGCCTCGAGTTCGCGACAAAGAATCGAAGGACTTGAGAAGACTTTGGAGGTCGAAATACCCTGCAGCCCCTGCAGCCTCTGCATGTCGAAAGTAACTTGGACCAAGGTAAATGACAGAAATGACAGGTGACAGATATAGTTACTGCCACTCACTGCATACTACATGTGGGGACAAAGGCGCTGTACGTTGTCCAGAGGTCAGGTCCCATGCCTACTGGTGGCCTCACTTCCACTTCCACTTCTTCTCCACTTCCACCAAGGTCAATTTTGCAGATATCTAGGTAGAATCTAGGAGTATGATGGATTATGATGGATTATGTACATGTATTGATCAGGAATGGGGGCCCTGACTTCATGAATTGGAACGGAACAACTCCAAGTGCTTAACCCCGTGACTGGTTTTCCACATCTCCTGCAGGTCAGCCAGGTCCAAAGTTTTCCAAAACCAGGTTTTGTCATCCCTTCTTGCAGAGACTCGAGTGATTTGCAGGCGTATCTTAGCAAAGACTTGCTCGAAAGCGTTCGCTCTGCCCAAGTCTCAAAGCACAGCCTTGGAATATGTTGGAATCCGTTGGAATCCATATTTGTGCATCCTTTGTGCATTCTTTGTGCATTCTTTGTGCATTCTTTGTGCATTCTTTGTGCATTCTTTGTGCATTCTTTGTGCATGCTTGCAAGGCTCAAAATGACATAGATTCAATAGACTGAAATACAGGACATCGCATGTGAACGAGTTGGCACAATTTTTCTTTAATGTTAGGTGTTTTGGAATGAATGATGTCATCCATCATTTGTATTGACATGATCCTCGGAAAGACAGAAACATGCCGCCATGGTCGCTGCTGCCGTTGCTTATGTTGATGCCAAACTGCTCAGCAGTCAGATCTTTCCAAAATCGAAGTGAATTACTGGCTGCTGTCAGAGGCTGGAAGTTCGAAGCCGAAAGAACTCGATTGACCTCCACATATGGCCTGGTTGAGAGCTGGGACGTGTCAAAAGTCACTAGCATGAGAGCATTGTTTCAGGACACCTGGTGGTTCAATGAGGACATTCGAGCGTGGAACACCTCTGCGGTGGTCGACATGGCATGTATGTTCTCACGTGCCTGGTTCAACCAGCCACTCGATTCCTGGGACACCTCTGCAGTGACCGACATGACCGAAATGTTCCTGGGTCCAACTGCCTTCAACCAGCCAATCGGTTCCTGGGACACCTCTGCAGTGACCACCATGGAGAGAACCCTCGGGGGGGGGGGCGCGGGTGACCGCGCGGGAATTGACCTGGTTACAAATTCCCCCCCACAACAGGCCACTTACCCCGCTCCACTGCCTAACACGCAGTGGTGAGCGTCAGAGATGACCGGGGCAGCGCCGGTAAAACGGAAGGTGGCTACGTTAATGCACCGCCCAGTGTCACGCTAACACCGTGGCCACCATTCTGTGGTGCCGGGACCCTGGACTGGGCACAGCCAGCCACCAGACTGGCAAACCGCCGGCTACCACACCGGAACACTGGCACAGACCAGCTCCAATTGGCGCAAGCCATACATCACTTTGCAAAATACAACGTACCGATGTGGGCTCTGCCCCATCACACCCAGTTCACTGGGACCAGCACTCTCGTAGCAGCAGCAGCTGCTAAACACAGCATTGACACTGCGGCTGCAGCCGCAACACACGACGGGCACCCGCCCGTGACCTTACCGGTCTTCATCACAAGAAACACAGCCAGCCGGCTTTTTCCACGCTTTGCGTGGGGTGCCCCTTAATCCAATGCCTTCTTGGCTCGCCAGGTTGGGTGCACTTTCAAAACTACAACCACCATGGAGAGAATGTTCTTCGAAGCCAGGGCTTTCAACCAGCCAATCGGTTCCTGGGACACATCTTCAGTGACCAATATGCGGAGCACCCTCGGGGGGGGGGGCGCGGGTGACCGCGCGGGAATTGACCTGGTTACAAATTCCCCCCCACAACAGGCCACTTACCCCGCTCCACTGCCTAACACGCAGTGGTGAGCGTCAGAGATGACCGGGGCAGCGCCGGTAAAACGGAAGGTGGCTACGTTAATGCACCGCCCAGTGTCACGCTAACACCGTGGCCACCATTCTGTGGTGCCGGGACCCTGGACTGGGCACAGCCAGCCACCAGACTGGCAAACCGCCGGCTACCACACCGGAACACTGGCACAGACCAGCTCCAATTGGCGCAAGCCATACATCACTTTGCAAAATACAACGTACCGATGTGGGCTCTGCCCCATCACACCCAGTTCACTGGGACCAGCACTCTCGTAGCAGCAGCAGCTGCTAAACACAGCATTGACACTGCGGCTGCAGCCGCAACACACGACGGGCACCCGCCCGTGACCTTACCGGTCTTCATCACAAGAAACACAGCCAGCCGGCTTTTTCCACGCTTTGCGTGGGGTGCCCCTTAATCCAATGCCTTCTTGGCTCGCCAGGTTGGGTGCACTTTCAAAACTACAACCACCATGTGGTATATGTTCTACTTTGCAGAGGCCTTCAACCAGCCAATTGGTTCCTGGGACACGTCTGCAGTGACCACCATGGAGGCAATGTTCGCGTATGCCAAGGCCTTCAACCAGCCAATCGGTTTTTGGAACACATCTTCAGTGACCAATATGAGGAGCATGTTCCTGATTGCCAAGGCGTTCAACCAGCCACTGGATTCCTGGGACACCTCTGCAGTGACCGACATGAAGGAAATGTTCAGAGAAGACGCGGCCTTCAACCAGCCCCTCGGTTCCTGGGACACCTCTGCAGTGACCGACATGAGGGAAATGTTCTGGGGTGCGAAGGCTTTTGACCAACCGATTGGTGCCTGGAACACCTCTGCAGTGACCGACATGAGGGAAATGTTCTGGGGTGCGAAGGCTTTTGACCAACCGATTGGTGCCTGGAACACCTCTGCAGTGACCGACACGAGGGAAATGTTCTGGGGTGCGAAGGCTTTTGACCAACCGATTGGTTTATGGAAAATATCCTCCCTGGAAAGTTCTGATAAGATGCACCACGCACTCCTCCCACCCTGCCAGCCGGGCAGAGCTCCCGGCCAAAACGCCCTCATGTGCGAGCGGTGTGGAGTGGGGCAATACTCCACGGGCGACTCCTGTCAAGGATGTCCGCCAGGTTCGGTGCCCTCCAAAGACCGGGACGCATGTGAAGACTGCCCAGTGCTCCAGTACTCTGTGAGTGGAGCGAACACGTGTTTGGCATGCGACTTGCCATTGGCCTTGGTGGACAACGAATGTGTTTGGTGGCATCTGCCTGTTCTGGCGCTTGCTTTGTCCGCTTTGACTGTCGCTGTTCATCTACTGTTTCGGTGTCTCCGTTCCAGACGAGAAAAAGAAGATCACACGTGTTATGGAGGAAGTCTATGACGAGTTGTGGGATGAAGAGCCAGCCATGGTGGCCACATACACAGAGAAGTTGGTAAGTCTTGGCCTGCCAAAAGTTCAAATACACCAAACATTTTGTGAGATCCGCGCTCTGCAGAGCGAAAGAGCCGGCGTGAGCATAAGATATCTCCTTTCAGGAGAGTTCACGCAGCTGGCTGCAGATCGCAGCGGCAAAGATGAACCAACCTTCATGGACCTCAAAACGGCATTCTGGTTGTCAGAGCAACCAATTGGCCGAGACATCATCTGCCCGCGGGATGGGAAGGCAGGATGCGCTTTGGTGGACTGGATCCCACGGGAGCATCGCAGACAACAAACTCACTTTATGAGTTGGACATGGAAATACACCCTGCAGCAGGTGCAAAGCGCGTTGCAGATGTTTGGAGACGGTTTGGTGGGGCCTTGCTATTTCTACGTTTGCTTCTTCGTCAACAACCAATTCCGTATTCTTTTGGAGCAGATTGCCTCGGGCAGCGACAATCTCGAAGCGGTTTTCGAAGACAACTTGAAGCGAATAGGCAAAATGGTGGCCATTTTGGATACATGGAAGCGACCTGTGTACCTGACTCGCATCTGGACGGTCTTTGAACAGTTTGTGGCTTCCACGCTTCAGATCGAGGTCCAGTTCGTCATGCCGAAGGCCACAGCGAAGCAGTTGCAGGGTGAGATCGCATCGGGTTCCGAAGGCGTTGACAGAGTGATCAACGCGCTGAGTGAGGTGGATTCAGCAAGAGCAGAAGCATGGAAGTTGGAGGATGAGGTCAAAGTGAAATCTATGATCCAGGACACTGTCGGTTTCCGGTATGTTGATGCTCACGTGACGGATGTCATGACCACATGGATTGGCAAAGTCGTTGAACAGACATGCCGAGAGTTGCTGAAGAAAGCACGTGCGGAGAAAGCCTTGGCGAACGGAGATGGCGGCAATGGCCAGGTGGACTGCAACGACATCAACTGCGAGGGACCCCTTTTCCGCGCCACATTTTGATGTGCTAGGTTATTTTATCTGCGTGGCACGCTGCCACCTGCGAAATTCGTCAGGACACAGGGATGCTGATCCCGGCATTTTTTCCTCGTGTGAAACCTGACATTTACAGGATTTCGTTGGATCGGTTCCGCGTGCTCGCTGTAATTTGCAATGGACACTTTTGATGCTGGACACTGTACAGAAACGTTGTCTGAGTTTGATCATAGCATGGATTTTGTGCCCTTGGGATGTGTAAAGTGTAAAGCCCGACTTTTACAAGGGCCGAGTTGCTTACAGTGTTGCCCTTACAGTACGAGGAAGGGAAAGGAAAAGGTGAATCCTGCCTTCTGTGCCTCGTGCTAAGGAGATGGACCATTTGAGATCGCGTTTGGCTGCCGCGGAACAGCAGCAGGTGTCCCGTGCAACTGTAATTCTTTATGATTGTTCAATAAACATCAAGAAACATTATGTAATCAGTTTAATAAGTTGATGTATTGATGTACATTTATTGTCATTGTTGACCATTCATTTGTTTTTTTATCGCTCTCTGTGCTGAAGCAGAAAATGACAAGACTTGGCAACGATTCTGCCGTCGTCCAGGTGTCCTCTGGGTTGGAGCTGCGGAAGTTGTTGGATGCCGAGAGATGCAGGACGAAAGCGGCTCGAAATCGCAGCAGTTTTTCAACATATTAAAGTTATTAACGTTATTAAAGTTATTAAAGTTAAAGAAAGATGTTTTTTGACTCTTATGTTACTTATGTTCATTTCTCTCCAGAGGCATATAGAAGTGACGAGTCATAGAACATCCAGTGATGCACATCCGGATCCTGTGATTTCGATTGATCTCAAGGTCCTTGAGGTTGGATGCCGAGTTGGCAGGTGTTCAGGCGCTCCCGTGGTGGAAAGGATGTAAAACCATGTAAAACCCAAGCTGAAGCGAGATAAGGACAACGACCATTGAACCCACAACACATGTATGTACTATATAATATACGAAAATATACGATTATATACTATATAATATATATATATATATATTTATCTAGTACTGTATATCATGTAATATTGACATATATTTAAGAATGAAATGTACATGTGAATTATTTCAAGCTAAAGAGATGGTACTCTATGAGTCTTGGTTTTGGATTACATAGCCTTTCATCGCAGTCTGGAATGAACAGTGTTGCCGATGCTGTCAGACACTCACAATTACTAACTGCATTACATATCTAAATTGAGGATGCTCCATGTGAGAAAACAACCTGCTCTCAGCATCCCGATGTCTCCCACAGGTGGAGCAGATACATTGACAAAACATGTTTCACGGTGCCAGGCTGCGTTGCGCGAACGCTTATCAGAGGCCCTGGCAACATTGTGTGGGCCCTGATGCCCCGAGTCATTGTGGATCCGGTCTGCAGTTGCCCATGCTTCGTTAAATCTGTGATCTCGAAATATGTCGAAATATGTCGAAATATGTCGAAATATGTCGAAGTGTATTCAGATTATTCAGTGTATTCTGAGACAATGTGCACCGATGGGAGATCGGGATCAGATCGGATCAAGGGCCTTGAGAATTTGTGGATCCGATGCCATCCGTTGCCAGCCTTTGGCCAAAGCTGCACAGTGATGCACAGCTGTTCCAAGCTGTTCCAAGACGTTCCAAGCAAAATTCAATCCGATAAGTGCTGATAACCGATCAAAATTCAGTGCCTTTGGCTAAGGCCTCCTTTGGAGGAAGGCCTTCGAGAACAGGCCCACCAACTCGAGGTGAGAACAACTGCGAATGTCATACACCTCTTTCGATGCGTATTCATTGTCTGGTCGCTGGCGGACTCTCAACCAATCACTAATCACTTGCTGCAAGCTACAAGCAAACGTTGCCCCAACAAAACATAAAAAAACAAACTTGCTTTTAGCAAAGTCTTCAAGTCTATTTGACTTCACGTGATACTATATCAAATCATACCCACATGCATGAGCAAAGCGACAGCCATTTAAGTATGACACTTGGATCTAGAGATTTGCTTGTTTTCAGCATGCCATCAATCCCTTTGAGCGCTCCTCCGAACACCTCAAAACTCTTTACAACCTCCTCCAAGACAGTAAGCTGAACTTGCTTGATGATGCTGTAAACTCATCCTATGCCATTCAGCTTGCATTGCCAGCTTGGAATAATTTTCTCCGAATTTTTCAAGTGATTTCAGAGATTTGTGAAAGTGTCTTTTGCTGCATAGCATGTGACACGTTTTGTGCGATTTGAGCAAGTCGTATGCAGTTTAGAGCTTGATTTCCAACTTTCCTGACAGCGCGTTCAGATTTCGAACGCGGAACAGTGATTTCAATCTTTGACAGAGCATTGAGATTTCGAACGCGGAATTCACATAGTGATTTCATTTTTGGAGAAACATTTAGACGTGCGAAAGAGGAATTTATAATCAGCTGCGGTACAGCTTATGAGTTTGAAGCTTCTCAGAAATCGTTTTGCGACGTTTCCACGGTTGAGACTTTTTTAAACATCCTGATGATCTCCTATTGTCTTGCGTTTCCTGGGTCCAAGCAATCTGTGAGATCGAAGTTTTTGAACCGCTTTTGATCACATTTCCAATTTGAGAGCCGTGCAAATTTGCAAGAGTTTTTTTTCCGAACTAGAGTAAGCAGACATGACGTCTGAACCGAATGTGAGTTTGGAAACAATTAGAGAATTTGACCGCAACCAAGCTTTCAGCTCTCCCTGTTGCCACAGCATTGTGAACATGCTCAGCCGCATCGTGCTTCCTTTGATCAATGAGATCAGCATTCCGCCAACAACATGTTGGCTCAAGATTAGGAGGCGTAAATTCTGCTAGCACAGTGAGACAAAAAGGGCGTGAGTTGTCAAGCAGAGTTGTCCACATTCTCAGTTGCAATTATCTACTCTTCTGGGGTGATAATTCTCGCATGGTAGCGGAGCCAGTGTGCTCCTAGGAACCCCCCTGAATTGGTTTTCTCCTAGGATTTTCCAGGGTTCAGGATTGACAACAGACAACTGATCTTGACAAGAGATCTTGGAACCTACACCTAGCAGAATCTGATTTTGCAGCCATGGAGCAGCCGGCCAGAGACAGGTCACCAAGAGGCCGTTCTCAAACGAGAAGAGGAGTTTCTTTGCCTGCAACAACCGGATATGCCCCTGGAAGTGCAAACGCCTCCGTCCCCTTTGTCTTCGAGGAGCAACTCAATCGAGTCCGAATGAGCATGGACACTTTACAAGCAGAAGTTGGCAAGGCAGTTCGAGAACTTGCAGGTCACCAGAAAACTCTTGTTGACACCCTTGAGCGTCAGCAGCATGAGCTGAATGATTTACGAGCCCAAAGAGTTCCAATCCCTCCAAGTGCTTCTCAGTCAGTGGCGGCTGCCAATGAGGATCGCTTCGGTGCCATGGGAGAAACCAGTCCTTTTACTTCTGGACAAGACCCGCCCATCCAATTGCCAGTGAATGCTCAGCAAGGTGCAGGTGGACTTGCATCGGCGATGCCAAATACTGCAGTGAATGCGAGCTCAAGCACTGGACATGGGGTAAAAATTGTCTTACCCGATGGTACGGAGATCCCCTTGGGCGGCCAGTCAAATGCCGCGGGTCCTAAAGTTCCTGGATCCACACAGCTAGATGCGCTGCAGAGAAGCGACAAGTGGCTGCCTAGCATGCCCGTGGTCGAGTCGAATCGGTGGAAAAGCCGAATGGAGGAGATTTTGGGCATGGAACAGTGGCTCGATTCATTTTGCAATTGGCTATCTTTGATTTCAGAGCCATTTTGCACAGAAGTGAAGTTTTCTGCGACTTCTCCGCTGCCAATTGACAAGAAAGATTTGTCAACTGACCAGATTTCCCGAAGCTCCAGGCTCATGGCAATGCTTCGCCAGACCTTCCAGATGACTCCGCGAGCCAAAATCATTCTGCTTGCTTATGTAGAAGGCCCTGGAGATAAGAACGGGTATGAGGCTTTGCGAAGGATTGTCCAAGAATACATGATCAAGACTCGTGCTGAGTTGATGCATTTCCGCACATCTTTGCTTGGCCGAACTTTCAAAGCTCAAACAGTGACAGAGGTAATCAAGCAAATTGAGTTCGAGGAGAGCCGGTACAACAAGCTTGCTCGGATGTTGCCCTCGAATGTACCAGCTTCCGATTTGGCCCTGCTCCCTAGTGATTTGGTGATGGTCCTCATCAAATCCTTGCCTGTTGGTGTGAGGGAATATGTTGTCATGCATAGCCCAAGCCATGACTATGTGCAAATGAAAAATGCCGCTTTGTTGTACGAAGCCAACCAGAGAACTTGGACAGAGATTGCAGGCAGCAGTTCTGCCACCTACATGCATGGAATGTTTGACACGAATGACAAGCCGAAAGGAAAGGGCAAAAGCAAAGATGGTAAGAAAGGAAAGGGGAAAGCAAAAGATTCAAATAAAGGTGCAGCTAAGGGCAATGGTGAAAAGTCAGAGAAGGAACAGAATGCCACGTGTTTCCGATGTGGTCGCACAGGCCATTTCTCTTCAAATTGTCATGCCAAGAAAGACAAGGATGGCAAGCCGCTTGAAGGGAAGCCCGCTCCAAAGAAAGATGGAAAGGGATCTGGTGAAGAGAAAGGTTCCAGCACAGGTCCTCAGAACAAAGGAAAAGGCAAAGGATCCAAAGGTAAGAAAGTCAATGAAATGCTTGAGCAGCCTGAAGGCGAATCGTGGCCTACCAATGGTCCAGCTGAAAGTCAGGGTTCCAATGGAGATGGCAGCCGTGCGTCAGCTGCGAAGCAAGCAGCAGCCCCTTTGAATCCCATTTTGCCTACTCAGTCTTGGTTTGAAGACACGATCGTGCAGTTTGAGCGAGAGCAGATCACAGAAGAGCAGTTCGATTTGGTCCACGGATCATTTCTCATGGAGGAACAATTTTCTTCTGATTTTGATTTTTCATGTTTTGGAAACCCATCAGATTTGTGGAGTAAAACCAAGCATGTTTGTACCATGTCAGCTGCAGTTTTCATGCCAATGATGCCAGATGTCCCATCAGATTTGCACTGGTGGCTCATTGATTCAGGAGCATCAGCCTCTGTTGTGAGTTCTCGCTTCCTGAAACACTATGAAGTAGTAAAGAATCAAGTGCTGGGACCAGCAACCGGCCCTGGGTTTTCATCGGCAAGCGGTGAGACAATTCATCCAACTTCCCTTGTTTGCTTGAAAGCATTTTTCCGCTTGACGTCCAGAGAAGATCCTTCAGACACCATGTTGAAAGAGTGCTTAGTTTCAGCTTTTGTAGCAGATGTTCCCAATAATGTTTTGTCAGTGGGCAGCTTGCTGCGAAAGGGTTGGTCATTAAGCAGTTCCGGAAGTGAATTGGAAGTGTGCTTTGGAGGATACAATTTGGACTTGGTGACATGGCAGAATGTGCCATGGATTTTTCACAAAGTTGAGACGGTCATGGACTTTTCCGATGATCGCGATTTGCAGAAGACATTTTGGAGCCGTCGGAAAATCCATGATGGTCCGGTGAACACGGTTGAGCATTTGAGCGAAACTGACAAATCCATGTTGATGACAACCAAGAGACAGCCAGATGTTTCATTGGAAGAACTTGACCCCGCTGCTGCATCCTCTTCTAGCCCAGCATATGTTAGTAGTAGGCCTGTTTCCGATAGTGAATCTCCATACCGTGAAAGCCTCAGTGTGGAGCCTAACTCTATTCCGGATTCGAACGAGCCTTTTGATTATGAGCCCAATATGATTGTAGACACAAACACAGGATTTGCATCCATTCCTTCAGAAGAGTCTTCAGAGCATCCAGCTGTATTGCGAAAACGAGACTTGAATAAATCCAAGCTTGAGCAACACCGCCGTCAAGGCCATTTTCCATTCCATGCAGATTGCCTTTCTTGCCAAGCAGCCAAGTCCACGACTCACCACAGAAGAAAGAAGAAATCGGTGTTGAGCAGTGAGATGGCATGTGATTTTTTCTTCTTGAACTTGGATAAAGCAAACAAAGAGTCTTTCAAGTATCTAATCATGGTAGATTTGACCACTGGAATGAAAGGCGTGGCCCCTGTCCAGTCGGACATTCGTTTGTCGCACCGATGGATACAGGCCTGGCTTGGCGAATTCAATATGTCCACAGAATGCCCCGAGCCAATTGAAATTATCACGGACGCAGAAGAAGCTGTCTCAAGTTTCATGAAAGGTGCCATCAACCACAGGCCAGCTTCATTTGTCAAAGCGCCGCCGCAAGGTCACCAGACCATTGGTGGAGCAGAGGCTGGAGTCCGAGCCATTAAAGATGCGTTCAACACTCTTCGGCAAGACTTGCGTGAGAATGGCTGTGATGTTTGCGTCAGGAATCAGACAGCTGTGAATGCCGCTTTGGCATATTTATGTCATTGCTCCAATTATTTCTCATGTTACTTAGATACAAAACAAAGTCCAAAGTCACTTGCACTTGGTCGGGAGACGACCCGGAAAACAACCATGTTTGGCAGCCTTGTCCTTGCAGAGGTGCCAGCTAGCTTGAAGAAAGATTGCATTTCCCGATTTGAGAAGGCAACGTATTTGCGACCTGAGTTCAACTCATTGGGGGATGTAGTTTGTACTGTCATTGGGGGGCAAGAACGTTTCTTTGTTTGCAAGAGCTTTAAGATTGTTTCCCCATTGGAGTGGGACATCTCCTTGTCTCCATCTGTTTTGCATTTTTTCGACCGGATGCAGCCTGATGTTTCCATTGAAGATCTCTCCGCAAAGATGTCTGAACCTCTGCCCTCTAGGATTATCGAGCCTGTGGAATATTCAAACGTCAAGAATGTTCCTTCATCCTGGATTCATGAGCATGGACGTACTAAAGGTTGTAGTGTTTGTGCGCGCCATCAGAGTTTCCACGGACTGAAGCACAATAAAAAATGTATAGACAGATATATTGAGTGGTTGAGGAGACGATCAGATCCCATGTCTGATCTCAATATGTCTCAGGGTCCTGTTTTGGCAGCCGATGGCAGCCAGGTGCGACGTTTGAGTGGCAAGCAGAAGCCACCGCCAGGCCTGGGTGAAGCTGATCAACCCGTCCAGCAGAGGTTTCCAGACTTTCCAGCAAACAGAGAGAAACGAGTTTCGTTTGATCTTCCAAAGAATCAACCCATACCAGAAAGTCTCCCAGTTGAAGGGGGTCAACATCTCGATGAGAATCCACATGATGTTCCATATTCGCCCAGCCTTGCACCCAGTTCTCCAAAGGCGTTGGACGAGCCAGAAGTCATCCATGACATGGAAGTAGACGACTCTGCTGACGGAATGGTAGATCTAAGTGAATTTGCAGCTGCTGGAGGCGAACCTACAGCCACGGAAGCTATGGAGCTAGATTTGGTAACAGCCTTGGATAACTTTGAGCTTTCGTATTTAGAAGAGCGTCACATTGGCATGTTGCAATCGGTTTATCAGATCCGTGGAGTGAAACCCAAGAGCAGCAAGGCAAACCTTTGTGGGGAAGAAATCTTACTTTTGTTTCCTGGATATGTCATCAGTGACGCCAATGGCCAATATCTTGACAAAGACCTTGCGTATGCAGGGATGCACACTGAAATCGATTCCATGACCAGTCAGAAGGTTGGCAGACCAATCCATGAGCAGGAAGCCCAGCGTCTTGCCAAGCAATGGCAGATTAGTATAATCACTTGCCGATGGGTTTGTGTTGAGAAAGATCCCTTGAATGTTCGCATGCGACTAGTTGCACGGGAAATGGCAAAAGGAAAGAGTTCTGCCCGTGACCTCATGGTTTCTTCGCCTACTTCCAGCATTGAATCTTTGAGAATCCTCATTGCAGAAGCAGCAGTCCTGGACCTGGTGATTCTAGGCCTGGACATCAGTGCTGCATTCATGGCTTCTCCTCTAGGCCGGCGTCTTGGCAAACCCATCAAAGTCATTCTGAAGATGCCACCAAATACTATGCAGTTTCCAGATGGTAGCCCGATATTCCTTGAAGCATTCAAGGCCATAAATGGCTTGAGAACAAGCGGTTTGGCTTGGGTAGAGCACTTAAGCCACTTGCTGCAAGAGTTAGGAATCAAACCGTCTTTGATTGAAACAACTGTTTTTTCTGGAGAGGTTTCAGTCAAAGGGCATGGAAAGGCATGGGTGCAAGTAGTTGCATACGTTGATGATCTGCTCGTGTTTGCCCCGAGTAAGGTATTTGCATTTGCCGTTCAAGACCATGTGGCCCTACACCTAAAAGTAAAACGTACGGGGCTTATAGAGCGAAGTTTTGAAGGGGGTGGCAGTTTGCGTTTTCTTGGCCGCAACATCGAAAGAAAATCCAACAGCAAAGAGATGGGACAAATGCCCACTAAACTCCCTTCCCGCCATCTGGTTGTAAAGTTCAGCATTCAATGACCATTTTGGCTCAAGGTTTCAGGTAAAAGGGTGCCCCCGCAGCTTGTCTTACTGGCCCCCTGTTTTACCTTTATTGCCTAAATCATTGGGTTACCAGCCGTAGGCTCTCATTGGGTTTATACCTACTTCCACTTTCACTTTCATATATACTTTGGATATTTCCTATCTCCCTTCACCGACGCCATAGTCTGGGAACTTTGGCACCACGCCGCGCACACCTGGAGCTCCGCGTGGAGGAACTTCTGCAAAGAGAAAGATCAGAAGGGAGATTCGGTTGGCGCTGGAGCACCAGTGGTGGGGGTGGATCGCATCCTTCTTTGGAGTTTGGTGGAACGTTGCCGAGTCAACACAGTCGGACAATCCGAGCAGTTCCCATCCTTCAAGTGGACCAGCGCACGCCCGAACCTTGCCATTGAAGGCTAAAGGCGCAGCAAAACCGAAAGTAAGTCCATCAGACGGGCGGCACTCATCTTCAGCAAGCTCTAGTTCACAGGGCCCGGGTACAGTCAACATTGTTGATCTAACCCACATTGAATCAGAAGACGAGTCGCCAGACGAACCCGTGCAAGTTTTCTACGTGCCGGATCTGCGATTGGTGAGGCAGCTGGCTGAGACTGCCAGCAGTGTGAGGGAGCGGGTTTTCGATTTGCCAGAATCCATTCCAGGTGTCTGTCTCTTGAACGAGCTCGCATTTTCTGGTCTTGAGGGATCTGGTCCACAAGATTTCGATTTGCTAGCAGAAGGCCTGAAGCCTTGCGTGGCATTCGACATCTTCAAAACCTTGGTCTTTCCTCAGAGATTAGCTGACAGGAGCCAGGAGCAAATCTGCCTTGCCCGACACCGTGGTGAATTGCAGGTGATCCACAGAAAGACTGCAGAACTCTTGCAGAATCTGTCGTTTCGTGGGTTTAACTTTTGTGCAATTTTTTTCATTGGGAAGAACAATCAGCAGGATTATTGCAGGGCATTGTCAGAAGCAAGCCTCCTTTCGTTGATACCAATCCTCTTCATTGTGTTCGACCGTGAATCGAAGGCCAAGCTCGCACGTCGTTTGGATTGCATTGTAGCTTTCGACGATCAGCAGCAGTTGATCACTTCATACCAGCGGAAAGGTGTAAGGGCAGTTCAGGTGACAAGAGACTTTGGTCTCCATACTCATTCTGACGAGGCCCTGACCTACATCTCTCAGCTGTGGGAGGAACATCTGCAAGCTAGGCCTGTATCGAGCTCGATTGGGTTGAAAAGTGCGCTGCGTTTAACGCGCCACTGAGGGGGGATTCAGTAGAAGCAAATAGTGGGTGCAAGGGATTATCCGAAATGTCTGATGTTCCCATTGTGAGTGCATCGTCCAGCCAGAGTGGTCTAGTGAACACCATGCCAGCTGAAATTGCCAACACTGACACTTCATCACAAAGCACGTCCCAGCCATCCCCCGGTCCTGTTGCCCCAAGTGGTCGTGAAAGAAGCCCAAGGGTTCATCCATCCACATCAGGGGTTGTAGACATAATGAGACAGAGGGTTAGGGGGATAGGTGTTAGTGATGATAATGGGCCCCGTATCCAAATTCACAACCAAGAGTTTGTTGATGAAAGCCGAAACTTGAGGCACAGCCAACAGTTTGTGGATGCAAGACAGGTCCAATTTCAGATCGGTGTTGACCCTGCAGTTCACCAGTCCACGATTGATTCCCTAAAAGAAGTTGCTGGGGCTAGGCACCACCAAATTTTGAGGGATGAAGTTGCTTTTGCAGAATCACGACACAGGGACATTCTTCAAGATGAAATGAGTTTAGCCCAAGCTAGGCACAATGAAATCCTTCAGAGTGAGGTCGGTCAAGCCCAAGCTAGACACCAACAAGTCATCATGGAATCTAAGGGTAGCGCACAGGCTTTTGTTGACAAGGCTATGCATGACATGAAGCTGCAATATCAGCAGATGGCATCCAAGTATGACCATTTAGTTAGCAACATGAAAGCCCAACATGAGCATGCCATTCGGAATCTCCAAATTCGACATGCCGCTGAAATCAAAGATCTCAGGCAATCCCACGAACAAAAGATTGATGAAGTTTTGGAAGGGTACACAAAGATGTCAAAGGATTTTGAAGCTCTCAAAGTTGAGCGAGAGCCTGCGTGAGGCATTGGGCATTGAACCTGAGTTGGAGCGTCAGGAGTGCTGCGTCCGCGCGCCTCCTTACACGGGTGTAGGCATAAACGAACCCCAAATATCTCAGGAGTGCTGCGTCCGCGCGCCTCCACATATGGGTGTAGTCTTAGATGAAACCCCAAAGTTTAGGGATTTGTTTTTGGGTCCACAAGCTGCTGAAGCCCCAAAGCTGGAAATGCCAAATCCACCCAACTCTTATGACGAGGTGATTGCGGCATTGCAGGAACAGGTTCAAAGCCTTAGTCATGACATGAAAAGCCGTTCCAGGAAGAAAAGCAAAGAAGATTCTTCATCTTCAGATTCCGATTCCCAGAGTTCAAACCATGATGAATACAAACAAGAATCCAAATTAATGAGAATCAAAGCTTATGACAAGTTGAAGATTCCCTCAATTCCTAAATCAGCTGCAGAACTTCGCACATAGAAGAACACTCTCATTTCCCAACTAACTTCCTGTTGTCGCTCTTCGGAGAGGGAATTGTTGGCATGGTTGGCGAAACCTTTGGATGGGGAAGAAGTTTCATCATCAGAGTTCCCAGTTCTCAATCGTGTTCTAGGGGCCAAGATTTTGGAATCCGCCAAGGGTAGTAGGTTTGCCATTGATTTCCAAGCCCTCCAGGAACGAAGCATCCGGTCCGGTGTGCAGGCACCAGGCATTCTGTTTGTCGCCAAGATTTGCAAACGTTTTCGGTTAGACAAAGAGAAGGGCATGTCGCTTTCGCAACAGCATCTTATTTCCTTGAAGCCGCAGGGGTCTGAGGTAAGAGACTTAGAGATTTTCAGGGACAGGGTTGAATTCATTCTGAGTAGCCTTGAAACATCCGAATACCCAGCTGAACCCATTCTGCGAACTTGGATTTATGATTGCCTAAAGAATATTCCCAAACTCAGTTTGCGAATTGACAAATACCGGGATGCTCAGGTAGGGTCATTTGAGAGGTCGTTTCAGTTTTTGTGGCAGTCCATGTCTGATGTAATCGATGAAGCTCAACATGATCAGAATACAACTTCTGTGCTGTCAACATTGCGTGCAAAAGTAGATGCAGCACCGCACAACGCAAATCCAAAGGAAAAGAAAGACAAGAAAGAAAAAGACAAAAAGGACAAGGATAAGAAGGAGAAAGACAGCGGGAATCCCACTGTTTCAGCAACACCCTTTAACCCGAAGGCCAAGCCCGAGGCAAAGGGGAAAGCAGACCCAAAGGCCAAGCCTAAGTCTGACTCAAAGGGAAAGGAGAAATCCAATAGCCCAAAAATTGTTGCAGGTGAAAAGGGATATCCATGTTTGTTTTATCCTTCAGGGACATGCAGGCGGGACCCATGCCCGTATGTGCATGATGCAGCCAGCGCGCCAAAAGCAAAGGCGAAGCCAAAAGCTAGCGCACCATCGACCAGTGTTCCCGCGGCTTTTGCCGTAGCTGCCAGTTTGCCCAAGGCCAGTGCTAGGTTATTCCCAAGGTTTTTCCAAGCATTTGCAGCTGCGACGTCACTGTTGTCGTCAGGTGGTTTGTTGCACGAGCCTGATCCACTCCATGTTCGCAATGGTGTGAGTTCAAGTTCAGGACTTACGTTGCCAAGCGACTGCGTGCCCACCATGCCACACCCCTGGTCGATGCCAGTCAGCTTGAGGAGCCAAGCTCCGATGCAGTTCCCTTTTCGGTATTTGATGCCAACCAGGGATCGACTGGTACTGTGACATGGCTAGGGGACACTGGTGCCGGTAGAACTATTGGATGCATCAAGCATGTACCCACAGATGTTGTCAGAGAGACGGGCAATCCAGTCAGCTTTGCAACTGGTGGGGGCAAACGGGATGGAAATGTTTCGTGCCAGGTCCAGGGAGAATTTACTGGGAACACTGAGTGTTATTTGTTAGAGCAAAGCCCATGGGCACTCTCAATCGGCGAACAGGTGAGCAAAGGCAAGGCCTTTGTGTGGTTGCCATGCTCTTCCTCAACCAGTGAGCATCCAATGACAGTCTCAAAGCCGTTCTTTGTTCGCGAAAGCGATATTGATCAGCTGCAAGTGATTTGTCCAGAGACTGTTCGGAAATATGCAGATGAAGTAAGGGAGAATGTGCCTCTGTTCAGGGAACATGTCAGCATCGCCCATTTACCTGCACGCGTCACTGCAAGGGAAGATGTAGTTGAACCATCTTGCTTGCCAGGTAATAGCCAAGTGCCTGAGGTTGGTGCAGAGGCACCAAACAGCTTTCCAGTTCTTCCAGGAGAAGAATCTGATGAATACGAACCAAGCATAGCCCCAGATGATGGTCACAAAGGAGATGACTCCGAAGCACCTGCCTGCAGAGTTCCGGTAGAAGAAGGTGGTCATCCACCGCTAGACCATCATATTCTTCACCTTCCAAAGCGTCATGATTGCCCAGTCTGCCAAGAAGCGAAGCAAGATGCCTTGCCAGCGAGAAAGGTGAAGGGTAAGCATGTCATGTCAGACGGTCGTCCAAGTGAAAAGTTTGGCGACCGAATCCATGCAGATCACATCATCGTTTCCAAGGATCGCCTCAGCAGTGAACAGAAAGGGGTAAATGGCGAAGCTGTGTGCCTAATCCTTTTTGATGATTTCACTCAAGCAGTAGGAGCGTACCCTGCCAGTTCAAACAACACTGACAATTGCATTCGGGCCTGTAACCATTTCCTAGGTAGTAGATCAGCTAACGAATTGCATTCTGATAACGCGCCAGAGCTTGAAGCCTGTGCTGCGAAACTTGGACTTGTGCCGGACCTTGCCGTCCCATATCGCAAAACCTCATTGATCAATCGCAAGATTCGAACATTGGAGGATTGCGTGAGATGCTGTTTGGTTCAGGTTGGGAACAGAAATGCGCTGTGGCCTTTCGCAGTTCAATATGCTGCAGCCGCAATGACTTTCGAAGTTTGGAGTGCGATTCACAAACACGAGTTCACTGGTCTCAAGTATCCATTTGGTGCTTTGATTCACTACAGGCCCAATTTGCGAAAGTCCAAGCTAGGTTCTAAGACAAGACCAGGTTTGTTTTTGGGTTGGCGGGTTGATGCAGGGGTGAACTGGAAAGGAGTGTACAAGATTGTAGATCTAGAAGTTGTCCGTTCATGGATTTCTGGCAAAGGATCCTTGTCCACAACGACATCCATGACTGTTGTGTCACACAAAGAAGGCAGTTATTTTCCATTGAGGGAAGCAGTCCAAAAGCAACTTGAGCAATTGGAAGACTTGCCGCGTTTGTTTGCAGACTCCACGATCGAGGAGGATATCAAGGCAATTGACGATCCAGGTGTTTCCGAAGAAGAGGCAGAAGAGGATGAGCCTAGAAAACGCCACGAGAAGATCACTCTTGAAAGGTTTATCGATCATGGGCCAAGCCCAGGTTGCACAGCTTGCTCTGAGGGTTTAGACAATCATACCCCCGCTTGCAGACAGCGCTTCGATGAACTGATTAGGAAAACCAAATTTGATTTGCCAGATGGAATTCCTCGTGATAGAGACTCATGGAAAATTGAAGGAAGCAAGTTGATTAGATATCACTGTATCAAAAGAAAGCGTTTGTTTGCCCCAACCAAAACCTATGAACTTCCAGTTCCTAGGGCGAGGATCGGAAAGAGGATTACTCAGATTCAATTTGTTGATGGGGGAGAAGTTGAAACCATTCCTTCTGAAGAGTGGCGAGGCAACACCAAAGCTCTTCGAGGCTTTTGGACCGGAATTTCAACTTTCGACATCCTAGAGGAAGGCGATGCTGTTCCTGCAGAAGTGCATGATGTGCGGCGTGACCTTTCCAGTCGCAGAACCAAAGTTTTGCATCAACAAAATTTGCCTGGCTATGGGATCTTTATTGAGTGTTGTTGTGATCCAAACTCTGGCCTTGGGAATGTGTCAGAACAAATAGGGCTATCGCACATCAGATTGAGCGAGAAATGGGGCAACATCAGTGACAAACAAGTCATAGACCAGTTACATGAGAAGCTGCGCGAGCCTGAAATGCGAGGCCTCGATTTGTGGGCTTCACTGCCTTGCAAACCTTGGACTTCATGGCAGCGCATGAACATTCATCGATACGGCACGTCATACCTCAGAAAGCTACTTAGAAGACAATTAGAAAGCAGAAAGATGTTAAAGACTTTCATCGAATTTGCTGAGATTGTTTTAGCTCAAGGCGGCCGTGTCCATTTCGAATGGCCTTCTCACTGCCAAGGATGGAGATTGGTAGAACTCCAAGATTTCTGCAACAGACACCAGCTCCACTTGGCTAAATGTAACGCGTGTGCATTTGGCGGTGAGCATTTTAAACCTTGGACAATTGCAACTTCAAGTGAAGACTTGGCAGGCATGCTTAGGAATCACACGTGCCAGCATGAACCTTCGTTTAAGCATGTTCCGTGCGAGGGGGGGAAAGCTGAGAAGTCTGCACTGTACCCGCCAAAAATGTGCGAAGCCGTTGTCGCGCAGCTGTTTCCAAAGAAATTTCACCAAGCTGTACCGTCTATGCCGGTTGTTCCAACAACCCCTCAAGCCCATGTGCAAAATGAAATCTCACCAAAGGATGCCCATGAGATTCCATTGTCAATCCATGAGGTCATAAGCAGGAGGGACTGGATCAACGATCCTGCAGCACTTGCAGAAGTAAAGAAGGAGGCCGATGGTCTCGTGAAAGCAGGAACGTGGACATACGATCGAGTTGTTCCAAGATCTCAACTTGAAGCCGAGTCACGCGCCTCAGGAAAGGAGATTGCGATAGGTCAGCTGCTGACGCTAGTTTCTTGGAAAAATGCTGAATCCAAAAGTTTGCGAAAGTTAAAAGCAAGAATTTGCTTCAGAGGAGATGATGTCAGGGATGCCTTCGGACAGTACGCTGAATTTCAAGAAATCAAGGTTGTTCCCACCACGATTTCGGGCTTGAACATGAATTTAGCTTACGGAATGAAGAGGGGTAATAAATCCACCCAAAGTGACATCATCAAAGCCTACATACAGTCTGACCTGAAAGCATTAGTTGATACGTATGTAGAACTTCCTCCGGAATTAACACCTCCAGAGTTCAAACACATCTATCGACCATGCACTAGGCTTTATAAGGCATTATACGGACATCCTGAATCTGGAGGACATTGGTCCAACAGATTCAAACAGGTGATGAGTTTGCTCGGAGGTAAAGAATCAAGCCTCTACCCGAGCAATTTTTACATCGAGCAGTGGAAATTGTGGCTAACCCTTTACGTGGATGATATGGTGCTATCAGGGCCATCAGAGAATCACGAGATCTTCTGGAAGGCTCTCTCTACACATCTGAATTTCGAAGAGCCGGGCCCTGTCAGTCGTGTGTTGGGTAGGTCGCATGAATTCCTTGGTGACACCATCATCTTCAACATGGACGATTTTGCTGAGGCAGCGTGCCAACTTTACAAAGATGTAACTGGAACCAAGAACTTCAAACCTGCAGCCACACCATACCTCGATGAATCCACTTTGCCAATCGACGATTGGGAAACCAAAGGGCAGTTGAGCAATGTGGCAGCCAAAGTGATTATGAAAGGGTACTGGCTCGCACGTCTCGCGCGCCCAGACCTGCTCCATTCTTTAAATGAGTTGAGCCGTCAAATCACTCGTTGGTCCCTAAATGACGATAGGAGATTGTTCCGCGTGTTTTGCTATCTCAACTCCACAAAGCGGTATAAGATGAGATGCAGACTGGACCCGGATGCACCGTGGGAGCTTTGGCTTTTCACAGATGCTGATCACGCTTCAAAAGTAGATCATGGCTACTCAACGTCAGGCTCAATACTGGTTATTGCCGGAGGAAAGTCATACTTTCCGATAGCGTTCCAATCTAAACGCCAGACTGCATGCAGCAGATCTACGACGGAAGCTGAGGCGATTTCACTCGCAGCAGCATTGTTTAGTGATGTCATCCCTGCTCAGGAACATTTAGCCTCTGTATTGAAGGCTCAAGTGCCTATGACCTGTCAGCAGGACAACACAGCTACCATACAAGTCATCAACAATGGGTTTTCGGCAAAACTCCGTCATTTGGGCAAAACCCACAAAATCAATATCAATGGGTTATATGACATTTTCCGACTAGAAGAAGACGTTGCTTTGCAGCATTGTCCAACAGACATGCAGTCGGCAGACATCTTCACGAAGAATCTCGATGCCCACAAATGGAGTCATGCCCTGTCAATGGTTGGCATTGTGCCAGATTAGTTAGAACAACTGAAGGGGTAGTATCGAGTGCTGCGATTTCGCGCCTCATTGTCACCGTTGGTTGTATTTTGTAACTAGATGTTGTTTGTTTCTATCCCCCAGTAAGAATGAACACATCAGTAGTGCTTCTAGTTGTTCGATTTTGAGTGCTGCGTCTCAACGCGCCTCACCCCAGTAGTGTGTGCTGTAGTTTTGTAACACTCAAAGACGAAACCAACACCGAAGTTACAAGCGAAGTGAGCACGCTGCAGACAGTCTGCAGTATGGTGAGCCATTTTGGCTGCTCCTTTTGCTTGCCTCCAAGTGAATGTACAGCATTTACTTCCCTCCATATGAGTAAATCCGAGTATCACCTTTTTGCTTGGTGGAGCGGATCACGCACCCAAAGATAACGATCCAAACATCAGAGCATTAGGTTGCATGCCATCCATATCCTAATTACGAATGTAGCACAGTACTTAAGCTGACTTTCACCAATGTGATTGCGCTTACTTCGCCATCTGGTTTTTCGTTTGCTGTAGCTAGAGTTTTTTTGGCCATCGCTATCAGGTGCGCAACTGTTAGCTGGCTAGCTCCCAGATGGTGTACAGCGAGAGGGGGGAGAAGAAATAATTGGGACAAATGCCCACTAAACTCCCTTCCCGCCATCTGGTTGTAAAGTTCAGCATTCAATGACCATTTTGGCTCAAGGTTTCAGGTAAAAGGGTGCCCCCGCAGCTTGTCTTACTGGCCCCCTGTTTTACCTTTATTGCCTAAATCATTGGAGATTACCATCAGTCTGGATGAAAACTATTTAGATGGTATGTTTGAGGCCTACAGCATCAGCACTGCCAGTACAAATCCTCCAGATCTTCGACCGGTACTTGAAGACAGTTCCAAGTCTGATGAATTATCCCCAGATGCGGCCATGCGGTACAGAGCAGCCTTAGGCAAACTGTCCTGGATGTCCCAAACATATGTTTTCATCAATGTATACATAGCTTTGCTAGCCACAGGCATGGCCACACCGCAAGATCGCCATGAAAAGGCTTTGAGATCAGTGTTGAAATTCATGAAAAGCCAAAGAGGCATTTACCAGAGATTCCCATCTCCCGAAGCAACCATCGAGGAACAAGAAGCGCAACGCTTGGTAATCTACTGTGATGCCAGCTGGGCCCCAATGCGCTTTCTCAAGCGTAGATCAATTTCTGGCGCGTGTGTTTTTTATCGCGGGTCCATCATCAAAGCTTTAACAAGATTGCAACAAGTGGTCGCACTTTCAAGTTGCGAGTCGGAACTGTCAGCATTAGCTGAATCCTTTCAAGAGAGCATGGGAATCAAGCGTATCTCTGAGCATCTTTTTCTAGAACCTCACGCACATGTGACCAACATCCATGAAAGTTTTCAAGCTTCAGATCGAATACACAGTCTTGCAAACTCCCTGATTTTTGGATTAGTTGATGAAGACCTTGAACATGCCACAGCCATTGAGGTGGAAGTCCGCTGTGATTCCCAAGCAGCCATCCGAGTCCTGACCTCACCAGGGCTCCAAAGACGCAGTCGCCATGTTGAGTTGAGAATTTGTTTCTGCCAAGAGATGGTCCGAAGAAGAACCATCATTCTCACATGGGTCGAGGGTTCACAGCAAATTGCAGATATTTTGACCAAGTGTTTAGGAATAAAGCTGTTTTTGAAATTCAGGACATCAATGGGATTCATTGAATCAGCAGAACTTCCAGCCAAACTGGCAGACCAACAATCTGAATCCCAAACAAAGCAGACAGCCAAAAAGAAGAAAGGAAAGACGAATCAAATCCAAAGCATTTTGTATGGGGGTAGGCCGGAGTCAGTGAATGTTCAGTCTTTGGAGTCGAACTCCCAAGATGAAGAGCACGTGCTTGCTTCCACAGTCTTTGTGCCAGACGCCCAGAAATCAGATCCATCACCGTTTGCTTCACAACCATTGAGCTTGATCTTAGAAACACAAGAAGCCAATTTACCAGAATTGTCGCCTAGTAAGTTTTCAGGGATCTTCTTGGAAATATGTTGCGGTGTGAACAGCAATTTAACCGAGTCGATTCAAGCCAGTTTTTGTGGAGACATTCAAATGGCAGTCATCCGAGTTTCCACAAGGGCAGATTTCACAATGTTTCATGCCCAGCTCAGTGATCTTGTGCAGCGATTTTCAAAGAAAGGTAAGCCTGTTTATGTGCATTTCTCCCTTCAGCCTTCAGGAAATTCAGACACGACTGAATATATCCCAGCAGATGCCGAGCCCACTGAATCAACGCAAGTTTCTGAGTTGGAACAAATTTTGAAACTGAGCCCAAGCCTCGCCGTTGCAGCAGATGAGTTCACTTTCGAGCTACCCAAGAGAAATAGGTATTGGAACAGTAAGTTCATGGCAGATTTCTTTGTGAAAGTAGGTCGCCATATCTATGCACAGTTCCCTCGGCTTTGCAGTTTTCCTGAAACAGATCCTAAGGTTGGAAAGATTTTCTTGTGGTTGGGAACCCATCCAAGTTTAGCCAGATCGTTGGCAAATCACACAGAGTGCAATTGTGAAAGTCACGTTGCATTCAATGCAGTCAATTGGGACAAAGTAAGCCATTATCCTGCTTCGATGTGTAGCATCATCGCTCAGGCCTATCGAGATGTTTACATTGGCAAGGACATGGCCAAGTCCACACTCCCAGCATACCGGTTTTTCGAGCCTGGCATGACAGAAATCCGATATTCCATGAAGAAACTGCTTGAGAACCCAGTTTGAACCGTCGTTGTTTTCTCCATTCTTTCCTGCCTGGGAGAAGCTCCGAGAAAAAAAAAAAACAATAGAGATGCCAAGCTAGCTGCCAGAGCCCGATCAGGCCTGGACGTGCGATTTTCAGTGAGATGATGAGCCGATGGGCCATGCAATTGAGATTCAGCCAGCGAAAGGGGGTGCGAATGTCATACACCTCTTTCGATGCGTATTCATTGTCTGGTCGCTGGCGGACTCTCAACCAATCACTAATCACTTGCTGCAAGCTACAAGCAAACGTTGCCCCAACAAAACAAAAAAACAAACTTGCTTTTAGCAAAGTCTTCAAGTCTATTTGACTTCACGTGATACTATATCAAATCATACCCACATGCATGAGCAAAGCGACAGCCATTTAAGTATGACACTTGGATCTAGAGATTTGCTTGTTTTCAGCATGCCATCAATCCCTTTGAGCGCTCCTCCGAACACCTCAAAACTCTTTACAACCTCCTCCAAGACAGTAAGCTGAACTTGCTTGATGATGCTGTAAACTCATCCTATGCCATTCAGCTTGCATTGCCAGCTTGGAATAATTTTCTCCGAATTTTTCAAGTGATTTCAGAGATTTGTGAAAGTGTCTTTTGCTGCATAGCATGTGACACGTTTTGTGCGATTTGAGCAAGTCGTATGCAGTTTAGAGCTTGATTTCCAACTTTCCTGACAGCGCGTTCAGATTTCGAACGCGGAACAGTGATTTCAATCTTTGACAGAGCATTGAGATTTCGAACGCGGAATTCACATAGTGATTTCATTTTTGGAGAAACATTTAGACGTGCGAAAGAGGAATTTATAATCAGCTGCGGTACAGCTTATGAGTTTGAAGCTTCTCAGAAATCGTTTTGCGACGTTTCCACGGTTGAGACTTTTTTAAACATCCTGATGATCTCCTATTGTCTTGCGTTTCCTGGGTCCAAGCAATCTGTGAGATCGAAGTTTTTGAACCGCTTTTGATCACATTTCCAATTTGAGAGCCGTGCAAATTTGCAAGAGTTTTTTTTTCCGAACTAGAGTAAGCAGACATGACGTCTGAACCGAATGTGAGTTTGGAAACAATTAGAGAATTTGACCGCAACCAAGCTTTCAGCTCTCCCTGTTGCCACAGCATTGTGAACATGCTCAGCCGCATCGTGCTTCCTTTGATCAATGAGATCAGCATTCCGCCAACAACATGTTGGCTCAAGATTAGGAGGCGTAAATTCTGCTAGCACAGTGAGACAAAAAGGGCGTGAGTTGTCAAGCAGAGTTGTCCACATTCTCAGTTGCAATTATCTACTCTTCTGGGGTGATAATTCTCGCAACTGGTGTCGAGGCTATTGAAATATCGAGATTGTGAACAGGTCCAGTTTCTCTTTTCTTTGAAAGAGAACATATATCTTGCCTGATTCTTGTTTGTCTTTCTTCGTTTGGCTTCAGTTGAAGCCGCAATGTCAGCAATGAATTGGTGCCAAAAGGATCCAAAAGGATTCAAAAGGATTCAAATGCCTTTGGGGTCTGAATTCTTCCTTTCACACAGTTTTGAATCCAATGGCTTTGATGCTGTCGTTACCTTTCAGACTAGGTTCATCCGCAGTTCCAAAGCTTGGGGCGACGATTGTGTTGGCTGCATCTCCAACTATTGTGTAAGGCTTCTGTTGGCCACATGACGGGATCAAGTGATTGCTTGTCATCGTATTCTCAGAGACTTTAGCCGCGATTGAGTGACCTAAATCCGGTGAGGTAAAGCTTTCAAACGCTGTGTTGGTGCCCCAGTGCCCCAATGGAAATCGAAGGACGGGATTCAACAAACAAGTGATAGCAACTGCAGCTGCGTTGAGGCCCTTTCACAGCTGGAAGAAACCCCAAAAATGGGGAGCTGGCCGTTCGATGTATTTTCAGGGCACACTCCGACTCTGAAAGCATTCTTCCTGGCAATCCGATCGAAACCAAGGGCAGCGACTGACGACCTCGCTGCTTTGCTGGTGAAGGAGACAAGACGTGCATTGACCGTGGCCGACTGTCTTGCCGACTTCATATTTTCGGATAGCCTTGAGACATCTTGAGACATCTTGAGACATTTTGAGACATCTTGAGAACCTGAAGGTAGCCTAAGACCTAAGATAGCCTTGTTGGGATGCGCGGCTTTGTTCTGCCACATCCCAGCTGGAGCGTCTCTCCTCGCCACCCAGGAGCAGAAGTGCGGGGGGAGCGATGTTGCGAGGTTCAAAGAAGGCGCCGCAATTCCGAACGCTGGACAGTTCTTAACATTTCTTAACAATTTTTGAACATTCTCAACAATTCTCAGTTCTCAATGGTCAGAAGGTCTGACAATGCGCTGTAAGAGGGTCTGTAAGAGGTCCAATTCTTTGGATTGTTCCGTATTACTCCGTTCCAATTGTTCGGTGCAGCCAGGTGTGAAAATCTTGGACACAAACTCGAGCCTGCAGCTGCAGTCAGGAAACTCTGTCGCTGGCGCTGTGGCACTGTGGCACTGTGTTTGTGATGTGTATTGCAGGGATGCTTGTGAGAATGCAAATTATCTGACTCCTTCACGCAACTATCCCCGATTTGTAGGAGATTGGAAATTGACTCGCACTTTTGTGCACCATTCTTGACCCCGCTTCACACGCACGCTGTAATTAGTTCTTTCGGGTGCTGATGCATTTTGGATTTGAACATATTTGAATACGACAAACGACTCAAATGACTCAAACGACTCAAGGCTTGAAGAGTTGCGAGAAGCTCATGGTCACTTGGAGGCCGACGCACCGTGACACAGGCTTTCCGAGGAACCAAGTTGAAGGCGGTGCCCAGAGGGGGGCCCAAATTCGGATTCGGAGAAGCCAATGAGCCAAGGAGAATTCCTGTTTTTTTTCATTAAATTTGGTACCTTAATAACTTAGCTGAACATAGCTGAACCATTCTGAAGCCTCACGCTGAACACTCGACTTTGGTTGCTTTGGCAGGCTGAGCACTCGAGGTTGGTGGATCAGAACAAGACCCAAGCACCATGGCATGAAGGGATGGATCCACACCGTGTAGGAGATACACAACTCAGACCGTTTCCAAAGCCGTTTCCAGTGCACGGACTGAACACTCACATTTTTTGAACTACGTGCCTATGTTTGAAATGTTTCCGACATAGTCAAATGTGGTCTCTGTTTCCAACAATGCAGTGGTTCCTTCTTGGCCGAGGGCCAAGAACTCTTCGACCACTTCCTGGAGGCCCGCTGCAAGTTGTGCAAATCTGTAACAAATCTTCCAAGATGGCGCGCAGATATGCGCAGATGTGACAGGTGCGACATCAAATTGAAGATGTGCAGACGAATTTGGTGCTTCCCTTGGCAGATGAACTGCGTGCCTGGTGCCTCAGACTATCAACCTTTGCCCTGACACGGATCTGACACGGCTGGGGGAGAGAAGAGAAGACAAGGGTAGTGACTAGGGTTGGTTCATCTCTTGGGCCCACGATACTTGGTGCATGCCTAGGTAACTTGGGCCCTACGTTTTTTCTGCAGGTTTGGCTCAGAATCTAGTGGCCATGGCAACTGCCATGGCTGTAACTCATGACCGTTTCTTTGTACAGCCAGAAGAACAAGAAGCGTATGCACTCCGTGTCTTCCATCGTTTTCCTGTGCCTTGAAATGAAAGCAGAATTTGTGGAAGATGGATGGCTAATACCCACTTGTATCTGATGATATATTATCATCCAATGCACTATTGTCACTATCGATTCTCTCCGTGACCTTGCGGAAGGGTCACACGGCATTTGGGCAGATAAACTTCAGAGAAGAACCAGCCACTGCACAGCGCGAAGCTGTCAAGTACAGGTCGTTTTTTTTTTGTATATCCACATAGTATACATTTTTCTTAAGCAATAAGTATTCTATGTCTGTATATATAATATATATATAATATCTATACATCATTATATATCATACTTTAGACTCTTTAGACATACACATGTTCTCGTTCTTGTCCTTGGGCATCCTTGGGCATCCTTGGGCATCCGTGGGCGGCTGTCGTCAGGAGCTTTTTCACACTTTGGGTGATCCATCTCTGCCAGCGCTGTTCGACTTAAGTCGAAGCTTTGTGGATCTGCGCCTTGGCACTGGCTCCAATAGTGCTCCAATATGGTTCGATGAATTTTGATGAATTTTGTATGGTTTTCCCATCGTGTTCTTCCAATCTTTTTGTCCATTTTGATCTTTTTGATGAGAAACAAAGGAGATTCAAAGATCAAATCTAAGATCAAAGAAGATCAAAGAAGATCAAAGAAGTAAGGAGATGGTTCCACGGCAAGTCTGAAGGGAATGGGGGGAAATCTCTGAGATGTTCCAGCTGAGGCAAGACTCGGGGGAGCAGACTGTTTTAAGAGTACCTTGGAGCAATTCGACATGCACCGCACATGCACTGCACTTGCACTGGACATGTTGGCACTGGGGGCTAGATTTCCAGATTTGTCTTACATTGGGACTCGTCCATGATACTCATCATACTCAGAAGATGCTCATAATATCATGAATTGATCATAATTGATCAATGTGTCAATCAGTGTCAATGTCTTGTAAAGAAAATGACATGAAAATGACATGAAACAGCCATCGAACATCGGACTTTCTGACCTCGATCGTTTTGCCACGTGCCACGTGGCATTGCGAGGTGCAACTCCACCGCGCCGAGCCACAGGCGACGCCGCAGGTTTTCGACGTGTCTACCCCGCAGATGGCGCCTCGGCAATGCCAAGGTGCCAAGGCAGGCCTCGCATGGCCTCGCAGATGTGATGTGCTGAATTGATATGACCATTTTACATATACAATAACAATATACATATTATCATATTATACATTAATTATGATTACTTGTAAAAACAAATACAGTATACAATACACATCACATTGAATCACCTGTAAGCTAATCAAAGCACATTGTAAGCATATTGTAAGCTCATGCACAGCATTCTGCGACATTCTGCAACAAAGCATAGATTAAGCATGGTTATAATGTATATTATAGAATGCTCATACATAATGCGACACTCTGCCAAAGTGGCTTCAAGTGAAGAGAGGAACTGTTTCAATGGCTGTGTTAGTTTCGCCATCCCAGGAACCTAAACGGCCATCGGCTTCTCAGCTTTAATGGTCACGAAATCGTTGCAACAAAGACCATTGCAAAGGCCTTTGGGACGTAAGATCTTTACAACTTTTGCACATCGCGAAAGACTGCAGCCAAGGATGATTTCAGTACCATCCTAGAGTTTGCAGGTCGGAAAGTCTGGTGACAGAGGGATGTGATGGCAAGCCACAGACATCCATGGACCTCCATGGACGCTATTCATTCTCCTCGCACAGTTCCCAGCACAGCCAAGGATCCCCTATCGGTAGCCTTCAGCAGCCTGGAACCGCTGCACCTTTCTGAGCAGGCTGACTGATGTCGACCGATGTCGACCGTGTCGACCGATGTCGACTCCATTGTTGCGCGCTGCTCCAGGGTTCACAGATTCCAACCCATCGATGTATCACGTCTCACAGGAATCATGATGAACATTTGGGTAAGCACAGAGAAGAGCAGAAAGACTGAAGCCTTATCTAGATCATTCAGATCAATCATCAGCAACATCCACTAATTTTCAAGCACATTCAATAATATTCAAGAACAAGTGATACTCATGTACAATGACATGTTATGAGTCATGTTGCATGTGTAATGAGATGTAACGATCATATTGCAACAGATCAGTTCCGCCAGGGCAGCGAAAATGAAACCCAGCAGCCACGAAAACCGACCTCAACGAAGCCAGAAAGGGCACGAAGCCCGGTCGAGAAGAAACGGATGGAGCGAGGACGGAACCGAAGACAGTGAATCGAAAATAGATCTGAGAGATTTATAGAGATTTGATATAGATCTAATACAATAGAAAATACCAACTGAATACCTCTGTGCCTCGGTGAATGCCTTGGTGAATGTGGTAGATATTGGTAAATATACTATGGATATAAATATGTATACGTATAATTACGTATATATATAGTTATATATTAATATATATATATTATACATATACGTAATTATACGTGTATATATATGGTGGATATACCCATCGTGAAGGTGTCGTATCCTCAGTCCCACAAACAGGAAATAATCTAGGCGGCTCAGGGCGGCTCCAGGACTCATGCAGAAATCGACTCCGGCATTGCAAGCGGATTTCAGTGCCTTGGAAATAGATGTAAAATTATATTGACATTGATATTGATATTGATATTTATATGTTGATATCATTCAATTGGACATATCAATGAATATCATGAAATTGGACATTGAATGATATTGACATTTCTAATTTCCAAAACTCTTCAAGGTTGAAGAGTATCTTCGCATATTGTATGCTACCGACATGCACCTTTCTTCAAACGCTGCAACATCTTTCGAGATTTATCAAGGATCTGTCCACAAGATGATCTGTTCCAAATGCACGAACCTTTTCAGAACTGTATTCAACAGAGCTGTGCCATGCTTTCCAATTTAGCAAACCAATCGACCTCGCTATTTTCATGCGGTGGCCAGGCATCCTTGGCGAGTCAGGCCGCGAAAAAGAAAGGCCACAGGCAGTGAAAGTGCAGGTGCCGAATGAATTGCATCAATTTGTGGAGGTTTGTCTAAAGTGCCTTTGTAAATCTGATGCGACTTCAAGCTCGGAGTTTTCAAAGATCTCTTGTCTTCCAGCTGCCTCCAGATCTTGTCTTCGAAAAAGTGTTTAAATTCCTATTGATTCATGGACAATCACACCTTCAAATCACATATCGGTAGATCATATTGGATCCAACAAACAGATCTCATCAGATCTCCAAAGATTGTCCTGTTTTCCCTTCGCCTTGATCCAGGAGCCTGCACTGTCCCGAAACCGGTCATACAATGACGAAGACGAGGCATCACGCAGAAAATAATGATGGGCAAATGGATATTCAGAAAACATGGTTCAGACATATTCAGGATCGGGTTGCAATATGCTGTACAAGCGTTGATAAATCGCAGGATGTTCCACACTGTCAGCCCTGGTGGAATCTGTCAACGTATCCAGGCTTGGCATCCGGGGCAAAGCTCCGATGAAGAGCTGACGCAACGGATGCGAAGCCGACACACTGCACCTTGGCACCGATGGAAAGAAATGGAAACAGTCGATGGGTTTGTCTGAAAATAGGGTATATTCCCAATGAAATAGCCATTTAATAGGGATAATGATCAGCAAAACCATTGGGTTTAGGGGTACACTATTTTCAGACACACCCAGATGAAGGAAGGGAAAGAGTGAAGCGAGGAAAACCATTGAACAATGAACAGCGAGTCACACTGAATCACACTGAATCACACACAAGTGATACACGTTCTGGGATCCTCTTCACATGTCCAACATGTTTCACATGTCCAACATGTCCAACTCTGCTCTTGAGTTGAGGTGCAGCCGCTGGAAGTGCCTGGCAGTGCTTCCCCCATGAGCAGTGAGGGTTTTGGCTCAGAAAGCCCTTTCTTCCCGTTCAAAATGGGATCCAAATCCTTATCAAGTGCCTCGACATGCCTTGGAACTTGGAACAGGTTTCCACCATTTTCCACCCTGAAATGATACTGAAATGTTGTGACTAGTGTTGACAATCTTGTGACTTGTGAACTTGGGCTGATGATTCATGATATTTCATGATGGTCCTGATAGTTGGTGGGTTTTACCCTTTTGTGAAAGTTGCACCGTTGCTGATATGGAATCCCTTTGCGACATTATTGGACACCAGCAAATCGTGACAGGCCTCAAAACGAACTTTGATTGATGGTACGTGATATATCGTGGTATCATCTTCTGTTTGTGCAGTTTTCGTACCAATCGTCAGTTGATTTCAGCTGATTTCCACCTCTTACATTGGTTCAGTGTGGCCTCTGCGAGCCAAGGTAGTAGCTCTACCAGCACCAACGCGGCTGTGCCCCACCTGCCCCGGACACCTAGCATCTTCCGAGATGTAGAAGGTCGGCTGCACTTCTCATGCCTTTTGGGGTCCTACGATTTCGTTTCCAATTTATTCCAATTTGTTCTGTTTCAATCTTTTCGGATTTCGAATCTCAATCTGTTTATATCATTTTATAATATTTTATATTTGTTTCATGTTTAGATCGCTTTAAATCGCTGAATCACCTGGCTGTGTTCGAACTCGTCAGGTGCTTCCAGCCGGAGCTTGGCGGGTCGCCGCGGCCTGCAGCTGCAGCTGAACAAACGACGCGCGACACCGGCCTCTGTGGCTGAAGACGAAGCTTGTTCAGATTCCAGATTTATTCCGACTATTTCCGACTGACCAAAATTTGAAGGGCCATGGGGCAATGCTATGCAATGCTCATCTCATGGCAGACTTGGCGTAGTGCTTTGACTTTCAACCACTTAAAGTCACTTGGGAATACTTGGGAATAGATTTTTGATAGCTGACAAGGGTGCATGGCTGGCAAGGGTTCCATTCAGCACTGCTCTCAAGCTGTGTTTTTGTTGATGCCTCCACACAGTAGCCCATCACGTTTGATAGGTCCGAATTCCAAGTAGCCATCTAACATGCTGCATACGTGCGAATGAGCATACTTGCGATCAATTGGACACACACTTTTAAACATGGAACGAGTTCGGCCCAAGTTTTTCACTTGGGCCTAAACCACTCTAATGAACAAATGATTTCTATTTATTTCTGCATTTCAAAAAGAGATCAACGTGCACACAATAGTTTTACCAGTTGCCCCGTTAATTAGTTGTGGGCTCACATTGGAGGTAATAAATTCCACAGGCTGATCCCCATGTGCGCGGCACAGGACATAGATTCCAACAGCCTTTCTCCAAGCAACAGCAGCTGAGCATGGATTCAGCGAGCTCTTTCGGCCGATTCGTACGCTTTTTTAATGGGTAGTGCCGACCTTGTGATTTCCAATCGCATCGCATCCCGCTCGGTTGCTCGGTTGCCGAGGCATGGGGGTGGCGAATTCTGGCGTTCAGCTGGTGTCCCCTCCAAGGAGGTTGTCAAGGACCAAAACTCTGCCAGCAGATCTCAGACATGTGCAGTCACTCGACGACGAAATCTTGCAGGTCTTTCTTGCTTCATAATTTAAACATCATAGAATTGCAACCTGAAACTCCAAATGAATCCAAATGACTCTTTTCACATCTTTTCACCCCTAGATTCCAAGCAGAGTGGTGTTGGCTTTTTGGGGAGGTCAAACGGAGAAGCCCAAGACTCCAACTCCAAACAATCGACGTTCTTTTCCCATCCCTCGACCACTGACCGCTGCCGCTGTTTTCAGGTCTCGCTTTGTTCGGCCCCGGCCCGTGGCTTTTCCGCAGCGTCGGAACGTGATTTTCTTCGACTGGGACGATACGCTTTGTCCCACCAGCTGGATTCGAAAGCTTCTGAAGGACGTGGGACCACCTTGATGCATCGATACATCGAGTGATACATCTTGTACGTATTTGTACGTGGGGCGAGATGATTTAATGTATTTAATACACATTTGATGAGTTGAAAAAGTATGAAAAAGTACACACTTTGAAGAACTTTGCACATTCCAATGAGTAAAGTACGGTCTCCAGGAGCACCTGGCTGATGCGGAAGAATGGCTCGATGAAGACCTCTTTCTGCCAAGGGAGGAAGAGGATTCTCTGTCTGAAAGTACTGTACGAGAAATAGCAATGAAACATGTGATAGCAATTTGTAGAACCATCGAACAAAGCTCACGATTTCATTGCCGTATGATACACTAAAAGGAACGAGCAGATGAAACAGGTGGTGCTTTTGCTTATCTTCGAGTGGCTGGATGCCATTCCCAAATTTTGTGCCTGACGTATTAAGGACTGGCGAGACAGCATTCCCAGTTGGTTTACGCAGCCGCTTCCAGACGAGCCGCATATACGTGAGATCATCAAGGAAGTGCAAAGCTCTTGCATCAAGTTGATCCAGGCAGAGTACAAGATGCAGCTTCCCGCATAAGCCCCATAAACAGATGGATATGTATGCATATGATGATATGTTACAAATATCCAACACGAAACCTTTTTGTAATATTTGCAGCACTAGTCACGGCATGTTGATGTCACAGACGATCGTCTATGAGTGCAATGGACAGGAATATGACATTGATCACGATACTCAGACAATTTGCCAAAACGTCGCACGTTCCACAGTAGACTGCTCAAAAGGAGACACGCACACACACACACTTGTATATATATATGTATACACACATACTAGTATAATATAGTATTTTACAGAAACAATCGTGATACATGCTATCCAGGAAAATCAGATCACACTCAAAACAATGCCTTGCAACATGTAGAGTATCTTGCGGAATCATTTCATGCGATATAGTGTGATACCATATGACAGGATATAACATGACACACATGATGAAATTGCACAAAGTTCGGGGCCACCATGTATCATATTGTAATATATTGGATATGTTACTGATATGTTCATAGATCCCATCTTTTCCCTTGGCTCACAATGTCTCATTGCAACACAGGTGGCTAACAGCTTTGGCCTCGTTTGCATCGTCACCAATGCAGTGCCTGGCTGGGTGGACAAGACCATCAAGACGCCCAGCTTCCAGAGAGTAGATATGACAGACATTGGAATAGATATGAACAGATACGACAAAGATATAGCAATTCAATGCAATTCAATGCAATTCAATGCAATTCAATGCAATTCAATACAATTCATACCATACCTGTGTCATCCGTGTCATCCGTGTCATCCGTGTCATCCGTGTCCTTGAAAAAAACCTGAAGTCTTTGGATCTGCAGAACATCCCCGTATCTCCTCAAACTCGATGGTGAAGGTATGTAGAGGTCACATAGCCGCCATAGTGGCAGCCATAGTGGCAGCATGGTGCATGGTAAACAGGAATGTTCTCCCACTTTCTTGCATGCCTGGCCCTGCCAGGTGCGAAATGTGATTCAAAGATGGTTACGAAGTTACGCAAGATTTAGCAATGGGATGCAATGGGATCTGGTTGATCTGGTTTGATCTGGTTTGATCTGGTTTGATCTGGTTCCACCAAGGAGATGGTTGCCAGAACTGCGTAGCTACATCGGATCTGGCTCCGCCCATTGTGAGCGTCCCATCAAGGTGATCTACGCTCAGAAGGCTCCCCGCCCTGCTGTGTACCTGTGGATCCTGTGGTACTACTACCATCTACTACCTGAGCTCACCTGTTTATGCTATGGCTGCTATGGCTATGCCATCCATACCCACTTGTTCTGCAATCCGCACCTAGCAGCCAGTGCATTTGGTGCATTTGACATCTCAAAATCTAATCTTTGAGATGTTCTGGAGATGGTGTGGCTATGTGTGGCTTTCGAAAGGTGTTTTTCATAGCCAGCATGTTGAAGCTTTGCACGTGCTGGAGGCCTACGTGGAAGTTGATGCCACTTTACCCTTTGCCGATGAGCAGGGGGAGTACATGCTGTGGAAGAAAGCTGTCATGGCCTTACTTTGTCAACTTTGTTAGTCGGTGATCAGACTTTCGCTGAAAGAGTTTTCCATGGCAGATTTGTTTTGTGGCGGGTTTGCGTGTGCAGGTTTCCACCAATGCAGTTTCATTGTTCGCACAGCATGTTGTTTACTTCTGTTGCCACCCCTGCTGTGTTTGCCGGGATTTTGGAAACTAGAACAAGAGGCATCAACAGGCAAAGAAATTTGAGTGTACTTCCCCCTCCTATGCCTCTTGGATTTCCTTTCAAAGCTACCTTTTTCTTCCCTGCTTCCTTCATTCCTTCCTCCCTTCCTTTCTGTCTTTCTTTCTTTCTGTGTCTCTCCCTCCCTTCCTCCCTCATACTATGCATGCCACATATGCCACATATGCCACATATACTTCATATACGTCTGCATTTGATGCGGTAGATTTCATGTTTCGCCAAGGCCATGACTGGCGTCTTGGAAGAGCTGGACAGTCTTTACTGCTCCGAATGCGAGGGACCTCGTTATTGGCAAGATGCTGGCAACAAACGTATTGCCAACGTGCTATCCATTGGCGACACGGAGGTACCACCAGTGACTTTGTTTACTGCGTGTCTTTGCACATTCATTCTGGTTCAAAGTTTGAAGTCGCACCTGTCACACGCTTGGGCTGTCAGTGATCAAGTGACCGACTCTGAAGTTTGGCGAGAGAGTACCCTATTTTTGCTGACCACAGAAATTAGGAAGGGACCAAATTGCAGTACGATTCCGAGCAAAACGGATGATCGACCTGAGCATTGGTGCATGAGAAGCACTTAGAAGCATCGCAATAAATATAGCATGTGTGTCTAGAATCTTCCATAGCAAAATACGGCATGTCCATTTGATACAAACATATTCTAATTACGGATATTTAAATGTACGTATAATGTATATCAAATAGTATGCGGCGTACATTTTGTATGATAGAATCCCCCAAAAATGTGCTGCACTTCTGCCTGTTTGACGCCTTGTGAGTCGCTTGAAGGCGGAGATGATGGCTGCTCAGCTGGCTTCTGTGGATTTTGATTGCAGTCGCTATCTCCCGCGCATGGGAAAACAATACTGCCGCGATTGTGGCTTAGAAGAGCCTGCAGGTCGCCTGGATGCGAGTTGTGCGAGTTGTTAAGACTGAGATGCCTTGAGGGTTTTTGAATGGTTTTGACTTCAATAACTCTTAGGCCGTTTGTTTCATGGTCTGATGCTGTATCACTTATAGTTTCACGATGTTTCACGGCTGGTTGCTGAGTTTTGGAGAAACCACCGCTCCACAGTGTCAAGACAGTTGCAGACATCAGAGTGTTGTGGGCTCACTTCGGTCATACTTCGGTCATTCAAACTGCTGAGGTTTGCCCTCCAGTGTCCATCCCCGCAGCTTCTCAATGTTTTCAGAAGATGGCGTCCAGAGCAGTGGTAGCGAAGGTTTCTGTTTTGCCAAGGACGGGTTAGAGTGGAGCCACCAGAAACACGGAAGGCATGCCAAAGGCCAAAGATTTTGATCGAATATATATATATATGTATATAGAACTGTTGAAACGGAGCTGCAAACCGCTGAAATACTTGTAGCAGAGAGCCAATTTGTAAAGTGAAGTGCTTTTCCTTCGGTCCACAGGTTTGACAAAATATTTTGCAAGCCTGAAAATAGGCACAAACATTGGATTCTGACAATGAAACAGTATTTTAATGTATTTTGTATAGAATTTAGATTCCCTATGATAGCCTGCTTTGTTTGATTTTTCTCCAGACCGAATCTCGCATGACGCCACAATTTGACGAGGATCCCCAACCTGAACCCCAGAAAAAGCTGGGGGGAGGCCAGACTGATGGAGACAGGGGACCCCGGGGAGTTGGACCGGATTCGGGGCACATGGTCGCACTGTGTCATGGCACAGCCTAGGCAGCGTTTTCTCTGTGGGTGTAAAACATGCGATGGAACTGACAGATGATCACAGAGCACTTCTCTGCACTTCTCTGCACTTCTCTGTTTCAAACTCACTTTCAAACTTTTGCTGCACTGAGTCATGTTGAAGTCACATGAAGTCACAATGTGTTTGTTGTTTCGACAGGTTATCGACATTCCGTGGGCGTTCCATGGTCTGGTCGTTGGCCTTGGGTCCCTTACCCAGACGTTTCGCAAATTTCCTGTGAGCTCAGCACGAGCTCAAGCTCAGCACGGAGTTTGTCAACTTGTGGACTTCTTGTTGCTTCCCACTGCTCCCAGATGGGAGTTAGGCAAGTTCCAGAAACAGTAAGCTCCATCTTAGTCTGCAGATAGCATACACTGAACATCATTGAATCAGAAAGCTCAACTAGAGTCACTAGATCGACCTCATTTCGAGGATTTGCAGTGTTAGACTTTGCTCTTTCATCTCTTTCATCTCTTTCATCTCTTTCATCTCTTTCATCTCTTTTCATCTCTTTCATGCTTTGATTTCATCAGGTAAAACTCATCAAATTGCATGAAGGATGCCAGGCTTGGGTATGTGGAAATGGTTGAATCAGGTTGAATCGGAGTACCAGGGGGCTCCGGCATCACCTACTGTCCATTACTGTCAAACCATGTCAAACCATGTCAAACCAATATGCTGTGCAGGTTTGCACTGCAAAAGTAAAGACATGTCCTCCCGATATTGACAGCATGGCATAGCTGGCAATACCTGGCATAGCTTTGCCAAATGTCGACGTGGTGCCGTCGTGCAGGGAAGACGTTTGGCTACGCAAATGGATGAGATGTGTGAGCTCCTGCCCAAGATGATCGCCTTGCGTCAGCAACATGGCAGAAAGAGCACCACCTTGCTGCCTTGCTCATTGAAGTTAGCAGGTTCTCGTACGTGCCAAACTTTGGTAAGGATAAGAAGTGATAAGGGAATGTTTTTCATGAGTCCCTCATTCGAAATCAACAAGATGGAGTGTCTTTGTTTTATATGTGCTTTATTTTGGATTATCTTTTTCACATGTTTTCACATGTTTTCACACCATTTCACACCATCCCTAGGCACGTGCGAGTGAACTTGGATGATGACCGCAAAAGCCGTCACAGCGGTTGGCAGTTCGATGCGTTGAACTGCACGGAAGAAGACCTGCAACTGGAACGGCGCCTTCGAGTTGGAACTGTCTAACAATGTCTGAACTGTCTGACATTGGACTGACATTGTCACAATTGTCGGACAGTTTTCGCGTGGACGTGGCGTCCGCACATCTGCGCTGAGGGAACCTCAGTGCACAGGTCGGAAGGTCCAAGATCTTCCGATCCTTAGGAATATAGAACATAGATTTGACACGAATTGAACAATTCTGCACTATGCTTCATGTCAGAGGTCTTGAACAGTTCATGTCTATTAGATATCCTTTCAATATTAAACTCAGAATTGTTCATCGTTTTTCACCATCTTTTGCCATTGTCGTTGTGGTGTTCATTATCATTGTCCCGTTGTGCTTGTTCACGGTTGCGACTTGTCATTCCCTGGTTTCGAACCTTGTTCGCTTCCAGCCCCGTGCCACGCTGCCTTCGGCCCTTCGGCCGGCAGCACCACGGTGCCAGCCGTGGGTCGTCCAGTGGAAAGATCTGCAGCGATAGCGATGGTCGCCCAGTAGCTTTGGAGGTTTTGGATGTGGAATTTCTATGACTAGGTGACCTGATGTGACCTGATGTGACCTGTATTGATGAGTTGCTACATGTTGCTACCCAAATTCTCCCAATTTCGAGCTGGGATTCTTCAGGGTGGGACCCATGTGGCTCCACGGCGTAGCAAAACTGGATGGTTTTCCGATCTAAGTTTTGGACATTGCACTGTGATAATTACAGTACGCCAAAGTCAAGATTCACCTGTTTTTTTTTGATCCTTCATGCCACATTTTCCTTCAAGATAGTCAGGATTTTTGCTGAGGCATCAGAAGAGACCATGGAGGCAAGTTCATCAGTCCTAGCAGTGGTTTGGACTGAAAAGTTCAGCATATTTTTTCGAAACAAAAATCGAAACTTAGAAGTTCTGACTCCAGGGGAAACTCAACTCCGAACAGCAACGACGAGAAATGAAAGAAGCTGCGTTGAAGGCTGGATCCTTTGGGGCCAAGAAGATTTTTATTGATGGTTTTGATGGTTTACTTTAGGATAAACAAATGGTTCTCTCCACATCAAGCTTCACTTTTCTCACTTTTCGTTGCATTGGTTTTGTTACCAGACACTGGAGAAGAGTCACTGCAAAATGCCCATGCTCTACAATCCACTGTGCATCCTGTAGCATTTCTCCGCTGTGAACACGAAACGCTTCCAATGCATGCCTCGCAAAAACCGAGCCAAAGACATCAAATACATAACATGTAAAGTATCATCGCATTCTTTTATGCAAGTCAGCTAGGAACAGCTCGAGAGCGAGCGAGCTGCTCGTGAGCTTCAACGCATCTGGGCTGCATCTTGGGGTAAAAGTTCTACTTGAAGGCCTTGGCTCTAAGAGGTTTCTAAGACTTTCTAAGATCCTTTGTCGGTGAAAAAGAACAGATGCTCTTGCATAAATGACATAAATGGATATAAATGGCATAAATGGCAGAAACCATGGGGCAACCGTGCAATTCACATCGCAACATCTTCCAGGCCGCGAGCTCACTGCAGTGCTGAGCCGGGAACGGCAAGCCTTCGAGCGGCTGACCGTGCGCAGCCTTGGATTTCTGTCTTTCGAATGACTCGAATGACTCGAATGACTCGAATGTCAGAAACAGATTTTCCCAATATTTTTCCGGTGTTCCAAGACTTTTCAAGAGCTGTGGGTGGATGAGATGTGATGGATGTGATAGATGTGAGCCTGGTAGCCTGGCGAGGGGATGGCGGATGCCATGGGATGCCGATGCGCCCAGGTCTTGGAGCGAAGCATTTTGTCTGTGGAGGAATTGGCAAGGCGAGAGATGGAGGCCATCGCTGAATTCTAATTGTACATGAATTCTAATTATCATTGATTAATATTGATTATATCTATACGTATCTATAAGTTATATATACACATTTAATATTTTTTTTTTTTGGCTCGAGGCACAACGTAGCTCAATTGCTGCGGCCTAGCTCGAATTCAGAAGATGCCCCCTCCTATGGGGAAAAAGATCACAAGAGAAACTATCCAGCAAAATCCGGCCCTTTACAGAGGCTATGGTCAGTAACAACCATCTGTACAGCCTGTTGGCGGAAGTGCGGACAGATCTCGCAGGACGCGTCCGTTGGATGCAAACGGAGCGTTGAAACAAAACCATTAGCCAAACCGGCGCAAAATGCGGGAGGATATTCTTTGAGTATCCCAGTAGCCCATTCTCCCGTGGCAGTTTTGCCGATGCTTGCTCCACGTGGCATGGTCATGGTGAGCTGCCACTTCCTGAGTTCAAGCACCATGCAGGGCATGTTCAGGAGGAGTAGGCCCGTAGGCTTTCTACTCGGGGCTCCAAAGAAGCCTTGCGAGACTTCAAGGAAATCAAATTCCGGCCACTCACAGAGAAAGGTCAGCAGCGGTAGTCGCCAGATGCTCGCTTTCAGTCGGTCTGGTGGGGGTCCAGGATGTTCCAGACCTCCAATTCCTCCCTCCAGCGCCAGCGTGATCAAGAGCTCCAGCGTGAAAAGCAGGAGCAAGTTGCCAACATCAAGCTGTCTTACCTCTCGTAGAGCCAGCGCGACGCGTCCCCACAGGCAGTCCCTTTCTCTCAGAATGCGTGGGCCACGTCTTCCATCATCAGGTAGCGCTTGTCCTCTTGCTTGCGACCAGGTCTCGCAAGGAGGACCGGCCATAACGCCGACAACTTGTCGTTGTCTAACAGCATTGAGCCAGAACTGCCTGACTGAAGCCTTGGAAACGTCACCCCATACAGGGTCCACCATAAGGTCAACAGAAATGGTGAAAATGATGACGTCAGGGATGTCCTTCTGCGCCTGGTCAATGAAATGTTGAAGGTCCCCAAAACGGCGACGGCCAGAAAAGGCATGGATGATGAAGCGCTCTTTGGCCATCGGTCGGGGAACCTCCCAGAGAGGAGCGCGTGGGGTGTCCCACGTACTTCCTTCAATGCACATTTGCTCGATCTCTTCAAGAGAAGGCTTCGAGGGACAGGAATGACGCTTGGCCACATACTCCGTGAGAAAAGGCCATGCTCGTGCATCCTGTAGTGTCCAGAGAAGGTGCTTGATGTCATACTCCCCAATGTAGAGCGTCTGGATGTCCTGCTCGGTGAGGGCCTCCCGCAAGTAGCCTAATGTCTCCCTGCAGACATTCCAGGTGACGGAGTGCTGTTCAATAGATCGCCTGACAACCCGTTCGACATCTTCTCTGCCCTCATTTTCAGCGAGATCCAAATAAATCTGTTCCGCGAGGAGTAGATCAAAACCTGGCAACTCGAGATTTTGTGGGTCAGGAAGACGAGGTCCAGCTGCTTGTAATGGTGGGAGCAGGCCATCATGCTGTTGGCAGAGCGCCCTGTCCTCAGTCGATCCTGTGCCTCCCGTCGGATGGTAGCGACGTCTGCTTCCCCATAGTGCGACTCGGCAATGGAGAGAGTAGCGCAAATGCGCATGCAGCTTGCTGAAAGTGTGATACTCCTTCAAGCAATGTCCGCAGCAGGTGGTGTCAAACAAGGTGCGGAGCCTGGAAATGGTGCCGTGTTTCTTGAAGAAATGGGCACCGACAACTCCCTTGCTGCGAAACACTCTTCTACAAGTCATGCACGCATGACACTCTCCCTCCGTGGGGTCAGCATGGTCTGCTGCTTCTGGAAACTCCTTTCTCACAAAGCTGTCTGCCTTGGCCTCACGAAAAAGTGGAAGGAATGCCTGATGAAAACTTTCAACTCGATGATGTCGTTGCCGTTGAAGGATGGCATGTTCACCCGCCCTTCGAATGAGCCGTTTCCAATAAGATGGGTGATGTACCCAAATGCCCTGCCATGCCTCAAGGGACTGTAACGGATCTGGTAACCCTGAAGCTCCTTGAAGTTGTCTCCACGCCCAGCACAGGTCATCTTGAACCAAGGTGGTCCAGTGAGAATCACTGTTCAAAAGTCCCCATGGTACGAGGTCAGCGCACTTGTGCAAGGTGCCCAGATAGCGGAGCCTGGCTAGTCGTAATATCTCAGTAGGACTATTGATGCCGGTCTGCGTCAAAATGTCCTCATCGGTGAGATGGTCATCATGAGCTCGTCCAAGAAGCCGACGAAAAAGCCGCATGAGGGCATTGTGAATGTACTCCTTGGTGTGGTTGTCCATGAGAGTCCACGACTCTGTGCCATAGCAGAATCTGCTCATCACAAGCGTGCGGAACAGCTCAAGGCGCCGGCGTACGGGCAAAATGGGGTTCTGGAGGAGATGCTTCCTGTGCTGTGAGAACGCCTGTTGAGCAACTGCAACTCTTCGGCGAGCTTCTGCACGACTGTCACCTTTATGATGAATGATGCATCCCAGATGGGTGTACTGCGCAACGACCCGCACGTGACGAGGTCCTCGCTCTCCCAGGATGAGCAGCGACTTGTCAGATGAAGGTCCGAAGTACTTGATCTTCAGTTTCCTCGATCCGTGGCCTTGAAAGATCAAAAGTGCTTCGGTCTTGCCAGCGCTCAGGTTGGGTGAAAGTCCATGAACATCACAAAGCTCCAGGAGACGCCCAGTGGCCTGATGAATTTTGCTTTCCAGGATCTGGGGTGAAGGGTCTGAGACACAAATGCATGTGTCGTCCATCCAGGTCGGTCCCAAAAAGCCCCTTGTTCTAGATTGGTCAGGTAGAGCTTGATTGGGCAGGCGAAGGCTTGCTTCGTCCGGGATGACGTCTGCAAGGCCCATGTCTGTCAATGTCCATTGCAGCTTCTGGAGAATACTGCTCCATAAGTAGGAGAAAATGATGTCTGCAAAACAGTCTCCGGGCCGAGAGCCGAGCTGGGTTCTGCATATATCACGTTGACCTCGGACAGTGAAGTAGGTGTCAACGTGTACTGCTCTGATGGCATTGCGCATGTGAGCCGGCAGGCCCGCCGCTTCTAGTGCCGTGGGTTCGTCCATGAGATTGTGCAACTCCTGCAGGAGGTCAGCTGACATGCCCAGTCTCTGGCCCACGTGCATGATGAGCTCGTCCGAAGCCGGGCCTCCCACAACCAATTGCCGAAGAATTCTGTAAAAAGCTTCGGTAAGGTCAAGATACAACATGGCAATGTTGTGACCCTGTTGTTTTCGGGCTCTCATAAAAGCTCGGCCCAAATGAACTCCAAGTGTGACAGGAACTTTGGGCCGTCCTCCAAGCTGCTCCTTCTGCAAGTATTTCTCAAACAAAGTGCATTGGCGTTGACGCAGACTCCTGTGTAAACTTTTGCC